TTTAGAACAAACCCATTCAATGTGGATATAATGACTTTGCGCAGTTTCCAAACACACCACATGACCCTGAGGTCAGTTTTGTACAAAGATGACCTTCTTTTAACTGAAAAGCAGCGTTTGTGCAATTTGAGTCATGACATGCAGAGATGAAAAACCCACAGTCATAAAGGAAAATGTACAAGTTAAACATGTTAACGGTCACGGTGGGGATTGTGGTCACTTGTCAAATGGGACTTGTTACGCCCCCGAGAACAAATAGTTTCTGCTTGCAGTCACAAGTCTCTAAGTAAATAACTAAACGAATTAAAAAACGGATGGCAGTTTAGCGCGGCCTAAGAGCTTAGGTCCCCGAACCAATAAGTCGAAGGCCGTACAGCACTCCTGTGCTGTGTACTTACATAACTCCCTAACACACTGCTGGCTTTACGACTTCTTCTCCACTACTGTTGCAAAGGCCAGACACGTTAGCATAATGCTACAATATGGTTTAGCTGCCGTCCAGTAAAAGTTCATAGTTTTACATAGAAGCTTTGTTTGAGGATTTTACTGTCTAATGTATGAAAAAGAATGACTAACATCTGCTCTACCGACATTATTGGCCGTATCTGCGTCACCACTGTCCAGTCCAGAGGTTGCAGAGGGGCGTTCGACATCTGTTCCTCCCCATAAAATTCCAACTCGGGACGGGGCAGTGATCACAGGAGACCATGTCGGCGCTGCTGTCCTAAAGGAAGAATACAAACACAGAGAAGCTGTTCCAAGAATTCCCTGTCGAGGACATTTCTGGAATGTCCTAACGAGGTTCCGCCGCTGTGTTTACGGTTCCAGCCCAATGGCGACCCTGCAATCTGGCCTGCATGCGTATCATTATTTGGCCTCCGCACAGGACAAGGAGAGAGTTAGAGGAGTTTTTCTTCTCCCTTAGCAAAGGTTTAGAGACGTTTGTGTTCAGAGCGGTCCGGGTTGCTCTGAACAGCAGAGTAAAGAGAGGAAACCACAGGCAGGGACTTCATGAGTTTTAATAAATTGCTTTAAATCACATCAAATTAGTGATGTCTAGACATCACTAATGGACAGATGCTCCGGGGCTCCTGTCACGGGAGATTGATCTGGCTAAATTGCAGCAACTCGGTGTCTTAGTGCGAAATAGAAAAGCAAAAGGTTGATAGAAGGGAAGCAAAGTGATCATTGCATTCGAGTAATAGCTCATGCCAGGACACAGATCATCAATACCAGCAAAGTTAACCGAGCCTCACATTTGACTAAACGTGGAAACTTCATGTCAGGACATAAAAGAGGATAAATGTTTCTTAACAGAATGGGGAAAGCATGTGACACGTCTATGTCGGTGGTTTGTGTGTGTGTGTGTGTGTGTTCACCCCCAGCTAACATTATGTTCTGATCTCAGTGTGATCGGAAACACACACAAATAAGAACCAGTCTTATTTTATTGAATGTTGCAATTGTTTGTGTACTTTATAGGCTGTTGGGGACTTTCATCTAAAACATTTGTCATGTTTTGCGTATTGTATTGCAATTGTAATCTGCATTTTATTTGATTACCTCACCTTCAGTAACAAGCAATTTTATTTTTTTAGGAAATGCAGTGGTGCAAAAAGTATTTCTATTTACAGGTGTTGGGTAGAACTACTCAATTTAATAAATAAAGCAGTTATTTATTATGATAATAGCTCTAAGCCCTTTATTCTTCACAATATAGGTATGTAATATTACCACTATTACCATTACTATTACTATTACCACAATAAAGCTCAGTGGTTTAGACCTTTCTTTCCATCAATATCAGATCTTTTAAAGGTAATACAAGTGCCGTATTCTCTACAAAGTGGTTGTGCAAATCCCCATGAAATAATCTCATCTGAGTTTGGCATGTTAGCTGCATTTGAATTATGAACACGCTTTGTAAATGTTGAACATATTAGGAAAAAGTAATTACAGTTGAACTGTGTGGGTTGTGAGAATTTAGTTGTAATCAAACTCTCGATTAAATGCAAATAAAACCATTACTTATACTAGAAAAAATGTCCAAAGTTTGTTTTAGTGCCATGTGCTCTTCTTACTCAGAGAGGTTACACATTGTGTAAAACCCATGGTGGACAATGGGCCTCTGGCAGTTTCCTGCCCACAACAATGAAACGAATGAGGAGTAGAAGGCCCTGACTGGAAGGGGAGTCGGTTTCACCTCACTAAGAACCCTCAGCCCATCGCCGGCTGGAACACCAACGCGACTGGAAGGCCAAGAAATGTGAGGAGAGGATGCCCAAAGCGTGGGAATTTCACCTATCATGGTTTTCCAAAGAATTCCAGGCCTGTGACCAACAGAGTCGTAACAGGATGTGTGTGTGTGTGTGTGTGTGTGTGTGTGTGTGTGTGTGTGTGTGTGTGTGTGTGTGTGCGAGGAATGTAACCTTCCCTCTAACACAGAAAAGTGTTGATATGCATCTTAGTTATTTTGGCTCTTGCTCTCTCATTCCCTGTGATCAGAGAAACACTCAGATATGTATTCATCAGCAGGCTCACACAGACACAAATCTACATACTTGTTTTTTATTTCCATTCCAAAAAACTACATGTAGGGTAAACTTTTGCAAGGGGGTGACCTTCTTGGACCAGTTTTTTGTGGTGACTTTAAACATGTTGCTCAGTGAGGAGCTGCAGGTGGGTTTTGTTGCCTTGGACAGAACTGGGCTCGCTTCTGCTATTCCCCCATTCCTGCCTTCACGCTCAGATGAGATAACGGCTGCTGATGCAGGTTAATCTCACTCTTGACTCTTGGAAAGGAATCAATAGGCCGTATCTCCCAAATTGTCAACCGATGCTTCCAAAAAAACAGCCTGAGGCGAGAGGGTGTGTGCATGATCGCTGAGGCCCTGGACAGGGCATTACTAATGCCCTTGATAACCTCACCGACGTGTCTGCCTCATTAGACATCATATGGGAATGCAGCACAGCGGGAAATAAGATATGCGAGATGAGATGGAAGATATGAGAAGGGGAGCGAGAATCAGGCCGATAGCAAACCAAATTCCTGTGTGATTACACACATGATTGTTTGCACTCAGACCTTTAAATGCTGTCAGTTGTTGTGTGTAAATGGATGGATATGACCAGTGACCATGTTACATTTTATTTTTGAATCATAGTTTTCGAAAGATTGACTGAAAACCGAACAGTAAAGAAGCTATATTGCAGGTAAAGGTCTTTTATTGGTAATATGAGAATGAAATACTCAACTGTGAGTAAAGGTGATTCATGATTCATGATTGTTTTAAAAAAAGGTTCTTAAGCTATGCCAGCGGTAAAGGCCCATTTCAGAGTGTTATTTCTGATGTGTCTGCAGCACGCAGATATAATGACGTTTAGTATAAAAGTAGCCTTCAGTGTCAATCATCAAGTACAGAAGTGGACGAGCACTTCGAAATTGAATTTCATTACTTCCCGGCACTAATCCATAAAGATAAGACAAAATATATACTTCCTCTTATACCACTGTCAGGGCTGCTTGAGTTGAGTGGAATAAATGAGTGTTTTGCTAAAACCGTCACACATGGTTGCCATCTACTGGTGAGAAGATGTTTGCTCAATTAGCACACAATATCAAGACTGCCAGCAATGTTAATTACCTGATAATTGTATACAATTTTGTACCAAATAAGGTCATTTGAAATTATGTCGGATTTATTTTTCTCATTGAATCCCCCTCTTTGCAAATATACGAGTCTCTCTGTCCGTGATTCCCTGTAAGTACTCAAGTATGCAGGATGTTTCATGAACCATTTGGAAAGTGAATTCATAAACAAACAGAGACACACTTGCGTAGAAACACACGCACACACACACTGGGACATGTTTCTCATCCTGTGTTTTGGGCTTGCAGGGGCTGAGAGCCATGGTAACCAAATACCGAGGGGAGAAAAATCTGCCTGGCCGAGCTCCATCCCTCTGGCAGTCATGCTAAAACTCTTGAATCCCATGACAAAAACAACATTCCACATCTAAGTGATAGTCTTCAAGGAATTCCTGTTAAACAGAGGCATTTCTCAGTATGCATACCTCAATGTATTAAAACCATCTGGTGAAACTATGGTGAATGCAAATTCTTCTGCAGATGCACACAGTCAGTTGGACCACTTTTCTTTGTGCACATGTGGAAGTTTGCATCGTCTCTCTTATTTACACTGATGTCCTCTGACAGGGTGTCACAGCTTGGGTCCTGCATCTACTTTAAAAGTTGGTAATGTCCCAGTCCACCTCCTACACAATTAGTTATGTTGTTATGTTTCACAGAGCGAAAGGAAATTTGGACGCCTTGTGAAATACGAAGGGGAAACTGAAGTTGCTCCACATTCACAATGTCCTTTGGCATAAGTATTGCAGCCACGCCAGTAACGCAGGCTAAAGCTTGACCTGCGTCAGATTGTGTGAGAAGTGGACGTGATGTCACCCGTTGGTTTGTGAACTGCCGTTTTAAAGCCTAGGGTTTGGTATTTGGGTGGGGCTGATTGACTTTGACACCACTGCTCTAGACTATTCAACACTTGCGTCACTCGCTCGCAGGCGACGTGAATCCTTTAAAGGTGCAACTGAAAAGCTCAGGGAGACAAAGAAGAGATGACGGGAGGGAGGAGAATCAAAATATTTAAAAATCTCGACTTATTCAGGAAACCACCGACTGGTGACACAACTTATTGTTTTGTTATGTACTTTCAACACTCCTCCCTACACAAAGACACACACACACACACACACACACACAATCACACGCCCAGCAAGTTATCTCTGAGATTCCTTATTTAAGGTCTGAGAAGAAGAACGAGCACAACGTTGGTTGTACCGTCTGGTACGCTGCAGCCACAGCCAAGCACAACGGCAGTGTGTCCTCCGCTGTGCAGAGAGGGTCCAAATGGCTTCTGATTCTGATATTAGAAAGAAAACCAAAAAACAATCCAACCAAAGTTTTGTTCCCCACGATGCAATGTTTAAAGTGTAAAGAATTATTCAAAAACGAATATCATGTTCTATCTAAAATAAACCACTACCAAATCTTCAACTTCAGGTAAGGCAGAACACGGGATAATAATGTGTACTTTATTCTCCATTAAATGCTCCTGTCGTGTTTGATACTCTGCAGAGAGATCATTGTTGAGTGCCGATTGTGTGTCTGTCACTTGAAGCATCCTTGCAAGTCTGGATGAGGCCGAGAGATGTTGTGGAAAGCCCACTGCAGGATGTCAATGGAGCACTGCTGAGAAACAAACACAGAAGGAGGATTTGTCGAACATGAAATTGAAACCTGACGACATCATTCGACCGCTGTCGAAATTCCAACCAGACTACAGCTCCAACACAACCCCGACACGTCGCCGATGCCCTGTGCGTGTGATCCAAGAACGCAGCCACCTTTTGTCTGACATGTCATTTCCATATCACGTCTGTATCTGTGTCATCGGCATGTTACTGAGCCTCACTCACGTCTCCCAGGATGGAGTCCAGTTCATCTTTATGGAGGACGCCCTCAGGGGAAGAAGACTGCTGCTCATGGATGAGCTGGAGACACACACGCACACACACACATACGAGAGATTACACGGATTACACATCATCGTGTTTAGACGATTAAGACGTATGTGCACATGCATGTGCTGATTTACCTGTAAGCTTCTGGATGTTTCAGCCTCCTTCTCTGCAGAGGCGCTCCAGGGCCGGGAGCAGGACGAGCAGATGGATCGGCCTCTAAGAAAGCACGCACACTCACTGTGAGCGAGTCCAGCTGTTTTCTGTGGCGCTTAATATTACCCTCAAATCAATTTGTGGTTTACGACACTCAGGAGGATCATAGGAGAAGGTTTGATGTTCGACGCTAAAGAAAATATTACGTTTCTCATCAATTCATCACAGGGAAACGCGGTCGATACGTGGCGAGATTTACAAAGGTTTCATTTGTCATCCGTGTCTCTGGGAGCAACTCGAAGATGTATGCCTTCACAATCCCTTAGTCACCATTAGGCAATCATCCCACCCTCCATGCAGATCGTTGATCCATAGTAACACAAACAGAAATCCAGATGGAGGTCTTTGCCGGGTGGGACGTATGTGTGTACGATGACTGATGCACAATCCCGCCAAGCTTGTTGGACGTGTGCACATCGTCCTGCTGAGGACGTCTCACTACGGGAAATAGAAGAGCGGAAGTGAGGAGCGGATGTCTTACTTGGAGAAGTGGCAGTGGACGTGGAAGCGCTGCAAACACTGGAGGCAGTGAGTCAGCTCTCCGCCTTCGACGCAGCAAACACCACACACCTCCCTCACAGCGAGCAGCTCTCCGGCCGGGCCCTGCGTGCACATTTTACCAACAGGACTAAACAGCAGAGCGATATGCGCATTGGGCAGTAAAAAATCAGGGTGTCGGGTGCGACGAAGGAAATGCAACCAACAGAGGGTTTACCTGGCTTCTGAGCTCATTCATAGAGGCTGTGGCGCAGGTGAGCGGCGAGGAAGGAAGCGAGGAGAAGAAGGAAACATCCACGATGGGGTTGCTCGTGTTTTTTTGCAGGGCATCGAGTGGCTGTGGCATGAAATACAGAAGAGAAAATGCAGTGCAAAAGAGTGAAACAAAGACTGATGGTTAGAGACTACTGTTTGAATTCTGTTTGTTAGATTTATGGAGGAGTGAGGGGAGAGAGAACATCAAAAGCATTTAAATTATAGAAAATATGAGATTCAATAGTAGATCACTAATATTTATTTATATCATATGTGTTACTCTGGAAGAAACAAATGAATAACAATTAACGTAAATCAAATAAATTAAACATAAGAATGAACAGTCCATGTAAACCTTACTGATACTTACCTGAAAAGATACTGGCGCATTCTCTCTTTTCACTGTGTTTCCGCTGCAGCATTCACAACGCCAAGTGCCACTGCACATGACAAATATTAAACGTTTTCAGAGCGAGGATCAGAAAACGAGGCAGCCGGCCCTCGAGTAAAGTATTTACACGCAGCTTGTGGTTCACGTCTTTTATTTTTTCACCTCGGTATGGATGTGAGCGGAGGGTCCAGGCAGGTCAAGTGAAAAGCTCGAGGACAGCCATCGCAACAAATCAGCTCCCCTCCGTCCTTGCACACTGCACACTCATCGTCATTACAGTGACCCTAAGCTCTCAGGAATGCAGAACGCACAAAGGTGAATACACACACCTTGGAAAGGGCCGACGGAGTGACCGACCTTCAACGAGTGGATGCTCGGCGGATCCTCTACCGTGCCGGCGGTTGTCTCCCCCTTGCGGGGAAGCTTGTTATCGACAGCTCTGGACTCCTCTGAGTAAAACTCCCCGACAACCTTCCTGGCACTTCCTGTTGAGTAGCGAAGCTTTACAATCTTTTCTTACAGTAGTAACGTGTTGATTCAGTGCTCCCACTGACATATTCGACTGTTGTCGCATTCTGGCGTCCATCTAACTTCCGATGGCGTCACTCGAGCATTAACGTGCTAATGACGGAGGGCGGTCGGATCGATGTTTGTGCCCATTAAGAAACGCTGGCCTACCATCCGAGTCCAACATCTGTCTGATATGGGTCTCTGTGGCTGCGTGGCTGACTGCCGGCTCGGTTAATGAGGAACCCAGCGTGACCGGTCTCTGGACGGAAGACGAAACCTCCAGAACATCTGCGCCAGAACGAGGGTTAAAGATTTTGGAACAATTCATCTTTGTCTGTATGTATAAGTGGAAAATGTGACGTGTAATTACTGTTTGCAGACGTCAGCTTTGAGGCCGCAGCTTCACTTTTCACTCTGTACAGCTTCACTTTACCGCCTGCGGATAACGTGCATCACGAGGAGCTTCATCGTTTTGTTCCGTTTTTTTATAAGAAGACAGAGTCAGAAGAGATGTGTTCTTGGAAATAACCTGGTCTATCACTCGTCTCGGCGTGATACTGTGGGTGCAGAGTCTGTGAGCTGGTCTCTCTCTCCCTGTGGTTCCTCTTCTTAATGTGAGGAGGTTTGAGGCCTCCGGAGGAGCTTCTCTCTGCTCTGGAACTCGCGGCGTCCTGTCCTGTCAACACAACGCCAGCAGATTACAGTGTGATAAAGTCTTAGCTCGGTAAAGAAACCTCATTTTTTGAAGATAACAAACTCACACAGGCAGGAAGAGAGGTGAATTACTTTCTACAAATCTACAAACACGTGTAGATCTTAATACCAAGTATCATTATGGGTTTTATCGATGTTTTGCTCATCATCATCGATTAAATGAGGAATTCCGTACCGACAAACAAAGAATATACAATGCAATTGTTAAACAGACACATCGTATGCATTATATTTTGGGGAAACGTTGATTACACACTGGATTGCAGTTTAGTGAGCAACGTCTGCAGCTTGGGGTAGCTGTCCAGGTTGTAGTCTTTGGACAAGTTGCTCCAGAAAGCCTGAATGGTGGATCTTCTCTGTTCCAGGAGCCAGGAGAGGAGGGAGTACATGGCCTTATGGATCCCTTCTCTACCTTCCTTCTCCAGCGTGTCCTATAAAACAACAAGAGGTATGTGACCTCTGCAACTCTGAATAAAACCATGTCTTCCTGTGTGTAATAACCATTGCTTTTGTTGTTTTTCAGTGTTTGAACATTGAAGAAATACAATTGAAAAAACAAGTGAAAACTGCAGACATTCCTCTAAAAAGGAATATAAACCGAATGAACGCCTTCATATTTGTTCTTACCTTAAATAGTTGGTCGGTGAGGATGTTTTTGTCCACCAAACCGTAAAGGAGAGGGAAAGGGTCATCGACAGCCATGGCAATATCAGTGCGCAGCTCCCTCAGCAGCGAGCGAAGGTTCGTGTCCCCAAGAGCTCCCGTTCTGGACATGATGCACTTTGTGTGTGAGCTTAATGCGAATTGTTGCAGACCGCACCGGACCCGAGATCACCGGTGCTGTCAAGTTATTTTTTCTACTCCGTCAGGTTTATCAGCCCTAACTGTCTCAGTCCGCCTGACGATCCTCAGTGTGATCGAATGACGGGCCGAGGTCAGTCGAGGGGAATACCTGTCCTCTTACATAAGGAGGGCTGAGTGTGAACAACCTGAAAACGTCACAGTGACGGTTTCCTTCTTAAAAGGTTCTTTCCAACACGGCTTCCCCTCAACTATCAGGTTCTGTCTCACAGCAGGGAACTGGAACTGAACTGGAACAACAAACTGCTTGACAGATGGATTTTTGGGTTGGTTGAATGCTTTGTCCTCGGCCTTTCGTGCCTTAGTTGCTGCCACTGGTATTTGTTCTCACTGAATGGGTTACACTTCGCAAAAAAAGACTAATGCAAACTAAATATTAATCCAGCACACACATAGCTTGACTTCAAGTTGTCTCTCGCAGGATGTCCGTCTCTGTCTGTCAACCTGCTCGCGGTGAACGCTGCCTTCAGTACAAGCGTTTCCACCTGAGTAAATGGATGGATGGCTACACATAGACAGGGCTGTCGCTAAATGCTAGCATACTCCTAGCCCAGTGAGTAATTAGCATTGAGCAAGTGATATCATTAAGGCAAGCTAAAAACAGTCAAATGTTGAAGTAAGTCCAGTAGTTCAGCCGCTACTTGTTAGCAGTTATTAGTGGGAGAGTGAAGCCCTTTAATCTGTAATTTATTAATCATTTAACATTTTACATTATTCATACTAGTGAACAAGGACCACTTTTACAGAGGGACGTTCACAACATACATATTACAGTATTATATACAGTGCAGTGCATTACAGTGGATCGTTATATGTGTGTTACCGGGAGGGAGGGAGGGAGGGAGATACTGGGGAGGAGAGAGGGTCCGAAGGGAAACGGGAAAGGGAGAGGAGTGGTTTGGAGGGAGCGGGAGTTGTGATAGCAAGTTGTATTTTATTACTTCCTTTTTTTTTTTTAACCACAGTACAGTTTGTCCTAAAAAAGTTAAACCCATAGAGAGAAAGAGTGCCACATTTTTACAGCTACTGTTAGGTGAACCTACTGAAAGTCGACTCATGTGGGTATATCAAATGAGATACATGTTGTCATGAGATGCTAAAGAGAGATGCTATAAAACATTCTAAGATAGTCAACCTCCCTCCAGAGCGCATAGACCCTGAAGGGCGGGCCAAAGGTCAAAGATCAGATCAACGTGCATGCGTGCTGCAGACATTCAGACTTGTTCGCCCATCGGGAAGAATGGCCGACATCCCCCCCCCCCCCCGCTATTTCTTCCTTCTATGTTTAGGCATCATTTTTGGTGCTTTCCCTTTTTATATATAAAAAATACAAAACATAACAGCGAAAAGAATTACGGCGGTTGTCCCGTTTTTCTCCTTTCTCGTTCTCCCAAAACTGTGTTTTTTTTTTGTTGCTTCTTTTCATTTTGACATTTGGTTGTTTTTTTCCCACCTTTCCTCCTCCAGTCACTTACATATTGACAAAGTATACAATATTGTACAACTGAACAATAATGAAAGATAACATTTGATTTGTCAAATCAGATACAAGCCTCGCATCCTATATCCAATCAGAGAAGTCAACTGGAAGCTAGCCGGTAGGAAGCAGCACAACAAGCCTATGGTGTGAAGGGAGCTATTTCCACTCTGCATTAACATGAGCACCCGGCCTCGGGGACAGTGGCCTCTACTGGTTTGTCCAGCTTGATGTCGATCACTGGGAATTGTCCAGTCAAGAAAAAGTGCTTGGGGAGAAAGAAAAAATCAAATATTATAAAATGACACGCTGTGGGTAATAGAGTAAGAGTTACTTTTCCTTAGAAAGAAGAAAAAACACACATTACTTGGGATCCCTAAACTACATTCCTGTTTCACACCATTTCATCATCATTTTAAAGTCATACAGAGCCATAGCCTAATGTTTTCTTGTTACCAAGGGCAAAACAATGACAAGATCCTCACAATATTAATTATAATAGCACTGCACGGTATTTCTTTTGCAATAAGCAGTCTTGTTAAAGGGTAATAATATTACTGTAATGCGTGACTATTTAATAGGTACTTTGTAATACAAAGCAACACGTGGAAATGACTCCTGGTCCCTGACACTGTAATTGTCTACTGTAATCTCTTTGCTGTTCTTCCTTCCATCACACGTGGACACGTCCCATCTGAGACATGCATATAGCGCGGTGCTGCCCTATGCTTCCCCCACCGCTCCCTCCTGCCTCTGTGCAGCCTCACCACCAAGCAAAAAGCTTTTAATGGCTGATGCCTCGGCAGACAGTGGGCTTGAGCGGGCTGTTTGTTCTGGAGCCAACCGCCACTAAGAGATTAAAAATAAGCTGCCTATTTGTTGTCTGCGTGGCTCTCTCGGCTGGAAAAAGGATACTGCCTTCAGGATTCGCATCGTCCAAGCTCTCCATTCCAGGTAGGGATGCTGCAACACGACGAAACAGCTAGGAGGAGATGGGAAGGAGGAGGGTGGAGATGTGAGGAGAGGAGGCAGGGTAAGGCATCAGAAAAGATTTTAAAGAAGAAGGAAAATAGGGGGCGGGAGAGGATAGCAAGAGTTGGGGGGTCCTATTTCTGACGACATTTTTTTCATGTAGATGGTTTCATAATTAAATATTGGGGCCCACATCCCAGCACTGTTTTGCGGCTCTTGCGATGTTCAGCCTTTAGTCGTCTTTTCCCTTTGTTTGCTACTGCTGCCCTGTTCCCATTGGGGTTGGATGTGCACACTGTTTTAAATATGCTGGAGATTTGATCACGCAGAAAAGCTGTGAGCAACTGATATATGAAATATGGCGAAAAAGCAGGGATCACCTGTTTGACGTTGCAGCCCGTCTTGGCACTGGTCTCGATAAACATGACGTTCAGCTCTTTGGCCCTCTGCTCTCCTTCCTCGATCATGATTTGCCTGCAGGGACATCAGTATTCATTATTTTTACGCTCACGTGTCGCTGTAATGGGACGGTCCTTCTGTTGAGCTAACAAAAATATCTACGTGTCAAACCGAAGCTCACCTCTTCTCCTCGAGATCTGTTTTGTTGCCGACCAGCATGATGATGACGTCACTTCCTCTCTCTGTCCTGACGTCATCAATCCATTTGCAGGTCTGCTGGAATGAGTTCACATCTGTGGAGACAAGACTTTAATATTTAATAGCTGTGTCACCGAAAAATGAACCAAACGAGCTTCTTTACGGTGTCAGAAAACATATAATGCACATACGCTCGGGCAAATCAGCCCCCTCTTACTTGTAATGTCATAGACGACCACAGCTACTGTAGAGTCTCGAATGTAGCTGGGGATGAGACTCCTGAAACGCTCCTGTCCAGCAGTGTCCCACAGCTGCAGCCTCACCTGCGTTCACACGCACACACACACAGAAGCTGCTTCCACATGTACTACACACAGACTGTGCTGATGAAAGGCCTCATAAGCACACATCCAGGGTGGGATAAGCCCGCATTAGCGTGTGAGCAGGCTGCCACTGTGCTGACAAAGAAATGGTATTAATACAAGCTAAGGAAGATGAGCCGTAAGAAAGGCTTTGACTTGTTAGGGCTGATATTACCAGCAGAAATAACCTCAGGATGATCCTGTTAGTCATGAAAAAGTATTTAAGCAAATCAAATCAAAGATTAGTAAAACCAGAATGGGAATTGGGACATTTCTTACTCTGGATGTTGACTGGCTTAAATAAGACAGTAAGCAAGCACAAATAAATGAATGGTCTATTATTGTCTATTAAACATGGAAATACATGTAAATAGTGAACGAGAATGAAGGCTTCCTACTGTTCGGTCTTCGAGGTACATGGTCTTCGACAGGAAGTCTATTCCAATGGTTGCCTGGAGGGGAGGAGGAACAAAGGAAGGGGAGCGTGGGGTAATCGAGTCAAGTCAAGTCATTTTATTTTGTATAGCCCATTATCGCAAATTACAAATTTGCCTCAGAGGGCTTTACAGTCTGTACACATACAACATCCTCTGTCCCAAAACCCACCATCGGCACAGGAAAAACTCCCCAAAAAATGAAAGAACCCTTACAAGAGGGAAAAAAGGGAAGAAACCTTAGGGAGAACGTCAGAGGAGGGATCCCACTCCCAGGATGGACAGACTACAATGGATGCCATGTGTACAGAATGAAAAATGTATAATACATGCAATTCCTATGACAGAAATGATAGTAATGAAATAGTAGAATCAGTGTGAACCAGACTTCTAAAGCTCAATGTCCTCGGCCCCATCTGTTGTCCCCCCGCAGATTAAACTTTGTTTCAAAGAAGAAAAACACAAAAAGCTGTTAAGTGAGAAAAAAAAGGCCAATAAGCACCGAAATTGAATTAGACTGAAAAACTAATTTTGTTTGTGTGTTTCCCACAGGGCTCAATCATCCCCACTTGTTATGTAGCTAACTTCTAGGAAAAGCAACAGACAGAACCACGTGCGTCCTCTTTTAAGAGCGCCGTAATGCCATTATAACGTTTCATTTCTGTTAATTGCATTGATAGCATGCATCGGGTGTCCCATACACCCTGGCTTTGAATTGATATGTCAAGCAGGCATTTTGGGCCCAAAACATACATCATTGTAACATCATTCAGTTGGTTCAATCTATTATCCGACACCAGGCGTGTCACATTGTAGTGCTACCACACCCATCGATCCATTTATTCAAATCTAAAATCAGAGAAGGATTTGTGAAAATTGTTGGTATATTTAGGCAAGAAATATAGACCTGGAGCTTATGCGAGGTCAATTGCCCCCCCATCCCAGATATTGACCATTGCAAGTCATCATTTCATGCAATAGCGTTTGCTCAATGAGTGTATCTGTTTCCTAAGGTTTTTTGGTCTCACCTGATATGTGTTGTCGAAACTGTCATACATGAATCTAGTGATGAGGGATGTTTTCCCCACTAGAAGAGAGAAAAGAGGTTGGTTTTAGTTGCAGAACAGCTCAAATCATAGAGAATCATAACTAATAATGCAACAGTTTTGCATAAAAATAGATGTTGTCCGTTGTGTTCCTTGGTGTGACAAATAATTGACACAGCCACTGTAATTGGGAGACAAACAACTTCAATAATGTGAAATTAACTGATGTTTCCAGAAATGATCAAAAATGTCTGTTAAAAATGGTCAAAAAATATTTGGCCTGATCAATAATATAGAGGATATAATGACATGAAACAGAGGACGGAGGAAAAACCTCGCACTGCAGAAGCTGGACCCTTACACAATTAGCTTTGTATTGTATGATTATTTGTGTTTTGTGTTGCTTTAAATGTATTTTGTTTTGTGTACGTGTATCAAGGCCTCTCTACGGACAACGTGATCTCCTAAACCTGTTTGTAAACACGTATACGAAAATCTTGAACATACAAATTCGTAACAATACATAGGAACTGGCGGCGGTTAACCACGCCCCCTGAGTGAACAACATGGCGGACCATGTCGGATTCTCTCCGCCATGTTGGATTTTTTGAGGGAGTTAGGGTTAGTGTTCTATTATTACAAGTTAACATTGATTTCTCGTTAAAAACGCAATCATAACACGTTTATTTGACATGGTTAGTGTGTTTACGGGGTGCAGGTCCCCGTTCACTGTGAATAGGGTGATGTCATCACTTGCAGGCCGTATTTATTTCGTATGTATCACTACGAATTTGTATGTTCAAGATTTTCGTATACATTTTTACGAACAGGTTTTGGAGATCAGGCTGGACAGAGGGATGCAGGTACCTGATCAGGTGATGAATACGCCGGTCTAGCATTCATCCATGAAAACACATATAAGGGACTTTCTGTTGGGCAACTGATCAGTACGTTAAGTTATTGTTTCAGTTCGTATCGTGCCTCAAATAATCACTGATCACCGAACACGAGCGAGGCCATCCCGAAGCAGACGGACCCCGAACACGTAGATTTAGCAGCACTCAAAAGCTGGATTGGGACTTCTGAAGATGATGAGTCCTGTTAGCTGGATTCTTATTGCTTCTGTAGGACTGTGGTTTCCCAGCAGGCCCCAGGTCTCCCCGCGCAGACAGCGGGTTGGAAGCGGCCACGCCAGGCCTCCGCTCACCACCGTGGACAGCGACGTTGCAGCGCAGGCCGCACAAACACACAGTCGACACACAGCATCTTCACATGCACAACACACACACACACACTCAGGAGCACCACAAAGTAAGACACAAACAAGCGATCGAGCTGCTGTCATATCAGGTCTTATTGTCTGCGTCCTGCTGTTGTCATTTATGGGGAATGTGCCCCTCTGGATGTCTGAACACGTATACAGCCGGCTTCATTATCCATCAGCACCTCCAGAAAATGTGCCGTCACATAAAATCTCTCTCACACACACACGCACACACACACGCACTCATTCCCACCCTGAAAAGACGCCTTTTACCAAACGGCGTATGCTTGGTTGTTCGTGTCACCGAGCGTGCGAGGCGGAGAGATGCCACAGACACGCAGAGCCTACAGGGTGTGTCCCGGACCCACACATGGGGGGGGGGGGGGGTTCAGATATAGATACACAATAAAAAAAACACTCGAGCTTGCAGGAAAAAGGGGACACTTGTACTGGGACGAAGGATCGTTCGTGTTGTAGGCAAAATAAAGCGGTTATCTGAAAAGAGGCATTTGTCGGTGACCGCAGCGCATCAAAACATCCCGGTTCACGTCGCCTGCTCGGACGGCCGATGATGGCGATCGGCCACAACGCGCGAGGACATTCAGCGCAATTAACAATTGTTTTTCAAGTGATCGTGATCGCTACACTTATTCTAAAGAGAACGATTCATGTGGATGCGGGGGTTTTTTTTTTTTTTGGTTCGGTTAATATGCGATCTCCTGCCGGCACACATTGTGCCAAAGGGCGTCACGTTTGTCCCGAGGAGAGAACGGCCACGTCCTCGGGATCCAGCTAAAACAACTTTCCTCGTCAACGGAGAATTGCACACGCGGCCCTGCGGCGTTTGCGCACGTTTGGCGTGAGGGGAGCGGGAGATCGACCCTCCTCCCGCAGGTTTGACTCACCGCTCTGCTCCCCCAAAAACACCAGCTTAAATTTCCTCAAGGGGTTCCCCAAGTCTCCTCCCGCGGACATGGCGGCAGACGGACGGCTCGGCTCGGACGGTTCGGAAGGGAGCTTTCGTGTCGCTCGGCGTCTGCTAAGAGGTTGCGGGTGCGCAAAGGGGGTCCTCCTCTGCTCACAGGGTGATGGGAATGCAGCTCAGCATCCTCCTGTCAGTTCAGGCGGCCGGTGCGCATGCGCGACCTCACCTATTTCAGCTGGAGGAGGACAACATGTGGCATCTGTGGAGGTTATGGTAAAACATTTCATCGTCTTGTAAAATATGAAGCATTGTTAAAGGCAGAGTGATACTATGAGTATTTCAATTAGAGCCGAAAGGATTCCTTGTTTAATGGATACGTTGAAACAATTACTAATTTAGTTATTTCTAAAGCAAAACATATCAAAGGATTTGAAGACTTTATGAACGCTTAAAAGTTTCATTAAACATGTACATTTTAAATAATTTGATTAGTAGATAATTTGAGAAAGGACCTCAAATTGTAGCTCCTGAAGAATAAGATAATCAGGAAGAATTAAATGGCGTGTAGATGTAAATGTTTGTCCACACTTTTTTTCTGCACTTACTGTGAATACCATCCATCCATCCATCCATCCATCTTCAGCCGCTTATCCGGGGTCGGGTCGCGGGGGCAACAGCTCCAGCAGGGGACCCCAAACTTCCCTTTCCCGGGCCACATCTACCAGATTATATCTCTCCACCTAGTCCTGGGTCTTCCCCGGGGCCTCTTCCCAGCTGGCCGTGCCTGGAACACCTCCCTAGGGAGGCGCCCAGGGGGCGTCCTCACCAGATGCCCAAACCACCTCAACTGGCTCATTTTGACGCAAAGGAGCAGCGGCTCTACTCCGAGCTCCTCGCGAATGGCTGAGCTTCTCACCCTATCCCTAAGGGAGACGCCAGCCACTCTCCTGAGGAAACCCATTTCGGCCGCTTGTACCCGTGACCTAGTTCTTTGGGTCATGACCCATCCTTCATGACCATAGGTGAGGGTAGGAACGACAATGGACCGGTAGATCGAGAGCTTTGCCTTCCGGCTCAGCTCTCTTTTCGTCACAACGGTGCGGTAAAGCGAGTGCAACACCGCCCCCGCTGCTCCGATTCTCCACCCAAACTCACACTCCATCTTCCCCTCACTGGTGAACAAGACCCCGAGGTACTTGAACTCCTTCACTCCCTCACATTCCCTACCTGGAGTAGGCAATCCATCGGTTTCCTGCTGAGAACATTGGCCTCAGATTTAGAGGTGCTGATCCTCATCCCGACCGAGACGCTCCAGTGAGAGTTGGAGGTCGCAGACGGAAGATGCCATCAGGACCACATCATCTGCAAAAAGCAGCGATGAGATCCGCAGCCCCCCCCGAACTGTAGACCCTCCTCCCCCCATGTGGTCCATGAAAACCACAGTACCAAAAACTGAGTGCGGGTCTTAAGGGGCATTCAGGCTTTTTAATATTAGACATTCAGCAATTTAGGGACCATACGGGAGGAAGGCAAAACAAGAAAGGATGGAAATGGAAAAATGGATGGAAAGAAAAAGTCAGTAACTGCGATGTAAACAACTAAGAAATATTTATCACTAAAAGATCCAACTGAATTTTACTCGACGCCCACAAAAATAAACGGCAACAAAAAATGTCAAGTTCAACCTTAAATGCTAATTTTCAAAATCAAACAGCTCTGCCTCCTTCTCTTTCCAGAAAGCGAAGCTGCGGTCAATGTATTTACAAATGTCAGTGTCGCTGCCACGGTCGTCTGGAGGCGCAGTTGGATCTAGAACTACTCTGGGTAAGAGTCTGGAGTCTGACAACATCGGCGAGGATGACGGCGATGGTGACGGACAGCGGCACGGTCTGGAGTCCCCGAAGAAGCCCACTTTGATGTCCTCGAAGCCGTCGCTCCATTTCCGCCTGCCGGCACGGATTTCCTGGAGGACGGCCTTGTGGAAGTCCCGCACCACCTCCCAGGAGAAACTGCCGACGTGATCAAAAACCTCAAAGCACAGCAGGTGCCTCATCTTCCTCTCCTCGGGCGACAGCTCTTGCTCTAGGATGTTAAAGTATCCTAACATGAAGAGGTCAAGGGTCAAGGTGTCGTGGGTCACCGCGGCGCCATCCACCTCGGGAAGGAATTGCTCTGGGGAGAAGGTCACTTGAGGTCGGGGCTTTTGTGCGGAGCTGGGGGACTTCCGTGCACTTTTGAGACGTAGTCTGTTCCTCCAGGAGCTCAGCATCTTGTCCACAGCCCCGCGTTGTTTGCAGAACTGAAACATGGAGGTGGCTTTCTGTCGCTGCACGACTCCCGTCGCTCTCCCCGGCGCTGCTTCTTGCCGGTTCCTCGCCGCTCTCACCGAAATGGCATACGCCGATTTCTTCCAGTGGCTCAGGAACAGCACCACGATACGCTCTTTCCTCAAGCTCGTTGTCTCCATCACGGGTTTTTTGGGAGGATCGCAGTTGTTCGCCTTGAAACTCAGGACCGCGTTGTCACCCTGGTTATTCACTCCGGACGCTCCAAACGCCACCTGGACTGGACCTCCTTTCAGAACCCCGGCGAAGGGATAAATCCCACCAATCTGACCTTCAAAGTTGGATCTCAGGTTTCTCACTGACACCCCTGACTGTTGGATCTCCTTCTCCGCCCTCTCCCTCCGTGCTCTGCTGTAGCTGTTGGTCTCCAGACGATGGCTAAAAGCGGACGCCATCCCTATATGAGGAATCCGGCATGAGATCTCCCCCCGTGTGTGCGTGGCCTCGTGGTCCGGAGCCCTTATCCCCTGCAAACCCTTCATCTCGTCCATCATCCCTTCCACTATCCTCCGCTCTCCCCCGTCCCCTGTGGTTTGAGTCAGATTAGCGACCAGCAGTGACATGCTCTTAACGATCTCTGAGACACGACTGCACCACCCAGGCAAGGTCAGGTGCATCTCCCCCTCAGCGTCCATCTTGTGCAGGACTTCCTTGTTGATGGAGATGTTGACGATGGGATCGGGTAAGATGGCCCGCAGCTCCTCCGTCAGCCTGGTCAGCTCCAGCTCGTAGGCCTGGCAGCGTTTCTGCAGGGAGACGGTCTCGATCTGCTGCTGCAGGTACGCCAGGTCGTCCTCTGTTAGGAGCTCCCCAAAGGGACCCAGGACCGCATTGTGGGCTTGGGAGTACTTCCAACCATCCGCTGGTGCGTAGTCATCGCTCAAGTCCTGTTAGAGGGATGAAGAGATGCGAGCAAACATTGTTGAGGGATGCAGGTATTGTGGAATAAATCAAATTAAAGTTAAAAAGTTTGCTCATTTAGAAGGAAGCTCTGGAAGACTTTAAGTAGAGGGAAAGTTCTGGATCAGTCTGAACAGGATCTACCTCCCAGTAATACTTCTACAGTGTGCACAAAATACTAGTGTAAAAAGGACATATTGCTGTGCACGAGGGGATTACACACCACACTAACTCCTTATTATTTTGGTTTGCACAACTGAAAACAATAGTAACAAACTGGTGGGCCACACTGCTCTTCTTCATGTTTGTCATTTGGCTCCGTTTTCTGTGATTTCTGTGATTTTTGCTGTTTAACAGACACCTGTTTGTTCATGGAAAGCCTCTGCGTTGTACCTGTCTCCTCTGGTCCTCCTCGTCCTGCAGCCTGACCCGCAGCTGCCGCACCATCACCTGCCGCTTCCACTCCGCAATGGGGCGGCCGGCTTCGTCGTGAGTCGGCACCAGGGAGTCGATGTCGGCCAGGATCACGTCGACAATTGGCGTCTCCTCCAACAGCTCCTCTCCGTCAAGCTTCTGTCAGCGTTCGACCATGTGAGACAGTCACAGCGTCAGTGCTAAAGCCGCGTTTGTGAGAATGATACACAGTCTCAGGCGCGCGGCTTGAAGAGGAGGCGGCTGAGCGCCTGGGTGCCATTTTTTTCAATCCTCTCGCAGGATTAACATTATTAAGCCAACGCAGGTGACGTGGCAAGGGGCCTTTAAGATGGGACATCACTAGGATTGTTTCGCTTCACGCCACCATCATGTACAGGATTCTTTGTTTTTCTATATGTTAATTATCAAAAAAAGAAATTCCCTAAAGAAACTATCAACACACACAAGGTTTTGTTGCCGCTGGCTCACCGTTTGTCCCGTGAAGACCGCAGTGAGGCCCGCCTTCCTCAGAGACTTTATGGACTTCATGTGGGACATCAGGGACAGATCCCTGTCCGGAGGCTTTAGATAGCTGAACGATGTCACCACTGTGAACAAACGTAACAGTTTGATTTCAAAATGAACAAAAAATATTTGTTTGGTAGTGTGTCAATTGTACACGATGAAATCCCGACGTGGTCTCTTAGTTAATCACCTGAAGAGGCCACTTGTACGTTCTGCATGGAGCCGGTGTTCTGTTTCTTTAAGGGGGCAGCAGGGATCAGAGAGGAAGAGGTCACAGGAAGTGGTGGAGGGAGGCGAGGCAGAGGGAGCACCTCCTTCACTGGCTGCTAGGGACACGAGCACACTGATTGGAAGGGAAGATCCTCTCCGTTTTGCTTTTATTCATCATCAGAATAAAGCTTTAGAATTAAAGTCTTTTTTTTTAAAGGGATCAGGTATCTCTTTCATGACTGCATTGCTCGTCCTCTATTATATTATAAGCTCTTTCATGAAGGAAAATGCAAACTCATCTTACATGTATTTTTGCTGTTATTTCCGAGACGTTTGTGCAGCAGATAGTTTTGTGTGCACGTTTGTGCATGCACAGGGACCCCTCGCTCAAAACACCTTTTATTGCCTGTTTTACTCCGTGCCATTGACAATATGCTGACTCCTCACCCACTATTAAAGGTAGAGTTGTATTTGACATTCAGAGCAGTAAGATAGAATCAAACAACAGTCGGCAACAGTCGATTGCGTGGTCGATGGTTGTATGTCGGATTTAATCACACAATATGGCTGTGGTCCTTTCAGACATATCGGTGAAACTCTCATGTTACAGCGTGTAACACTGTCCTACTGTTATTTCAGTTCCTGCCCTGTTGATTGGTCACCTTGTTGCTCTCCATGTAGGCGCTGCTCATTCACAGTCCATACTTCCAAAGCAGCAGGAGCTCCTCTTTCTGAAACTGATAACAAGGATAAAGCACAGTAACGACATCCGAATAAAATGAGAAAAGGAGGACCCCACCTGGAGGGAAATTTGACACAGAGCAGTGAGTAAAAAGGATTTCAAATGAAGACGGAGGGCCCCTTTATGCCGCACACGCTCAATTCAACACTTGCCACACTTTGTAGTAATTGGAACAAAAACTAAAAAGTGGTGAAACGGGACCCCAATCAGTGAAGGCAGCGTAGCCCACACAGAGTGCATGAGAAAGTGCGTTGGACCTTGGAGAGACATGATATCCTGCTTCAGGTAACCTTATTGATTTAAGGACTTTCTCACAAGCTCCACGCTACTTAATAGAATAAATGGGCTACTGCAATTATAATGTTTCTCCCAATGAAATGCACACAGCATCATAAGAAGTCAGCTTCCTCGTCATCGTTAGCTTTTTGAATGTTTTATTTATTTATACATATACGAATAGAATTTTGTGAAAAAAATGGTTTTGTGTAAAGTAAATTTAACATTTTATATTTCATTACACCTGTGATTGAGAAGAGCTTCAAATACATTTGATGCATTTAGTGCATTTACCAATCTAACGCTTTTCATTCCAATGGATGGCAATAATTTACTAAAACTAAAACACCAGGCCATTTGTCTTACTCATTGTTACATAATTGTGTGCATTCTACTTAATTTACTTTTTTTTTTTAAAGAAAGACAGAAATAAAAGAAGGAGTTTCAATGTGAAAATGCTTCAACAACTTCAAATAGTTTTTTCACATTTCAATATATTTCTTCATTCCCCATTATTGTCCACATATTTCATTTATCATCTGATTCATATCTAGATATATTTATATATACTTATATATATATATATATATATATATATATATATATATATATATATAAAATACTAATATATATATATATATATATATATGTATATAAGTATATATACATATATCTATCTAGATATACAGTGTATATATGATATCCTGATAAACATCAGTGCGCATGCAGTACTTACAATACGGTCCAGCGGAATCACCAACAATGTGACAGTGGATAAACGCTGCAGGTTTAAAAAAACTATGGAAAAATGGAATCAGAAAGTAACGCGTCTTAAATTCCAGAGATTGTTGTCTCTTAACTCTGGAGCAGCCAATAAAGCGTCAGACCAAGCGGCAGCATCACCTGGACCCAAACCTCAGACAGGGGGCCTTCTTAGTGTACATAATTAAAGAAGTGGGATAGGATAACCCGCACCTGGAAGTATAGAACAATAGCTCCGTGAATGTATGCAAGGGACAGTGTGCGCACTTCTGGTTGAACACCTTTGCACATGCTCAGGCGTGTGTGTGTGTGTGTGTGTGTGTGTGTGTGTGTGTGTGTGTTAGTGTGTTCACACCAGGCTCACACTTAGCGCTATATCCACATTTCAATTACAAAACCAATGACTTGGCTCAACGATTTGGCTGTTTTAAGTCTATTATAAATTATTCTGATAGCAGCGCTTGGTTTCTGTTGTACATTTCGTTGCTATTCCAACTCCCACTGCCATGGTGCACTGCCTCAGGTAACATAACACCATAACAAACATGTTTTGTTGCCCACAATACAACGCTGCAGCCACGGCCGTGGACAAGGGCAGCGCGTCACCCGCTCTGCAGGGAGGGTGATCGGCTGCAACCGGCCGTCCCTCCAGGACCCGTTTGCCTCCAGGAGTTTGAGGCGAGCAGGCAGGATCGTAGCCGACCCGTCTCGCCCCGCACGCAGACCCTTTGAGCCCCTTTGAGCCCCTCCCCTGTGGCAGGAGGCTGCGGCCCATCAGCACCAAGACCTCCCGCCACAGAAACAGCTTCTTCCCCTCATCAGTTGGTCTCAAGCCCGAGCCCCCCCATTGACCCACGTGCTCCATCCCCGGAGCATCTGCACAGTGGTTTCTCTCAGCATGGAAACATATGTACACACATACGTGTTTCAATGTACTTATCTTAACTCTTTATATTGTTTTAATTTTAATTGTATATTTTTATCTTATCTTATTTTATTTTATTCTTAAATTGCACCAATCATCAAGATAAATTCCTCTATGTGTAACATATGTGGGAATAAATGGCTTCTGATTCTGATGCTATCCGATAGCTGACTGCTCCGCAGACCTTTACTGTGCTTTACTGGTTTTACTTGTGTTGTCGTGTCTAATTGCTAAATAATCAATGCGTCTCACCCACTTTTTGGATTTAATTCAGTTGCAACACTTTTCTTTGTTTCTCCTCACGGGTATTTTTTTGGTATGATAGACAATTCTACCAAGTTACGACTTTTTTACCTTTCAAAAGTTTGGATGAACTGTCTCTCTCTCTGCGGTCACCCATGTTTTCTTCTCATTTTCTGCTTTCTATTTTCTACTGCCAACTACTTTTTCCGTATTTTTTAATATTAGCTGCTTACTTTCATACTTTGCGTGAGTGTTTATCTCTCTGCACAGCTGTGTATAGTTCAAACACAGAGACGGCCGGTCCACAGGTGGACACATATATGGATACAGAAGACATGATTAAATATTCAACGTTCAATACATACTGTATAAACTTACCAAGAGTATTGTTCAGCCATTACGCGCTGTAACCTCAGTATGTATGGGGAGGCAGGTGACCCTTACTCAGCCTTGGGCCTTTGTGTTGGCTCCAGTATTTCTGCCTCTGTTATTAGGAGATTAGTCTGACTGACCCCGCTGCAGCTGAGCACACCGTGAGTAGAACATAATCAATAATGGAAGGCTGCACAAACGCAGAAGAACAGACTCACACAGGCGATCACATGTGTTCCCCCGCACAGTACAGACTGTTCTGCAACAGACCTGAGAACAGCAGATTGTTATTTTCCACATTTATCGTGTTTCTCTGTGAGCAAGAACACTGTCGTGTTCAGGGTCGGGTGGTATTTCACTCTGGTACATATTAAATCTGTTGATAATTTCGGATGAATATATTACCACGTTCTTCTGCGTCGGATAATGAATGTTTTTAATGGACTAAATGTTGTAGTTTTTCTGTGGATTAAAAAAAAATGAAGAAATTCAGGATAAATTTAAAGATGCCACTTTAGCAAAAAAAAAAAGAATAACTTTGAATTTTTAATCTGGTACATAAACCATAAAATAAAAAGAAACATTATTATTCAGGTTGAAGAATGGAGATGTGAGGTGCTGGTAGTTGGATTTTGTCGGCCAGCTCATTTCCCGTCTCTCTGATAAGCTTCACATTGAATTGACAGAGATGAATGTGATATCAATCTTCTCATCCAACTCTCAGCAGCAAAGCGAATACGCATATTTCCCCCAAAAGACCCAATTCATAAGGGTGCAGAGCCAGATAACGCAGACTCATCTGCCTCTACAGAAAGGCTCATTGTCATATTGCATCGTATTTAATCTGTTACTTTTGGACATCATGTTCCCTCATTGAATAGGAGGGATGACTGCATGATCATGAATGGATTTTCATAATTCTGCCATAGAAGAAGTAATACCATTCCTCATATTAAACCAATGCAAAAGAGAAATCTGGCAATTTGGTATTTAAACTACCGGAAAATAATATACTCTGAGCAATATGAATATCAACGCCTGTATTATTGCTTTTATTCTAAGGTACATCCGCAGTTTGGTGGGTCATATGGACGACATAACATAGTTCTCAGATGATTTGAATTCGGCTGCAGACTTAATTAGCGCCTCGATGCAAACATCTTCTCAATGTGTGCGATATTGTGTGCTCATACTACATTTACAAAAACAAACAATCGGACACGAGGTTGCATGATTTTCAACACTCATTTATTTATTCGCCATATTTTTTTTCTTGACAATTTTTGTTACGTGTCCACAGACATGATAAAGAACTCCGGGACACTCAAAAGATAAACGTGAGCACTGAGATTAAGACTTCATCACAGACTTACAGCTGCTCCTGCAGAGTGGCAGACCTGGGACCATCGACCCGGGTCCACCTTGACAAAGCAGCAGGCCAGCTATTCTTATTGATGTTGGTTTACAGGGAGAGAGAGTTAATATCATCTGTGTCACGAGACCCAACGCAGAACATCTCCATTTATATACAAGACAGAGCCGAGAGGAAGGTTTCCAGTTTGTCCAAACAAGGGTCATGGATGACAATACTTTACAAGCAGCACTTCAGGAGGGGGGGCGTGTGTGTGTGTGGGGGGGGCTGTTGTCATTAGCAAGCGGTAAGGCCGGAGAGAGGGACAGAGCACAGCGGGAGATAAGAGGACCTGCATGCTAAGACACCAAAAAGCAGCCAAATGCAAATTAATCAACTCATTTCTCTTTCAACACGTATCGCCCAGTGCATCAAAACTGCCTCACAAAGAGTATTTTGAAAACGTTATACCGTTAATGCTGGAAGCATTGGGAGTCATCTGCAAGTTCCACACAAAACTAAACGAAAATCAATGCAGTTTGGTGCGACGTTGTTGGTGGTTTGATTGCTGAAGCAAAAAAGGCAGAGTTACATAATCACCTTCAGGACAGGGTGGTATTAAAGTCAAATCCAGTACTTTCCATACATTCTGAAAATAAGGGTCCCTTGTGTATGAGTGAAATATAGTTTAAGAACATGATCAATCCATTCTTCTAAACTTTCTCTATATAGTATGTATATATATATCTATAAAACAAAGTTGATTATACCAAAATGACCCAGAAAGGAAAACTGTAATCCCAATTCACACTTTGCTAACAGACTGCATATTGATTAATAATAAAAGAAGTCCTATGTAACATCAAAGTTAAAGACTTTTTGTTAAGTCAGATTTTGAACAGATTCGATCAATACTCGGCTGCTTTGCTCATCAGGTTGTTTGGCCTGTGGTGCACAGTCCTGAACACGTTCAGTAATCCGATCATAAATCAGGTTTAGCAAAAAGATGTACGTAACCAAGAGGAAAAAGGGCGAGACGAAATGGTTGGCTGACCACGTCTTGGAGTTACAACAAAAAAAGAGTGTGAAAAACAAATGCAATTAATTTGCCTTTAGATGCAAACAATGCAATAGAAAACATTATCATGTCCACTGTAAAAACTCTTTACTCTAAATTACTCTAAATGTAATTTCTTGTTGAAGTATTTCCACTAATGCTATGAATCTCAAACCAACTTTTGGGGTCATCTTGGTATAAAGCAAAATAACACAGAGCACGTAAAAGCATCTAGAAACCATCCCTGGAGATTGAAGTCATAACACCAAGCTAATCATACCGTACTGGTTTCTGACACAAGCTTACAGATCTACATTAGCAGCAACAGCACAACAGCTAAGAGGGGGACTACTTTTTATAATGCAACATTTACAGGGTATGATAATGAGACACACACTGCACTGTTACAGGCTACACCAACATACTCTAGAGCATCATTGATAATATTCACTCTCCAAAACATTGACATCGATCATCGATATTAAAAAAAAGATTCACAGCATCTACTTTTATTCTACATAAAAGCTTAATCTTGGACAGTGTCGCTAATTTCAGCGTTGATGTGAAAGACAACAACGGAGGAGGGAGAGAAGAAAAAGAGGTGAAGAAAGGGAGGCACTATCTGGTGCATGGACAACGCTCTTGCCCACGCAAAAGCAACCTTCAACAGGTCCGTGTTCGATCACAACTTTCCATTTAGCTACTGGATGAGACTTGAATGGTAAACGTATTTACCGCGTGCGCTCTGCTGGCCCGTAACAGACAGAAGAAGTGCTTATTTGATTAAGGGCCAGTGGGAAGGATTTGGCGGCATCTAGCGGCGAGGTTGCAGATTTCAACCGACTGAAACGTCTCCCGCGTGCGCCAGCGTGTGAAAATACGGTGACCGACAGAACAGTACACAACAGCTCCTATTTTCAGTTGATTACGCACTAAAGAAAACCTCATTTTTTGTATTATTTGTTAATATCTGATCTCCCCCTTAATGCCACACACTGTGTTTTTGAACAATTGTGCTTCAGGAGAAGCCTATTCACCACGTAAAAAGTCTTGGGTCAACTTAGGTATAACTGACACGTTTTTAGTGCAATAGGTGTGGGAAACATATTCATTCACTGTCTTGCCAAAAGGTGCAATTAGACGTAGCGCTGGCCGATGGGGAGAAAATCAAATACTTCAAAAATCAGGCTGCCAGCACCTCTAACGCTCCCTAATCTGTATCTTTGATTTCATGTTAAAACTAAAACGGTCAGTTTGTGCACAAATCAAATTAGACAAGGCCAGCTGTCTACCTCTACCTCCAGTCTCTGTGCTAAGCTAACTGCCAAAACAGTACCTGCATCATTCAGCGTCATCAATCTTCTCATTTAACTCTCGGCAAGAAAATAAACAAGTGTTTTTCCCCCATCAGCAAACTATATCCTAAATATCTGCTAACACAGTAGCCCATTGGAAAATGATTTACCACAACAACAAAAATAGAAAACGCTTTGGTTAAAATAACTGAGTAAATGATAAGATGCATAAACTCAATACAGACAATAAAGTGCCATGCAACAAAACGTCACAAATAAATCGCAGTGCAGGAAACCTATAATATCACAATAAATTAACTTTACATCATAGTTCTGTGCACAGGGGATTATACATCATTAAAGAAGCCGATGACAGGAAGGACGTGAGTTTTCTCTGCCGGTGAAGGATTGTTTTGCCTTGATCGAGCCAACAAACACATTTCTTGGAATCGGTTAAAAGAAGTCACGACACAGTAAAGACAACGTGCCACTTTGTCCCAACAAATCCCTCATGCTACTTCAATGTGAAAAAAGGTTGGGGACCACTGCTATATATGATGGTTGTATGGAGCAACTCATCCCCTGCACTTACACATCTCTACAAAGCAAAACATCCCATCGGACGTTGGGAATTTCCCCCTCACCCGATGCCGTTGATTGGAAACAAACAAATGGCTGATTTAAAACTGGGACTTATTTTTCTTATTTTCATGTATGTGAATAAAGGAGGGACGGATCCCTGCTAACTCTACAGGGGTCTGGTAGCCTTACAGATGTGTACATGAAAGCTGATGAAAACAGGTCTCAACGCTCAGCAGGGGAAAGTTTATTAACAGGTTTGGGTGGTTAGTTTGTCTTGTGTATCTGCTAAAGGTGAGGAGGGAGCACGCCATGCGGGGGGCGGGGGGGGGGGTCAAGGTGGCGACTTACAAGAGAGCGAAAAGACGGTTTGGTTGCTTTCAGGGACGAGCGATATAGTGACGTTCGGGAGTGTTTTCATTTCATAGGGTTTGCGTACAAGTTGTTTATGGGGTGTATGTTCATTAGAGCAGGGTTCTGAGTTGAGCCGTTAGATTGGATTGTTTTGTGTGTCTGTTTGTTGTTTTCCACCAGGCCTGTTCACCTCTCACATCCTCAAGGCCGACGGCACCGACTGGACCGACTTTCTCCGGGAGAGCTTTGACCTGAGGACGGAGGCGGGAAGAAAGGGGACAAAAGAAATGGGCCGTGTTAATATTTGGAGGGCACTTGTGTGGTAATGTCCCATGACGCTTTCAGAAAAGGCAAAATAACAGTATTTGTAGGAAAAATAGATGCAATATTCTGCGTAATGAGCTGAACTGCCTTGTATTTTTTCTCCCTTGATTTTGTTTCTGTTGATTGTCATTTTTACAGTAATTAGTACCAAATTACATTTCTTTTTATGGAAAGTTTTAGTGCAGTTACGTTTCAAATGCGTAAGACTGACTGCATAATCTGCAAGTTGCAGTGTTTTGGGTGGATTCTCAGTCGCTCCGCCCCTCACCTGATGGTGCCAGCTAGCAGAGGGTTAAAGGCGTACAGCCAGTCGTGCATCTCTTTGTCGTTGGTGGCCTGCAGCAGTATCCCACGATGCTCAGTGCACACAGCAAACGTGTTGGGTGTCTGCAGACACGAGGTTACTTCAGTTCGTTCATGTTCAGCGGCTCACTACTCATTCATTTTGTCTCAAAGTGTGTTTTGCTGTTGAACCCGAGTCGTACCCGCAGTAAGGTCTGTTTGTCCTCGCTGTACTCCACCTTCGCAGACGACAGGTTGATGACAGCTCTCTCCACGCTGTCCCTCTCGCTGCGGTACAGGTAGACGTAGGGCCGGCGCACCACCACGAAGCGCTTCACCCAGCCGCTGGTGTGGGGCTCCAGGAAGTGCAGGTAACCCTTTTTTGAAACAATGGGGCTGCACACGACGGAATTACTATTAATATTAAGACAAAATCAATAAACCTTTTTCCCCAAACAGAAACAATAGAGTAAATGGTTTACGAATAAAAGGATCAAGGATTGTGTGTGTGTGTGTGTGTGTGTGTGTGTGTGGTCTGACCTGACACGGATCTCCTGTATGTCAGGAACAAAGGTGCATCCTCTGAGGGCCTTCTTTCTGTCCACCGGGCTGTACGGGTCCAGATCAGGTGTGGACGCACCTGAACTGGGTTCAGTGTGTCTGTACGACATAAACAACATGTTCTTGATGGGACAAACACATTCTGAATCCTTCTCTTTAAAAAAAAACACATTTTACAATTCGACAATTTCTCGGCATCAAGTATTTTCCCTTATTTCACGCTACTTTACAGTTTCCCTCCACTACATTACATTTACATTTGACAGCTATTCTTCTTGAATGACTACTGCGGATTTCACGTGTATTTGGCTAATCATACTTCTGTCCTCTTCAAGTAAGATTTTGAACGTAGGACCTCATACCAGTAGTCTTTACATTGTGGTCTTTCTACTTTTAATAAAGTAAATTGTTTGAATTCTTCTTATACCACTAAAAGCTTTTCATGCAAATCTTTGTTGCATTATGATATCACCAACTGCAACATTTAGCATATGAAAAGAGTCATTTAACAAACTTTCTAGGACAAAAAGAAACAGCTTTAGCGACAAGGATGTTTTTGGTTTTGAGTAAATGCAGAGAAATTTGAGCTAAATTGAAGTATTTTGGTGCATAGCAAAAAATAATGAATCGCAGCACCAAAGAAGTCATTGCAATCAAAGGATCATCAGTAATCACTCGATTATGAACCCAGCACAGTGTATCAAAGTAGCCAAAACAGGGCAACGGACCAAAAGTATTGAAATGATACTCCGATGAGCCACATCGCGTATTCACGTACCTAATGTCATAATTTCCTTCAACCAGCGATGGGCAGGTGGAGGACGGAGTGAGCGTGCTCAGTCCGGACGAGGAGTCGCTCATTAGCGACGCAGACATCTCAGAAAGCTAAAACACACACAACCACACACACACACACACACAGCAACGCGTTCACAAAACATCATGCATGGAGAAGCACACATAAAAAAAAGGGACACACACACGTACAGACAAAACAATTAAGCACAAACAACACAGACGAGCATTCAGAAAAAGACCCAATTAGAATATTTGTCACTTTCTTGCATTTCTACTGAAATAAACCATCTCTTTACGATTGCAATCCTCATTATGAGAGCGCCCCTTTGCTGGTCAACATGTTAAAGAGGACATGCAGGAGAAACGTCAGGTTAGAGGAAGCCTTTCAGCGTCTCGAGGAGGGGAGGCGGTGAGATATGAGGTGTGAGGCGTGGACACGTGGATTTAAACCTGCAGGAAACCCTTTTTTATTTATTGTTTCCCATGGAAGCTGAAGGAATTCATATGTGTAAGTCATAGCTGACCCCAGTCTACTGATTGATTTTCAAGACACGAGATAAAAGGTTGAGACAACAGATGGAACGACGAAGACAGAAAGACACAGACAGGCACAGAGAAATGTCCGAATAATGGGAGGAATGCAATGGCAGAGAGAGGTGGGAGTCGGGGGCTTGCATATTTTACAGGAGGTACAGCGGTTCGCGCTGAAGGTTCAGAAGGATTAACGGGCCGGGCTAGAGGGCCTGGGCCGGGGCTCACCTTGCTCTCACTGGCACTGCTGCTCACCTGGCTGTACTCCCTGTTGAAGGTGTGCATTAGCAGACGCAGACACTGGAAAGGAACGAGCAAAGAGACAGGTGGCGTTGAATGAAAGCTGTATCTGATTGAAGAGAAAACCTCTGGAGAAGCGGTTTAAGTGGCAGCGGCAGTCACCTTGGCAGCCAGCTCCCTCTGCCTCTGGTTGGGGCTGTCGAAGGCCGGGCTGCTGCCGGGACTGTGGCCCAGGACGGGACTCTTGGCAAAATCGCTGATGTCGCTGCCTTTGTAGAGCGCATCCTGTCCCGCCAGCAGAGTCGCCTCCAGCTTCTCCCTCAGCAGCAGGTAGTGCCTGGTCTTCTCCACCTAAAGCCACGAGCGCAGACACACTTCAATTCCACTCAGCAAATGTGTGTAGTATGTTTGAGATCGGACGTGCTGCTGCAGAGACATTCTTTCTTTTACATTCCAAGCACCTGGTTTGAACTAATGAGGCTAAATCTGAATATCAAACCGCACTTGACTGCGAGAGCAAGTGAGAGAAATACTTTCTCTTTTCTAGGTGTCGTCTTACCAGCAAACCGATTAGCAAACTGACCTCCTGCAGCAAACTGAGTTTCTCCAGCTCCCACTGGTGGTCCAAGATGAGGCTGTCACTGCGAGGCCTCCATCCAGCCAGGTTCTCCTCCCCCCGGACGTACGCCACCGAGGTGTCCAGCACGCGGCGGCGCCGGCGCTGCATGCCTGAAGGAATGGACGTTCACCCGAGTGTTTTAAACCGAGAGGTTTGGAAAAGGAAATCGCAATCATGATCCTTGGGTCTTTGGTCTCACCTGGACTCCCGTTGTCCGCCACGTGGCAAAGCGTGACTTCATAGACTCCAGTGACACGGTTACTACGAAGGAGAGCGATGACGTCAATTCAACTGCCAAATTCGCCGAACGCCTTTGTTTAGATTGAGGGACAGAACGTGTGAATCCATAAAGCGGTACCTCTCCGAGGGCCGGAGGCAGCCGGTGCTGAAGAGGTTCCTGATGGAGCGAGAGGCCGGCAGCTTCGCATCACGGGAATAAAACACCATGCAGAAGTCTTTGGTGATCACTGTCGGCTGAGTGCAGTTCTCCATCTAAATATAAGACGGCGACACGTTAGAACCCAGAATGGTCCCGTTTGGCTCAATGGTTTTGGCTTCCAAACGAGCATTAATGCTCATCGTTGCCTGAATGTTTACAGTCTTAGTACCTCCAGATAAGCAGACAGGGTGATGTAGATCTTCTCCCCGTAGGGAGTGACTCTGTTCAGAAGCAGGGAGTTGTGCATGGAGCTGTCCCATGCCGCCTCGAATCGGTAGAAAGTTCTGCAATGTGGAAAACAGCTAATTGCATTTTTATTTGGAAGAAAAGTGTCAATCTCATGAAAAGCCAGTGAGCGATTTACCATTTTGTTATTAGAAACAAGAATTTTTTTTTAGTGATTGTCATTTATACCTATGGTCAACTCCCAAGGAGACGCTGGCGTTAGCAAAGGATAAAGAGAAACAGGACACGAGTAAGAAACTTTTAACTGCAGCTGTTAAAAGTTTAAACTCAGCAAATCATACTGATCCATGCAAACTGAAAAATGCATCAATGCGTTTGATTAAAAAAAAAGGCACATTGAAGCGACGTTAACTAGAACTAAACAACCAAAGCAACTGATCTGGCTCCATTATATAGCTTTATTAAATAATGAATATAGGTAACCGGACAAGAGACAAACATTAAACCGTAAATTTAAGATCACTCTAAAATATATACTTGTCGTTGTGTTTTGGCCAGAAGTATCCAGAAGACAGGAGGTTGAGGGAAAGGATGTTGGGGTCTATGATGGTCTCATCGGCCTCGGGTGTGTTTCGAATACGGCCTGAAGTCAAACAAGCCATTATGGGATCAATCCAGCGAGAGCTTCGAGAGACTAGAATCTAACCAACTAGTCCAGTGATGTTTTTGAACTGTCCTCGTCACTCACCAATAACCAGCTCCTTCACCTCTTTCCACTCAATGTCATTCCCCGTTTCGTGAGCGATGGTGACTGTGATCCTCCTCTGGATGCCCTGTGAGTCCATAGAGAAAATATACCAGTTTGTTACTTTAACGCCGCCACTGAAACCATTTCTCTTCCAGGCGTTTGGACGACAAGACGATCTGGAAATGCATTTGTCCAAAGCTGCAGATAACAGCTGATGACATTCAACACTCGGCTGTGGATTTGCAGATTCGATGTGTCTGACCTGATGCAAGAGGAACGTGCCGTGGCAGGGCATCCCTCCTCTGTGGTCAACAACAGCAGGGATGTAGCTAAAGAAAAGGAAGAAATCACCGTTTTAATCTGAGAACAAGGGGGTTTTCTCGCATTCAACCCGATCTACTTGTGTTCTGCCGTTGCGGCGTTGACGTGGCAGCCGTGAAGATGCAACTCACTCTCCGTTAGCTTCCAGCTCACAGATCTCAAAGAAGGCCATTAGGTCGTATTTGGCGTGACAAGGTCCTGCGGTGGAGCGAGTCAGAGTGCTGAGCTTTGTTGCCGGCACTGCGGGATGGAAGAGGGCAGAGTAAAAGAAGAAGGAAAACATCGCTGCATATCGGTATCGGCTGGAAGTCAAAAAAACAGACCATTTCGGTATTAAATAAAAACTTAATAAACCCTCAGGCAGAGCAAATGTCACCGCTAACCTGGTTTGGATAAGGGCATCACCCTGGGGAACTGCCTCCTGGAAGGTCGCAGCGGACTGAAAGGGCAAGTCAAAGAAACCAAACATGAAGCAACTTTCTTTCCATCTAAATATATATAGAGTATATCGCCTCACCACCAGTCATCTGCTGGCGGAAACCTTCCTGACCTGATCAGGTCTTTGCAGAGCGGCGGGAAAGGCTGTTTCTGATAATGACCAAACACCTCGAAGACGATGGGCTGCGTCTTGATGTACTCCACGAAGGACTTTGTCACCTCCACTGTGATCTGATGGAGAAGAGAGAGAATACAAGTCAGACGCAGGCTTTCGGAAAGGTTTGTGATAACGGGCGGGAATGTTAAGTCCACTGTTTACGTTTTGCACGTGGTAGAAGCCCAGCGGAGGTCCCCTGCCCGTGTTCTTCAGTGGCTCAGTGGAAAAAGCCTCGTCATGGCGATGGATGAAGCTAAAACGGGTAAAAGCCATTATGCGAGACTGTACCTCCCTTTGCTTATTAATGAGCCTCGAACCACAAACATCAGTTCATTTCTTCTCATTTCATTCAGCAGCATCTTTGCATGAAGCGAGAAGCTCGTCCCAGGAGGACAATATTATCTCCGCACTTGGTGGAGACGTCCCTGAAACTCACTTGAATTGGCAGAAGATGTCGGCGTACTCGGCTGAAATGCTGGAGGCCTGTAAGACGGTGACCCTGAAGGTGAACGTGCTGCCGATCTTCAGGTGCGACAGAGCTTTCTCCGGGGAAAGGTCCAGAGGAAGATCCAGACCCGGACCTGAACTCTTCACCGGGCTGCGGGGGGTCTCTGTGGTGGCGACATGAAAACACATTTGTTAGATACGATGTCCCTTTGAATAAACCCCGTATTTCAGCGCCGGTGGACCGCGGACGTCAGAGGGGTGAACGTCACCTGGACAGTTGTTGTTGACTTCATCGGCAGAGATTCCGATCTCTGTGTTCTGTCCCTCGCCCTCCACGAAGCGCAGCTCCTCCTGGGAGGTGTTGGAGTGGGAGAGGCCGCCAGGACACGACTCGGTCTGGAACTGGAACAAGACGGAAGACAATCAGACTGAATTCCACTTACGTTCCAACACAGAAGACCAATACCATCACCAGACAACAAGTACCTTCTCAAACTGTTTGTCTTCAAAGGAGATCTTGGCGGTGCCTGACTGCCTCACACCAGAGCCGTAATCAGGGGCCTCCTCATCAGCTGAACGGGAACAAAACACAATTTCTTGGTACAAAAAGGGGCAGATACGGTTCAACAGCATGCACAGAGTGCTATTCGTCCTGCGCTTGTACCTGAGATGGCCTGCACGGCCACTCGGAGGAAGCCTTTCACCTCTCCCTTCTCACTGACGATAGCCACGCGATGTACCAGGGGCACCGGGTACAGCAGGTTACTCAGGTACACAAAAGCCCTGAGGAAGGAGGTGCCAAAGTGACGACTCATTGCCGTTTTGAATGCATGCGGCGGGCGGGAGGGGACGTACCTGCCAACCAGACGGAACCATGGGAAGCGGTCGTAGAAGGGGTCGCCCCCGCTCAGAGCGTGGTCACAGTCCTCCACGCCGCTGCTGGGGAGCTCCGCGGCCCGGTCGTACATTTCCCTCATCAGGTCCAGCCTCTGTCTGCAGTGAGAAGCACCAAAAGAGAAGAAAAGGCAACGTGTAAAACGGGATCGATCATAGTAGATTAAAGCCGCCGATGGAGAGCTGTTGGTATTCTTGTGGTTCTATCAAAGCTCTTATTCATATTCTGTTAAACCTGTCATGACTTCACCTGAGCTTCTCCAGAGTCCAGTAGTGTGTGGCTCCGTTCTTCTGATCCTGCACTTCAACAGCGACGATGGTTTGGGGGAAAGGTCGTCTCTCCCTCTCTTTGGCTACGCTCGGGGGCAGCAGGTCGGGGGGCAACGGAGAGTACAGAGTGTCCGTCAACAAGACGAACTGGAACTGAACCTGCGGACGAGACGGGACATAAAAGGTGAGACACTGTGTCGTGTTATCGCGTCACGACTCTCCGTTGGCAAAGTGACCGTGATTCATGTCCCTGGTTAGAATGGCTCCACTTCCCGATTCCTTAGCGGCAGAAACAGTGTTTAGTGGGATACTTTGAATAAGATAATGGCAGTTTTGTCTCTAAACTATAAAGAAATTGCCTACCGTCTCCAAGCAGCACAAATTAAAGTGAGGTGCAAAGCGTCTGAAGGACTTTCTTAGCAAGCAAGAATTTGTCTTCTGTTCATTGATCGAACTCGAAGCTGCAGTTTCATTTCGGCCGAATTAAAATGCTTCGTCAATTGCACCTTTTATTAGATGGATGACTGGACGGAGCCCAGGATATGGAGCACCGAGTGACGATTCACTGGGCTCAAGCACTTGAACCTCATCAGGTGATTGAACACAAGCGGCACTGATCTGACAGTAAAATCAAACTTATTTCCAGGAATAAACAAAGAATTCAATATAAGGTTTTAAGGACGTTTGATGAATTTCTAATGGTCGAATTCCACATGGATGCAACTTCAGTCTGGACTGAAGAGCTGACTCTTCATACATCACATTAAAGTTATGCAATATTTGCACTTGGACGGGAACGATTACTCTCTAAGAGAATGGAATAATGGCCTGTGACACATCATATCTCAGAGTGATGAATAATGACAATGTTTTACAGATAAGAACGTCCCACCTTTTTCTTCAGCTCCACACTGATGGCATTGGCCTCTTTTAGGAAGATGGCGTTGCCCCAAAGCAGATCCCTGAGCGACGTGAACTGGTAAAAACGCCACTTCCTGAAAGCCCACAGAGCCAACTCGGTCTCACGAGGCGTCCAGGGCACTGGGGGGGGGGAGACAGATGAGGCGTGACAACTCTGATCGAACAAAAAGTCGGGTTGAGAGGTGGCCAGTTAAAAAGCGACAGTATCACCTTCCTCTTCAGGCTCCTCCTCTTCCTCAGGAGACTCCAGGTACCGAGAGTCCACTTGTTTCTGAAGAGCCTCCAGTTTACTCTCATAGTCCTTGAAAGAAAACACGTGATCCAGTTCAAAAACAGCGGGTTGCTTCTGCGTGCAGTGACTACACGTTTCCTTTTATCAGGAACCTTAAATGATAAACGTTTGTCAACTAAGTGTCAGCTCTTTACTATTCATATCCACTCACCAGCCTCTGTTGTTCTAGCAGGTTGCTGGCTTCTTCCCTTTCTTTGCGGTACTGATCTTCAAGCTCTTGAAGTCTGAAAGAGATTTTTTAAAAGCTCCATGCTAGAGGAGTGATGTGTGTGAATGCAATTCAAATAGCAGCGCGTTATCCGCGTACCTCTGCTCCATCTCCTGCTTCATGTCGATGCCCTGCTTCTCCAGCAGCTCTCTCTGAGCGAAGGCCCAGTCGACGGGCTCGACCGGCGTCTCGGCGCACGGCGTCCTCTCTCGCTCCAGGCGAGCTTGCTCCGGGTCGTTGAAGCGGAACACGTGGCTCTTTCCCATGATGATGCGGTTCCCTAAAGAGTGCGCGCGTCAGTTAAAGCGCTTTCCCCCCCCCCCCCGGGTTTCCTCCCGTGACGCATTTGCCACGTCTGCCCTCCTGGTAAAGTTGATCGTAGCCAAATAATGTGGCGCTTCTCGCTCACCGGATCGGAGAACTGTGGGAGAGCTAACCCGCTTCCCGTTGACGTACGTCTCGGAGCCCTCGCATGGCTCCAGGATGACACATTCTGTTCAAGAAAAGATTGATGAGTAACTGTGACAACAAAGACTTCGTCGCGCACACGACGCGGGCGTCTTCATTTTCAACACGTCTGTATTTAACGTTGTAGTCCAGCCTTTACCTTCTCCCAGAGGACCCGTGGTGCTGCTGAAGGTGCAGTGTTCGTCTCTGATAAAATGGCCGCTGAGAACAATGTCCTGCCGAGACTTGGCGTCTTCACGGCCAACCCTGAGGGAAGATAAGGTGAACGCTTAAGACAAATTCACAGAAACAGTATCTGGATTGAATGTAGAAAAGCCCTACTTGGTGAGGCCGTCTTTAATGTAATACAGCAGACACTCTGACATCAGCGGGTCCTCGTTGAGGTTCACCAGATGAGGCGTCTACAGAGAAATAACGTGGCACACGTTTTAGTAAATACATCAAAGTGTTCCCTAACAGCGATGAGCCGCGTGTACCTTTTTCGGGGAGAAAACGCCCAAAGTTCCTCCATCTTCTCTCATGGCAACACCCATTTCAGCCAGCAGGGCCTCCCTACAGGAGGCAACCACACATGCCGCTAAACACACTTTCTTATTTTTGTACACAATAAATCCTTTAAGATCATTTTCAGCCCAATGCTCCATCCAAAGAAAGGTTAGAAAAATGACAGCAGGAATGTCTAAAGCACAATTTGACCACTGTAGCTTCAATTATTCATTAACACTGGTATAGTTAAACTTGAATGTAATGTCTGTGTTATGCTGATGAAGGACGAATGGATGATAAACGAGATTTTAAGGAAAAGGAACATTTGCATTCAGTCTGTAATTGTAGGAGTCACTGTGTTTCAGAAGCTAAAGGAGCTTTTTTTAATTACATAAACGATGGAAAAAGGCTTTCCGTGGTGGAGGAGGAACTTTTTATTTAACATCCTTTATAGTTGAGACGATTGTGATATATTTTTTAGAATTAAATAAGTGCGTCCTTTCCTTTTCTTTTAAATATCAGTGCATGTATAATTTTATTTTACTTACTTTTTACTTTTTCAAACCAGGTTGTATTATTTTAAGCTTTGTGTTTTTTTTAAGGTAAAAAACTTAAATACAAACTTCATTGACGACACGGCGGTTTAATCAAAGTTAAATGGAGCGAATATGAACCTCTCCATGCGGATGGCCTCAGTACGTCGCAGCTTCTCTTCCCAAGTCTCATTAAGCTCTGCGATGATTTTCTCGGTTTCCTGTTGAAAAAATTAAGACATTGATCTCAAAATCAGGCCAAAAAAAACGACTCCATCCTAAGCCAACATCTAACAGAGCATTTCCTGCACGGGTTCAGCATCATCCCTCTTACCTTGAGCCTCTCGATGGCCTCTTCACTGGCCGGGCTGAAGATGCGGTCATGGAGGTTGTTGATGGAGCCGACGCGACTGGACAGCGCCGACAGAGAGGGGGAGGGACTCATTCCTGTCATGGCATTGGACACTGCGGAGAGATCACCCCTTTGATTGACAGCCTGGCGATTATTCACAAAGTTCTTGTAATCGCACAGGTCTGTCAGAGAGAGAGGCGTTGCATGGAAGTGAGCAAGGAAAGAGGAAGGAAGGAAGGACAGAAAGACGGACGGACGGAAGGGCGGAGCATACGCCGGGTAATCACGGGGGGACATCGGGGGTTACGCAGGTAAAAAGGAAATGAAAAGGGGAAAAAACAGGAAGGAGTACAAAAAAAGAAGAGAAAGCTCAAATAATGCATCAAAGAAGCAGAAGTAATTTCCCCGCAGCCACCGCAGACCAAGAGGACGGAGAAACTTAAACCGATAGAGCATAAAATGCCAAATCAACTGAAAGTTAGAGACCACAAGCTTATTTTTTTTGTCTCTGACACACTCAGCAAGCTGAAAAAATGTCACGATAAAGCATAAATATGTAGATCACTACGATGCAATCGAATGTTCTGCACGTCCGAGCCTCTGGTAGCGCGGCGCTCGGAGATGCAGGACTCCAATGAGCTACACACACACACACGGGAAGTTTGTCAGCAATCTGAAATGGCGTCCTGTCAGGCCGCCTTTTTTCCATCACTAGTCTGGTCTCTGTCTGCTTTTTATTTTTATGTTTTGAAGAGTCCGGCTATTCCGATTCTTATTTAACAGGATCACACAGCAAAGCTTCTCGGTGAAATAGAAAATCCCGGCCAATTAAAAGTTGCACTATTGGGGAATCATAGAAGAATCTCGTATCGCCGCGACAAATGAAAAGAAAAAGGGAGGCCATTTTGCAGAATTCCTGAGAACACACAAACTTAATACAGCAACTGAATTATTTTGGTGCTTTTGCTCCAAATCCCAGGCGTGCTTTGAATACATCTGACTTAATTCACGTTGCATTTGGCTCAACATGAAGCCCCTTTATCAGTTAGGTCTCTTGTGTGTGGAGGAGGCTCGGGATTCGTTCCTGTTAGTCGCAAAGCGCAGGCTCGCTCGAGTTATACACACATTTCAAACCAGCGATGACCGGGCCGTTGCAGTGATACGCTGATAAGACAGAGGAGAGAAGAAAGTGAGTGGGGATGAGACGCCCACACTCCGAGTTTAATTGTCATCCTCCGTCTCGCATGTACAGCCTGAAAAAACCTGCACAATTGGTCTAAATTCAGGTGTTTGCGTGGGCGGCGTGTGCGCCTGTATGAGTGTCCGATTGTCTGTGCGACACTCACTCTCTATGATGTCTCCCAGGCCTTGTGAAAACAGCAGGTCTCTGAGGCGAGCCACCTCCTCCTTCAGCTCGCGCACCAGACGGTTGTTGGGGTCCTCGTTGATCACGGCATTGCAGCGGATCTGTTTGGCGCGATCGGCGTACCTGCAGAGTCGTCCACGTCGAGACCATTGAGCTATAAAGTCCTCAGGCTCAGGAGTTACAATCGTCATAAAATAACTATTCGTTTTGCAGGAAATGCCCCAGAATACATGCACACCTTATTTTGATGCAATGATTTGCACATTAGCAGGACGGCAGCTCGACGTGAATGTCGAAGCAGGGCTTGACGTTGTACTCACCTGAGGGTACTGAGAGTCTCGTCGTAGTTGATGTCTGCAGGGCTGAGGGCGGCCACCATGGCCGTACGAGAGTTTCCTCCTACGAGACAGAAAGCAAGAAAACATGTAAACTCACGGAGGAAATGTGTTTCATTTCGGTCGAAAATAAGGTGTATTATCATGAATAAATACCCAAGTTCTCCCTCAGAAGCCAAGTCAGAACCGAGTCTCTGTAGGGAATAAAATTCTCCACTTTCTTCTTTTTCTTGTTCTGTTCAGAACAGAAAGATCAAATCGCTAAAAACCTTTAAATATTGGAGGCTATACATTTAAAATGTGTTAGTAGTACTGACCTTGTTTGGTACTGAGTCCTAATAGTTTAAAGAAAAATGAAAGAGTTTGTTAATTTGACAACATAAAATGAAAATAAATTATAACACAAAGTGGGAAAAAACATACTTGTTCAGCCAGAGCAGAAATAACTTTTCCCAGAGTAGTCAGAGATTTGTTGATGTTCGCTCCTTCCTGCAAATCAGTGAGTGATGTCATTGAGGTTTCCTTTCCATTACTTATATTTCTTCTCACAGTCGGCATAGAATTGAAAACGAGCGTAACGTCCTCTGACCTTAAGTCTGGTTCCTTTGGCTCCGGTTGAGTCGGCTCTCTCGCTGCCAGCCAAGTCCACCAGGCTGATCTTGCTGACCTGTGATGATGCAAGAGATCAAACATCCTCCACAGCAAACGTATTACGCCTGGAAGCACACTGGGAATAACTGGCAATAAACGCATCCATTCAACGCATTTCTCGGGTCATAAAAGGCAACTACGTTCTGCCTTGTAGCATCTCCGCTTCTGTGGCGAGACAAGAAAAATAGAAGTATTCTGCTTATTGACTTGTTTGTCTGAGAAGGAGAATTATTGTCCGAACCTTTTCTGAGGTGTTCTCCGAATCCATGTCGTGTTTCTTCTGCGTGAAGATGATGTTGAAGACGGCGTGGGAGCGGCTGCTGGTCTCGTTCATGTTGGTTGCAGCTACAGTCCTGGAAAAAGAAAGAAAGCAAAAAGGGCTGTCAGGTGCACATTACGGGCTCAATCCGTCGTTTCTTCCGGGCACTTCGTTATTTACATGAAAATGCCGCATCGGCACCCCGTCGCTCTGCTCACCTGGCCTTGTTTCCAGACTCCATGAGGTCCTGGATGTCGTTGAAGGAGGTGACGGCTAGTTTGGACAGATCTTCCACGTAGGGTCCCATCAGCGGGTGCTCCCGGACACGCAGGTTTCCTTTGTTCTTGGGGTTGAGCAGGTCACGCACGCGCTCACAGTAGATCTCCATGTAACTCACCTGGAGCGACAGACAGAGACGATTGTGTTATAAAATGTTTGCACAAGTTATTAAATTGAAATTTAACATGAAATTTGTCTGAAAAAATAATATAACAGCTGCCCCGTTTCTTCCCCTGTAATTGACCAGAAACAGTCAAATGCATGCCTCAGACCTTTGCCGCTAAGTAGATGTGCTCACGGGGAAAAGTACTGACCTCCACTGAGTAGGACATGTTGTTGTCGGTATTGGTGCCATGGATTTTGGTGAAAAGGTCCTCACACAGCTAAAAGAGAGAGAGAGAGAGCAATTTGTGTCATAAGGAATGAATTGTTGCTCATTTCTACTGTGATAATTGGATGTCGATCAGGACTCTTACCAGAGGAATAATTCCCTGCTGGTCCTGTTCCTGTCGTCCCATCATAGTGTAGCTTTTGCCCGCTCCTGTCTGCCCGTATGCAAATATGCACACGTTGTAGCCTTCAAAGGCGTGAAGCAGCATCTCCTCGCCAATGTCCCTGTACACCTGCTTCTGAGAAGCAAAGCTCAGGTCCTCGGGCTGCAGAGGGAGGGAGGGAGGAGGGAGGGAGAGGGAGGAAGAAAAAGGGCCGAGACATGACCGAGACTTCATTTTTCATCTTTGACATCAAAAAGACAAACACAATTCTTCAGGGTAAATACTAACATTTAGATATCTTATTCTATATAAATTGCTACTGATTGGATCGCTGGTAAATCCTTTATTTTCTTATTTGATTAGTAGGATATGTATTTAAAACTAAGTGAAACTCACCGTGGTGTGTGACCAGTAAGAATAGTCAAAGTTGAAACTCTTGTTCTCTTTCGGCTGTTTGGGGTTCAGGATTGCTGAAAGAGAGTAAAGTAGTCACACTAGTCACCTGCTTCATTCCTTTTATTTCACTGTCAGTTACAGAAAAGCTGCAGGAGGGAAACTCCACCATGTTCTCGCAATCAAAAGTAAAACGCCGTAACATTTTCTCTTTGCTAGGAACATGAACTAGCATATTGTGTCAGACTCTCATTGGAAATCTGCATTCAGTGTCCAAACTATTGTCTTCTATGAGAAGCTTGAGACTAAGAGAGTTTGCAGAAATCTATCAAGTCATTGGAGAAAGACAAACCGATAAGGCCTTGAAATACACACGCACGCAGAACGTGAAACGAGAACAGAGCAGGAGCGGATGCTATTTCGCTATTTCTGCTGCAAAGTGGATACACGGCGCTGCCCCCTGTGGACAGTTTCAATATCGCAGCACACACAGAGGTCCTGCTGAAAGGTGCACTCGTCCACAAGCGTTATGCTTAAGAGGACAGGGTTTGACCATAATACAGAATAAAGTCAGAAGAGCCAGACGAGCTGAGGAGAAATGTTTGGAATGATTCAAGTTTGAATTTGGGGCTCAAACGAGGTCACTATAAACAGGCACAGCAGTTGGACGTGGTCCTTGTTCCTCTTTCACAAACACACGCTGGCATCAGCTGACCCGGCGTCTGGGCCCAGCCGGAACAAGGAGGTCTTTTTGGTCCCTGCAGCGACTGTCGCTAAATGCTACGCACACTGGCAGGCTTTCAGGGCTGACTGGCTCTTTTGTTTCCTCCTGTTGGCTGCCATGATGCTCCCGGCCTCTTGCTGCTGCAGGGCGAAGCTGAGCGCCGCACAAACAACTGAACTTAGTTCAATGCATGTGGCAGGAATGTACCATCAAAAGAGCAGCAGAGCGGCGCTACGCGCTAAAGCCATGCCAACTAATTCTTCATCGCCCTATTTATTTAAAAATAAATTAAATGTTGTGATTGGGAAACTGTTTCTTTCTTAAGATCTCTGGCATTAACATGGAGGGTTTGATGTTTCAGGAAGCTGTTTTCAGTGTGATATTGATCTATTCTTTTTATTTATTTTTAGTTTTTTGTATCTATTACAATGTCTGCTTTGTACTGTATTATGGATCCCTCTGGGTCTGAAATAAATAAATAAATAATAAATTAAATTATTATAAATTATAATTATAATTACATTATAAATTATTTTACATAATAATTGCAGTATTTCACAAATTGCATTTAGTGTGTCTTATATTATATTTATTGATAAATAAATAAATAATAAAGAACATTTTCTTTTTTGACCCTTTGTGGTATATTTTGGTACCACCTTTTAAAGTCGTACTATATGTTTTGGTTTGCATTATAAAATGACCAAATAAAAGTAACTATGTTTCATTAAATTAACTTTCTATTTTGAAGGACAGTGTACTTTTTTTTTAACTTTGCTCAACTGCTCTGATGATTATTTGTGTCTGACATGGATTTACAAACATCTACTCCTTCCTCATTAACATGTTCACAACCTCTGAATATGCAAATAGAACTATCAAACTAAGTTAATAGAACTATCAAACTCCTTTACAGCTGAAACAAACAGGCAGTTAATCATTTCACTTTGATAACCAAGTCATTGTTCTTCTTAAAGGGGAGAACGGTGAATTTCTCTGGGTTTGGAGCAGTCTGCATGACAAGCCGTCTGAAGACGGGAATTTTGTCTCTGGGAAATTATAATCTCATTTGTCTTTTTTGCCAGATTTCAAAAACCAAATGACGAATCAAAATATGTTAAATAATCTGCAGATTATATTGATAGTGACAGAGAAACAGACAAATGTAAAAACTCCTCTCATTCATTCTATACACGACAGCAGTCGTAACAATAAGCAATCAGTCTCTCGGATGTAGTTATCGCTCTGATTACAGTTCGATGTTCCAGTGTCCACCCGTGAGATTAAATTCAGGTGTACTTGAGTTCATACTCACTTGTGGTGTTTCCCGACATCTGAATGATGCACTTGCTGTCCTTCCCGATCTCTCTGGAGTTAAAGGGCCGGACCCTCACGGCCACCTTCACTGAAGCCACCGCCATGTCGAAAGGAGGGTGTGCGAGTGAGGAGGGGGGCTGTCGACACACACCTGGTACCTGCACAGGTAGACGACCAGGGGGCTTTAGTCCACACAGAGCATACACATGTGAGACGGAAACATGCCTTTAATCCCCCCATGACTTCATTACACTTTTGATGAGGATAAATATCTAAAGACACAGATTCAAAAGGATGATTTGAATCATCCACATCCTGCTGTTGTCATTAGAACTAAATATCAAGCAGTGGGCCTTGTAAGATGAACCAAACGGCTGAGACTGAGACACGCGCTCCATTTTTAAGCCCTAAAATCATCGCTTTAAGATTGACAGCTGACCAAAAGAGCCGGGGAAATGATTTGGCAGGATGATCATCCGATGATCAGGGCTCTTCTACGGTAAAATGGCTGCTGGTTCTGCGGGCAGCATCCCTGTGCCTCAAGTTCCAGGGCCGGAGGTCCTGTGATGACACTGTGTCTGCCGCCTGAGGAAAACAACACAAAGCCCTGCGTGCGGGTACGACCCGGTGAGGTGTTTTCACCGCAAACAAAGCGTTTCATCTCCGGCTCCGTCATTCACCGGATGAAAAGGTGATGACAACAATAGTGTCTGCAGGGCCGCGCACATCCTCTCCGCCCCCAAGCCGCGAAACACACAATTCCTCCCTCACATCTCCATGAGATGGCTGGAATATGTAATGCGGGCATGACGCATGCTCTGGAGGCATTTATAACCCATGTAAATAGTGCCTCCTCCATCTTGCTTCGCCTGCCGCGCCTCAAATACGGCAACGCGTAAACATGAGCGGCGCAAACAGCCGAATCATCCAACGCTGCGTCACACATCGAGACACCCCGAGGCGCGTCCGCGGAACTGACCGGAGCGTTTGTGTAATTAGAGGTCCGGCTGTCGTTTAGTTTAAAAGGTGGATTTAGGAGAAATCGGCGGAATGAAACACCCTGACGCAGCGTCCTCATTCAGCGCCTCGGCCGTGCAAAAGGCCCGGAAATCCAAAACACACACAAACACAAGCACACGCGTCCACACTGAGGCACGACACTCATCAGCACGGACGACGCGCTGTGGGAAAACATCTCCGTCTCACCTCAACTCAGAACCCAACGATCGCAGCGTTCAAAGCCGCGCCAGGTCGCTGCGGCGCCTCTTCCTCTCCTCAGCAGCGGCTCTCTCTCCGGTCAGCTCACAGCATCCTTCCCTCGGCGCATCCATACATGGAGAATCCGCGCGGGCGGGGCGGGGTGTGGGGGTGTGGGGGGGGGGGGGGAGGCTGCCTCAGCTATCGAGCAGCGGCGGCGGCCGGTGAGGATGCTTGAGAGAGATGGACGCAGCGGTGCGTCCATCACAGGAGACTGGAGACTAGAGAGGGAGACAACGGGAGGAGGCGGGGTGGATTTCAGAGGCGGGTGTACCGTTCTTTGGGAGGGGAGGGGCAAGTCTGTCCGTCGGTCAGTCTGAAAATAGGAGAAAATGGCGGCGCTGCTGTGGCATCGGGGATGCTGGTAGGCGGTGATGACGTCAGCAGCAGCATCAGCAGCCGTGGAGCAGAGCGACGCGGCACAGAGCGGATGGGAAATGCATTCGGGGACTTTGAGAGGAATCCGACAAGCATCAGGAATAACTTTGTAGAAATAGTCCTTTCATATGCAAATCATTGAGACTGTAACCTGCTCAGAAGTTCCTCTCACTAACTTTACATTATAATCCAGAATATTCACAGACTGTTCTTTTCTGCAGCATATTGACAACTTGTCAAATGATTGGCCAAACGGGTACAAAGTCAAGTATGTGAAGACTAAACTATTTTGCATTTAATATAACAAAGCCTTATTTTTGCAACAAAAAAAAAAAAAAGGATGTTATGGTTGTATTTAAATTTGTCCATTGTATTTTTTATTTCCATTTGAGAAACTCAGGATTTGAATTTAAAATAAAAGCATTGTTCTGTCATTTAAATAAGAATGACATTAGTTGATTTGGCCTTGGCCCCCGTACATCCCGTGATGTTTGAACTGAATATTTATGGCGTCACTCTTCGACCACTATTGACAGACGGCCTTTATGACGCTCTCTGAGGGTGAGTTGGAACATACGTATCTTTCCCAGCTCTTCCTCCCGTGCTGTTTGGGGAGATTTTGACTATTGAGTCCAGTGCAAAGGCCAGTAAACACCAAGTCCCATTTATCTACCACTGGTATAATTATTTACAGAGCCAGACTCCGAGAGGGGAACATGACCCTGCTGACACAGCAGCTGCAGGCTTATGAGAGATAATCAGTAAATGACAATTCGGAAATGGTCAAAAGGATCTCTTCAAACTTGGCTTTAGTTTCCCGGTCAGATTGTCAAGATATTCCAAATACAAAATAAAATAACCCTTGATCCGAATACATCTTTGTTAATGTAAATGTTTGACCTGGATGGATTGTACGTTGTCATTTTCACCTCTTTCAATCGTAACATCCCTAAAACATTACAAGACACAACAGCATCAATAATCAGACAGCTCTGCGCAGACATTAAAATAAATCTGGAGAGATAAAAGTAGATCAAAATAAAGGCGTGTGTCACCCAAAACTGAAAGAGGACACGTTGATTTGATCTTTGATCAACATAGTTGTTGTTGTCACCTAAAGTGTGTTTTTTGACAACTTACACGTTAGATACAAATCAGCAAACCATGGAAAATACTGTCTTTCTTTCACACTTTACACAAATAAAAATCCAATTTGAGATCGAGAGCAGTTGTCAGTCTCAACTACAGTTCATTTAAATCTATATTTCTAAACAATCAATAATGGAATTACAAATATTCTACCCTTTGTGGGTAAAAACCCTTGAGCCCAATTCATCTTTTTCAAAATTACATTTGGAAAACCTGTGAAATAAGAAAACACAACAAATAGAAAAGAGCATATGATGGACCAAAACTCTACTAAATGCTTTACGCTTATGCACACTAGAAAATAAAAAAAAGTAGCAGCTTCCCGGAGTGTTTGTTCCTCCTCTCAAAGAGCAGATTGGCTCTCTGAGAGGAGACTCCTCTTTACAAACGCAATGCTGCCGTGTCTGAAGGGACAGACAAAACCAACCAGCCCCAAACTGACCTCAACCGGTTCCAAGCTGCCAAAAGTCCTCACTTTCACATAAAAGCCAAGTAATCAAACCCTGAATAACAATGCTGGATTCAAACTGCAACCAAACCGATGACTCTTGGTGTTATAGTTATCGAGTATGAACGCCTAGGAAAAGATTTTTAGAAATCTACACACACATGCAGCATTTGAAGGCGCTTTATGGACACTTTTCGGGCTGGACAACAAAATGATGAACCATGATTTATATGTTCACAGCCTCCTCCAAAACAAAGCCCTGCGTGCCTTATGCATGTACTGTATTGTTGCTATAAGTTAACCTACTTAGGTCACAGTTTTGTTATTTCCCATGTGATTGGTCATTGTATTGCCAGCCCCCGAAGTCAAGGGCCGGGTTGGCTGTCAGGCACACCGCCCCGTGGCCAAAAGGTCAAAGACCTGTTTGTTTTTAAATAGTCACCAAAAAACGTACAGACAGGTTCTCAGGCTGTCGGTGGTGATCCCACCCGGTTGCAGGCTTCTCCGGGACTACGAGAGCACGAGTGATGCAGCGGGCTTTGTTGCGCCGGAGTGCGCCGCTCGCCCAGCAGGCAGCCGCGGCCTTCGACAGCCAGCTGGCCGCGAGGAGCGCGCCTCTTCTGCAGCGCCTGGACCGATCGATGTCCTGCGTCACCATCCCGCCGCCAGCATGCATGCTCCGGCCGCTGGAAGTTCCACTGCGTTACCTGTTCGGACCGGGACCCTCAAACGTTCCTCCGCGTATCCTGGCAGCACAGGGCAGACCGATAATCGGCCACCTGCATCCAGAAATGTACACGGTAAACGCTTTGTTTGATATACCAACGAACTGAGTTAGGTTGTGTGTGGGATTTTAATTGGGGCTGAAAATAAGCACACAAAGTGGAATAATGAAGTTGATTTGAAGTCGCGTGCGTGTCTGAAAGAAATGTACCTTGAGGGATTTCTTTATTTAACAAATATACTTGGCTGGGTTTAATGTGAAGACGCGGTTTGGGTTTAATGCTACTTTCATTACATTCTTATTTAATACATTTGGTCAAATATTGTTTTTTACCACTGAAATGTCAGTATTATCAGATACAATTCCATCACAATATCAGTGGTACATCAATTAATTATTCATGTCCAGATCACATTCAGGACAAACCAAATAAATATTCAGGGAATAGTACTTTGTGCGTAATTGCGTGTGCTGTGTACACACGTATTGAAACCACTGAGTGCCATTTTTGACAACAACAGTGACCGATTAAGCGTAACATTGTGTGTCCTAGATCATGAATGACATCCAACGAGGGATCCAGTACATCTTTCAGACGGAGAACAACATGACGATAGCTATGAGTGGCTCCGGGCACGCGGCCATGGAGTGCGCCGTCTTCAATGCGGTGGAGCCCGGAGAGAGCGTGCTCGTTGCCGTTAACGGAATCTGGGGAGAGCGCGTAGCGGAAATTGCCGAAAGAATGGGTACGTCCTTACGCACAGTTTCACGCACGCGAGCATTGGCTCTCCGTAGAAGATGCACGACTACATCTACAATGGCTGTGTGTCCTCTCAGTGCATCCGTCTGTCTCTTTATCTGCCTGTAGGTGCCAATGTACATAGAATGGTCAAAGCACCTGGAGGATATTTCAGCAATAAGGAGATTGAACAGGTAGAAGCCCATCATTTACTAAATCTATGGAGCATTGCACCGGCCCGTATATGTGAATAAACCCCTTTTTTTAAACCTATTTTTCTAGGCTGTCAAAAAACACAAGCCTGTCCTGTTTTTCCTCACGCATGGGGAGTCCTCCGCTGGCCTCTGTCACCCAGTAGATGGGATTGGAGACATATGCAGAAAGTGAGCCTGAAGTGTTTGCTTAGGGTGCAAAACTGGATGTGACCGGATATCATGTGACGTCTCTCAATGCGCTCTTATCTCCCGCAGACATAACTGCCTGTTCCTGGTTGACACGGTTGCATCTCTTGGCGCGGCCCCAATTTTTATGGACAAGCAAAGTGAGGCAATGAGTGACAACGGATTCATTTCTGTCGCACGCTCCGCGTTTGTTTGCGTGACGTCGCTGTCTTTCGCTGTCCTCAGATATCGACATCCTGTACAGTGGCTCTCAGAAGGCCCTGAATGCGCCTCCCGGCACGGCGCCGATCTCCTTCAGCGAGAGAGCATGGTGGGGGGGACCTTCTGCATGCCTGTTTCCATATACGAGTGCACAAGTGTCACAACAAGCATCTCCTTGACTCTTTGTTACCCCTCACAGCCACAAGATGTTTAACAGGAAAACAAAGCCAGTGTCCTACCTCTTTGATATGACACATTTGTCCAACTACTGGGGTTGTGATGGCCAACCAGCCAGACTGTGAGTTCAATGCAGCCAATCGACTAAATGCATATTCTCTTTATATCGCATAGAATGTGCTCCGACTAGTATGTGAGACCACAAGTTTAGATTGATCTTCATTTCTATTATTAGAAATGTTTTACTTATACATTTGGTATTTTTGGGGTGTCATTGATGGTTAGGTACCACCACACTGGTCCAGTTTCTGGATTCTTTGCCCTGAGGGAGAGTCTGGCAATCATTGCTGAGAAGGTAAAAAATGAGAAACTATAATATACAAATCATTGATCGCGCAGAATTGTCATTTTCTTTTTCCGCAATAACGCATGTTGCTTTTATTGGCAATAGATATGAATCTTTGACCTACATATCATTACATCTTTAGAGAGGCAGTGTTTTATCTTTTCTTGAAAATTGACTTAGCTCTTTGAATTAGCCTTTAGTGGTGCTGTAGTTTAGACTTGGTACTGTTGGCAAAGTCCCCTCTGAACCTCCCGTCTGATTCTCACATAACTCTTGTCAATCTTTGTCACCCTCTAGGGGCTGGAGGAGTCCTGGAGGAAACACAAGGAGGTGGCAGGCTACCTGTACAGGGGCCTGGGGGACTTGGGCCTCAAGCTCTTCATTCCTGAAGCGGTACGGTAGACTTAAAAATGAAACTGCAGACTGGGCTTTTTCTGCTGCAGTACAGGACACTGAAAATGACTGAACACATAACAAACAAAAATAATAAACTGTGTGCTGTCGTAGCAACTTGTTAACAACAGTCATTTCAAAAACATCCCGCAGGACTTGAGGCTTCCCTCCGTCACCACCATCGCCATACCCGACGGCTACAACTGGAGGGAGTTGCTGGCCTACATCATGAAACACCACCAGATGGAGATGACTGGAGGCCTGGGCCCTTCCATCGGCATGGTGGGTTGCAGCTATTCCTCTCTGTACAGAAGACAAACCAGGGCATTATTGTCATGCTCATGGTCATCAGATGATCTTCAGCTAGATATTCTAGTTGTGGCCGTCGGTCTCGGTATCTTTGCACTGAGACTTTAAAGTATGTGTTAACATAATAAACGTAATCCTCACGTTTATTCCCATATTTTACATACTAATTCCCATCTGCTTAAGTTAACTAACCAATCCAGACACATTTTAAAATAGAATTAGTTAATCTAGAATCAACTAATTCAATCAGATACAAACATGTGCCGTGGCGTTGGCGTGGTGTCTGTACAGCTTTCTAGCATCCTAATGCACTGCACTCTACACCTCCCTGTTCATCAGGTGATACGGATCGGATTGATGGGATACAACTGTGAGAAGTCTAACGTCGACATGGCCCTGCACGCCCTGGCAGACGCTCTGAAGAACTGCAAAAAGAGCAAGGTTTAAGAGGGCACATTCCCTGGCCTCTCACCCTGTACTCATTCATTTGTGGATAAGAAGTAAATATGCAGTGTCCATGTATGTAGGACGGATTTAAAATCAGAGCAGATATTATATGTGGTCTGTGCTGAGGCTGCTGAAGTATGTCAATAAAGTGTGCCTTGATTTGTCAAATACTCCTCTCGCCTCATTGTGTGACAACAGTAAGAAAGGATTTCAGAAAAGGGTTAAAACGCCTGTTAACTGCCTGAACTACATTTCCCATGATGCGCTGCTGGCCATTAATAAAGCTACGTCACATCCGCTCAACGCAGACGCGGTGTTCGCTTCCTGTCATTTCATCTCTGTTTGATTTGATTTGTTCATCTTCGCTCGCCTGCTGCTCGGTTTATTAATGGCGTGTCCTTCTAACAGCACAGGTAGGACGATGGTTACGCTTTACATCACTTATGGGTTCAACACACGTCACGTATTTAAGCAATGTCAACGGTTTGATGCTACAATGTCACAGTGACCACAGCGCACTGAAATCCACGTTAAGCATGAAGTACATCACTTTAGAACTTAAATTAATCATTTACTCAAAGGTCGAGATGCAAATGTGTCCTTGAGCGTGCATGTTCTCGTCATGCAACCCTGCTTTCACATCCAACTGAAGCTCCGTGCGATTCATCGTTCAACCACTGCCAGAAACAGCCGTAACGTCGCGTGTGAGCGAACGTGTGTCAGCCAACGGAGGTGATTCCGTGTGCGTTTGACGGCTTCCGTTTGCTGCTCAGAGCGTGCGAGACGAACCCACACTGCGGGTTGTTCGCGCAGTTTCTACCTCCGTACCTGTGATCGAGGAGCAGTCACCTTCCTACGCGCACGCGCAGTCGTCGTCTTCCGGTGTCTGACCAATATGACCATTACCGCCCCCCGCTGGTCGCGTGGAGGCGCTCACTCCCATTCCTCCAGTCACCAATGTGTAGTGTATTTTAAAGTATAAAGTGATTTAACGTTACATGGAAGGCGATAATGAACCAGACAAAGAAAGATTAAAAAAGACAAGATGACATTAGAAAAGGAAGAAACATCCATATTAATAGAAAAGGAATCCCCCCCCCCCCCCCCATCATATTCCAAATGCTACAAAATGATTTGTTGTTGAAATAAATAAATTCAAACTTGCTATTAACGGTGAGTGATGCCAGGATATTTGAATCAAATAAAGTGAGTGGTATCACCCATCATCAGCTCATATCAAATTAGTTTGCTCTGTGTTTCAGCGGATCTGAACCCGGCCCTCCTCCCTCTGGACTGGCTGCTGGGTACCTGGGAGTCTGATGAACCCGGCGAGGGCTGTTTTACGACCATCAAACCTTTCCGCTACACAGAGACACTGACCTTCAGCCACGTGGGACAACCAGTCATCAACTTTATGTAAGTTGTTTTGTGAACGGACTTTGAAGATTAACGCCTTGGCTTTAAAACCGAGTTTTGAAGCCCTCCCTGATTTGAGAACGATGCTGCCGTCCACCGAGCGTCACCGAAAATAGCTGATCGAACCGCCCGTCAATGTGTTTTGCAGGTTCAATGCCTTCCACGCGGAGAACAAGAAGCCTCTGCACAGGGAGTGTGGCTTCATTCGAATGCAGCCGGGATCCAACAGAGTGGCCTTCATGATCGCACAGAACTCGGGTACTTACGTACACGTCAGCCGGAGGTCTCCTCCTTTCTGTCGACCAGGCCGCTGCTGCTTGTATTTTGTCATTTAAAAAAAAAAAAAAAAAAAGGGATTATCGTGATGGGGATGAGCATGTGTATATTCCAAATAGAGCGTGCGGGGTCATTGTGCATTCATTATATCAGACGTGATTCATGCCCGCACTGAAAGTCCAGGCATGACGCAGAAACGTGGCCGTGTGCGTTGGCCTGCAGGTCTGGTGGAGATCGAGGAGGGGGAGCTGACAGGGCAGCAGCTGAACCTGCAGAGCCAGGCGCTGGCCAGAGTCTCCTTTGCCAGAGAGCCGCATGTACAAAAGGTAAGATTGTAATCTGATTTATTTGCTGAAGTTGAATCAGTGTAACAACACTTCCCACCCGCCAGCACAAACATTTAGGGATCAATGAAATATCATTTCCTCCTTTATGGTTTCGGTGACCTCGCCTACTCTCCTCCATCTTTCAGGTTTCTAGAGTGATTCAGCTCCGACCAGATGGGAGGCTGGAGCAGACAGTTTCCATGGCAACAGATAACGAACCACTGATGCAGCACTTGCACATCACCTACCGTCGGCAGGCTGCCTTTACTTAGAAGCACTTTCCAAGAAGGATAAATGTTTCTCCAATAAGGGGACATTGTGGATGATCAGGGTTCATCAAATAAACAGTTTGAGTTCTACATTAATACAATACATGAAAAAACGGGAAGTTGTATAAGGCACTTCAAAGCTAGATTTAATGTTACTGTCAAAGGGTCCCGTGGAGTTTACGTCAAGCTTTATTTTCCAAAACATGATTATCCGCACGCTTCGGCTTACATATTTCTTAGTATGTTGGTTTTACCACCACCGGCAGGTCAGAGGAACAGAGTGAGACTACCACTAGAGGTCTAAACTCCAGAGAAAACCCTTTTTAATCTAAAAATAAATATAATATATTGCACCGGAGGGGCTTGCTTTAGAATGGGTATTTGCCTTATCTTAATATGTATTGCCTGGATAGTTATTCTCTGAGCTGTAAAGCTCATAAAGCACTGATGAATTAATGTTAATTAAGGTTTCCTCTTCTCTCTAACCGGTTGCACTATTTTAAGACCGGAAGCTCAACTACTTGTCTGAGCCCGAAAAACAACAGTGGGTCTGAAGATCCTTTCATGTGACTCAGCAGGATCATTGTATGTCGTTCAGTAGACCGGTTCATATACATGTAAGTCTATGGGAGCAATAAGAGAAATTAAAGTTATTTAACCTATGATTTTTATTTTGTCATGAATTGTAATCCTAACGTTTATGTAGGCAGGTTGAAACATGAAGGCTGTTATTGCTCTTTTGCATCAGGTCTATGATTCTGAATGGGGGGTCGGGGGGGTCGGGTGTGACATGTAAATAAGATCGGTGGGATTGAGTGTAATAAGAATCCACAGTGCGTGTTAAGATTTTAGGTTTATTAAGGACGTAAAAAAAAAAAAAAAAAAAGAGACATTGAGACATATTTATAAATTAACAATGTTAAAGTGAAAACCATCAAACATGCAACACAATCATCCTGTCTGTATACTGAAGGGGCTTCAATCGTTACTCATAATCCAAAAAAATATACATTTACAGATTTAAAAAAGAAAATTAATTGCACCAAACCAATGTGGATGCAATAAGTACCTTCTTTGGACAAAGATGAGACCAAACATTTCTTGTTCCAATAGTTTCTCAAAGCGTAGCAGAAACTTTAATCCTGGTAGAGACGCTGCTTGTGCGGTCACGGCGAAGAACAACAGCGTAAATCACCACGTGACGGACGTCTTTTCCAGGCGCAGAATACTCTGGAGCCTCAGCCAGCTGAGGATCAACTCTCATCTCGATTGTGGCTGACGCTTTCATTTCTCCCTCGGGCGTATTTACAGAGACACACATGGAATCAAAAGCGTGAAAGGGTTTCTCTCTCGGGTGCAACCTGAAAACCGCCACGCACAAGAAAAAAAAAACCTGCTACAAAGCCCGTTTTTCTGCAGCAGCGCGGAGAGAGGAGGCGGAGGGGAACACATACACACCTTTTCCTGGCTCTTTATGCCCTTAAACACCACAGTGACTACGCTTTGGCTGGAGGTAATCACCTGTTGAGGACGCAAACACACGATGCCGATGAAACATTTGCTGATTGGCTATTCGGCGCCGGGCGGCACGGCGGCCATCTCGACTCCATCCATTGTTATAAATAAGTCTTGAGATAGAACCTGGTCCCTGCGCTCGTTCACGGCTCCTTCATGACGCAGACGTACAGCGCGGTGAGGAAGTATTTCAGGGAATCCATTGCAGACGACAGCCAGTGGTGCTCCGGGGGAAGATCCTTCTTCAACACACATTTACACATCTCCGCCTGATAAAAGGACAAGAAAACGAATCGTATCTTAATGGAAAGTTGTTCTTTTGATTAATAAAGTGCTGCGCATTTCTTCAGAAACAAAAAACAACAGGAACAGTGTGTGAGCTGCACGTTACACGCAACTCCCCTCAAACTGACCAGCGGAGCTCAAGTATGCATGACAGCTGTGGCGTAAAGCAACAGCGAGTAAAAAACACCAGACATCGTTCATCATGGGGGGGGAAGTTCTCGAAGATATACACAACTACATACCCATCCTCCCCGTCTCTTCAGCCAGGGGACCAGAAACTTGCGGACAAACTGTCCCAGACTGGCCACCAAGATGTGAACGGTGGCTGGGTGGCCCTGACGGACACAGTCCACCGCCAGGGCTCCGGCTACTGCATACATGGACACCACCTTTCCCCATGTGATCCCTGCAGCGGGGAAAACACCACGTTAGCATCCTCACCCGCGTCTGTGGGCAAGTCCGTCACAGAGCAGCGTGTTTTTACGACGCTCTCACTTCGGATCCCCCTTTGTGGAGAAAGCCTGAGCTTCGGTCCTGTACAGGAGGTAGAATTTTCCCGACCAAAATCCAGAAACAAAGACCTATTTTTCTGTTTGCACGTGTGCCGCGCTGATTCCCCATTTCACATTCAATGATGCGGTCGGTGGACCTTTAACTGAAATAAACCAGTGCATTTGTGTTATTGGGGCTGAGACGATGTCTTAGAGACCGGTTTCTAAACCGAACCGTGGGAGCTCACGCTTGCCTGCGGGTGGGTGGACACGCAGAAACAATCCGGTCCGTTAATTGATCGTATCCAGCCCTTTCTAGGTTTAGTTTCCAGGGCAGCAGGGCCTGTTCTTACAGCCATCAGTGATGCAGCGCGGTCTAATGGCATTAGCCTCCTTAGGCCGGCTCACATTGTTGTCTGGCTGAGGCTATAAGGGGATGGATGGAGGGAGAGAGAGAGAGAGAGAGAGAGAGCTCGGACAGGCTTAAACGAGATAAATGTCCATGGAAGCTGTCGGAGCACATCACATCTCACTCCCTTGCTGAGGAGCAGGCCGAGAATAGCGAGGAGATTGTCAGGGATAAAGCTGGAGAAGAGGAGGAACAGAAGTGGGCGGGAGGCAAAGATAGATGGAGGAGAGACAAGTCGCGTTGATTGTTTACTGAGCGGTACAGACGGCTGCATCAAAAAAATAAAGAAATGCTTAGATTTACTGGACTTATCATTCGCTTTGGGTCACGGTTAGAACTTGAGGGCAGAAATATAAAAAGCTAAATAGGTTGTTATAGAACATATTCCGGGCAGAAGGGAAAACAAACATCGTTGCGTTCTTCTATTTATATCCAGGTTTCAAGGGGCCCCAGAAGGCTGGAGCGGCCTGGGTTCACCGCGTTGTTATTTTTCAGCAGGAATCCCACGCAGTTTTCTTCAAATACAGCTTGTGACGTCCAAACGGGCACAAGTTCATTCAGGAAGCAGGCATGGAAGTGACATTAGGCTAATCGGTTATTGATCTTCCCCCGGAAACGTGAAGAGTTTGAGCTCAAGTTTGCGTGTCACAAAGCAGCGCGAGCATCTACGTGAAGCCCACCGGCTCACACGGAGGACATGGAACCAACGTCTTCCTTTGGACAATGTCAGCGCTGCTTTAAATTGTGTACAAAGACAATCTGTCACGGCAACTTTAAAAAGGCCAAGAGGCAACGCAAACAATTCATCATCTACCGTAATTAGACCGAAGAACAAAACTTATTTGTAACTGGTTAAGTATTTTGACACTATTCCGTTACAATAGTGTGAATTAAATGAAATTAAAGTTCGGTAACAAGACATTATTGTTACTTTACTACCGTACAGCCCATGACTGATAACAGACCATTGGAAGTTATTGCTGGCTGCACGTTCCGTCACGTTTCAAAGGCTGCGGTGATGCATCTTTAACATGCTCATGTCACATCTTTATTATCCATCATAACATCATAAAGAAGACTAACCAGCGTAACATTGTGTCATCATGAAGGAGCCCTAACTGGGTCATTCTCTGGGCGATCCGTGTCTGAAACTCATTTCTACTGCAATCCACCAGGTGCTTGCTGAGGTCTTAACAGGTCTAGTTATCAGGCGACAGGTTGCTACGTCAGCAGCAGCGACGGTGTACCTGTTGAGAAGATCTCCGTTGCCACGCCGATGAAGGCATCTGAAACCATGTTCTCCATGGCAACAGAGATGTTGAGCTGCCGCGCCACGTTCCTGTACAAACTGGGCCGTATGGACTCCAGCTCGTCGCCTAGGTAACAGAGGGAGAGCACGGGCAGAAACAAGAGAGACGGGTTAGTTCTGCCTTGCAGGACGGTCCAGGTAACGCAAGCTAATCACACTGAACAACACGACCATTCAAGTCACTCAAGATGTTAAAAGTAGGAACAGCCGCACAATGTAGGAATCAGTCAAGTTGAGATTTTTTTTTTTTATATTGTGAATTCCCTCTTCGGGCTGCGTCGAGTCATCTCTGCTTTCAGCCCACCGTCATGTAGAAGTCGAGTAGCAGATTTGTTTTTTAGGTTCAATCGGCGTTCCTTTCCAGAGAGCAGGAATGATCATTCTTTCATTCTGTAGCTTTCTTAATTTGCTCAACAAAAAACAAAAACACAATTAACACAGCCCAGTAGCATGGAATTAACAACCTTTTGTTAAATCTTAAATCCAAGATTGATTTGAATTGATCATTAGTTAATGATTACATCCATCAATGAGGTTCTTTTCAGTCCTACCTGGAGAGGTTTCTCAAGATGTTTTGATCTGGCACACATAATCACACATAATCAATCATTTTCCGACACTATTTTAAGATCCAAATGAAAAGTCACCGTGTTTCACACACACACGCATTAGTCTTTAGTCAGGGGTCTAGACGCCGCGTCCTCTGACTGACACTTTCACTGCATCATCGGTCAAAACAGGCATGAAAAGGCCCCCGAAATATTTGGAATTAAAGTCTGCTGGGTTGTGCACTTCTGCTGTAGTTCAAATAATTATATTCAAATGAATGTGGCCTCTTCATCTTATTTGAGCAATACTCTCCTGAGTGTGAGAGGTTCAAAGTACACAAGGAAGCAACTGCTTGGACATGCCAGGACAAGATAGAACTTTGGCCCTTGAGGCCGATTGCTCATTCAGTCGAGAGGTTGGGAGTTCTTCGGTGTTTCTCTTACCAAGGCAGAGGAGCACCAAAGACACCTCGGCGAGCGCTGCACTTGAGGGAGAGAGGTGGAGTTCAGTCTTGGACCATCCCTGTCCATTCTGGTGGAGTCTAGACAGTATGTAGTCCCTGCACAGGGCTTTAGACTGGGACACCAGCTCCTTCTCCGTCAGCGATCGGTCAAACACATCCAGGACCTCAGCAGCCATCACGGACGGCCGCCGCAGGACCTCCATGCCCGCCTGCACGGAGCTCAGGGTCAGAGAGCGTCTGACCTCCCGGGATCAGCTGTGGCACAGGGTGTCCTCTCCCAATTAATCCCACAGGAACAGAGTTTAACGCCGAGGACAATATGGCATCTGTGGAGGACAGAAACCCCTTATTGAGAGGCAGCGGTTCGAATCCCTCGGCCTTTGGTTAAATGTTTCAGTCGGACAGGGTGAGGTACAGAAACTCCTTTAAATCAACAAGCTGTGGAGAACAGGTTTAACATTCAAAAGGGGCTCATGGTGACTAGAGATACCGATGACCTAAAACACAGCACACACTTACATAAGAATATGATGGAGGCGTTATGGGCGTGAGTCACATGGTGGTGGGATAGATATTGCTACACTCCTTGGTTTATGCAACACCAAGCTGATACCACAAGATGGCAAGACAAATGTCATATCCTGATTTGAGATTTATTTTTATGGAAGAACATTGCACTGAAATGGACAACACGGTGCAACATTTAGCAACCTGGCACTTCAACCTTTAAGATGCATCTTAGAATAAAGGCTACATTTGTTTATAATCTGAGCGGTTGCACTGCAAGAAACCACCACGCTTACCTTCCACATTGAGACGCCCCCGGTGTGATTCAACAAATAAAATAATTCCAAACGACAAGTCAAGAAACGGACTCTCGGCCAAAAGCAACCGAAGCCCACAGGAAACTCAGGCCGACGTCTCTCCAACAGAAAGTGACCCGAGCTCACCATTAGGAAGTCGGGGCTCAGGTGTCATTCATGCTGCGCGCGGGTCCTCTACTTTCCCCGGAAAACAGCGACTATCCGGAGGGACGCGATTAGAGGACGCCTACCTGTTGTTCTACCTTCCCATTGGCGTTCCGTGGGTGCGTTGGATTCGCACAGAGGCGACGCCCGGAGGAGGAGTTTGACGCCCGAACGGAACCGGGCGGGCCTCACTACGGGAAACAGAGGGAGGAAAATAAGCCGCGTCCTCGTTTCCATTCAAGAACTGTGGCCCCGCGCAATAAAAGGACCCCAAGTCCGCACTTCATGTGCTCAGACAAAGTTGACTGGAATGGAATGGATCATTGCTTTGTTTGTTTTTATTGTCAAGAAAGATCGAATGACAATAGACTTCATCCAACGGGGCGGCGTCATTTCTGTTGACATTTTTCAAAGAGAAAGTCAATGCGCTATATAATTATGTGTAAAACAGCAAAAGCAAGTTCAGTGAGAGGTTCCAGGTAACCAATCCAACACTCCATTCATTTCTTTTCACCTCATGTTTGTGTAATTGTGTGTTACCTGCCGCGTATTCAGATCGTGTAACACTAAGCCGATGTACGCACAGCATCCGGCCGCTGGGTGTCGCTGTTACTCACTATTGAGGTCAACGGTATTTCCAGTGATGTTTTCTAAACCGATCAGTTCATTTCTTCAGGACTAATTTGTCTCCTACGAATGATTTCAGCACATTATCAATATATGAATTCAACACAATTACAGTTGAGGATACTGAATTAATTATTACAAATTTTTCACAATATTATATCTGCTTAAATACTGAAATTAGTTTAGGTCTTGAGTGAAAACACATAAATAATCGCTCATGTAATAGATTACATTCAGCCTGATTCACGTTGCATTATTTTAAACATTTACCACTAGTTTTTTGGTGACATGTAAACTTTATTTAATGAAACTAGACAAAGCTGACTCATTATATAACTAACCTAATTGGCTGGAGATCTCATCTAAATCTTTTTGAGTTATAAAAAAAACCAGTATAAAATAGCGGAGGTTAAACATACAATTTCTGTTTTATGGATGGTTCAAAAATGTATAGCTTGGCCCTAAATTCCAAACTGTAGGCCAATGCTTCTTAAAGAACAGAATTAATTCATTCACGTGTTTTCAGAGTTGAAGAACAAACAATTAAAATGTTCTTGAAACCTCTCTTGAGATGTTGGTGTCTGGCCAATTAGCATGTCCATTGGTGAGTTTCTGCTGTTAGTGATCCTGTTTAATGAAAGGAGTTTCTAGAAAAGAAAACCTCGCCTCCTTTGAGTCAGTATTCACATTCATTTGATCGATTGAGAAAACCTGATCTTTCAAATAAGAGCCCAAATGACCTTGTTTTTGGGTTGTATTTCGGGTTGAATACGATATAATGAGCAAGTAGGAGTTATAGTATTTGTTTTACGTTTTTGGTGAAGCTAGGTTGAAATACAGCTTTGCAAACCAAACTAATGCATCATAAACTCAATTCTCTGCACATGGAGGCTTCCCCACACGGTATGTGGTTTCATTACCAAGGACACAAAGAGTGCAACTCTTCTATTTCAAGAATGTCAGCATCACTTGGAATGGAATTTACGAGCTTTTGGGCTTGGCCATTTTTGCAGCTATTGGATAAACTACCACATTGAATATCTAATTTTGAAACAATCCGTTAACCGAGATCACCTCGGTATTCCTGAGGAGGCCGTCTATTCTCTGGCTATGCCGTTGGAGCCAATGTTGGGTTGTTGGATGTGATGAACTGCATCGAACAACCTCTCGCTTAAGTCAACGTGAAATGGTCACAAGACCAAGAAGAACAGGCACTTTGTTGTAGTTTGTACTCATGTGGCAGCTACAGAAAACGGCTGACTGTGGCGTTAAGAGACAATGACCCCAAGTCTCGCATTCAGTTGGAGTCAGAAAGCGTGCGTTCTTTCGCGTGCACCGCGGTGGATAAGCATGCGGGTATAATTATTAATGATTGGTTTAAACATTGTGGCAACCTGGATGGACTGACAGTTTGTAGTTCCATCGCCGCAGCCCCCCCCCCTCTTTCAGGATGAAACTATATACCGTTGAATATGTTAACACACTTCTCTTTCAGGCCCGATGGCAATTCTAGGGTTTCTCCTCCACAAAGAGTAGCAAACAGAAAAATCTAGACTGCATGCCACGAATGCACCGCGTGCCTTTGAGGACGTTGTCTTTCCCCTGGAAATTCCTTTCATGACAAAACCGTCACACACACAGGAATTTGTCTAAACGGTGACTGTTCAAGTGAACATGTTGAAAATCACGTCGCCGTGTCATGTTTCCATTCACGATTTTGGGCATCAATCACACGTTAATTCAGTTCGCACGGCTGCACTTCGTGGAGGATCCCCGACGGGCGGCCTGCTGTGACACACACGCTAAAGAAGATCGAGATTGCCACCCCCTCCTTTCTCCTCCCTATTACCAGCCGGCCGACAGTTCGGTCTGAGATAGGTGTTAAACTTCCATCCAGGCTACACGCCTATCGTCCCCGGTGATCAGGGAACAGGTTCGACCAGAGGCACAGGAGAGCTCGTCATCGCAGGGTTGGACGAGAAGCCTCTGAGCGACAACAGGAGAAGGGAAGGGCAACTCCTAATGCAACGTAATGTTCCTGAACGCGCGACAGCTGATTTGACCTTTAGCCCAAATCCTGACAGATGGACGTTTGCGAAGTGGCCTAATGAAAAGGTTTTCAGATTGGGTCAAAGGAAAATCTCGACCTTTAATCTATTCAGGTATTTTCAAAAAGGTCCAACCTGTTGAGTTAGTTTCTTCTTTATCTTCATGTGCGTAATTAACTGGTTTTCGTTGCTTTCACCCGTGGCTCTCGGTTTCTTCAACCCGGGCATGTCACCCCATGGCCTCATCCCCTTCCTTCACTGCCACCGATGAGACAGTCCAATCACAATCAGGCTATGTGAGGATAGGAAGGTGGAGCTAAGCATTGAAACAGGGTGTGGTCCTGAAACCAGCAAGGTCTGCAGTGGTGCCCCGGGGTTTAAATTGATCCCAGTCCCATAGTTACCACAGCCGGCCTCTCAACTTTTATTCATCTCACTCTTCCTTCCTTTTGCTCGTCTCTTGAGCTGTGAAGCTTTGAGGTGTATTCAGGGAGCTCGTGTGCCATCTGAGACAAAGACTGGAGGCCTCGGGGGAAAGCCGTGCATGTATGTGGCTCCGCTCTCGCTGATTGAGCTGTTTCTCTGGATTGAGGCTCTGCAGCTGCTTCCCCCTCACAGGAGTGAGTGCCGAGGACCCGTGGGCTGCCGGTGAGTCGCTTCCTACTTGTATTTTAACCGGTTTTCAGTGATCTGACAATTTGTATGTATCTCTAATAACTTTTTTTCTTTTTTTGTTAGTTGTGTTTTGTTTTTTTTCATGTAAGGACGTTTCTATATTTCCTCGCCACGGTGGTAGATACACCCTGCATTTTAAAGCGTTAATTAGGATTCACTAGATTTAGGACGTCAAATCAGTACTTTTGGATGAAGTGGCGTTCCAGCCTGTAAATCCGCTCATGTCTTGGTGTGTGAGTTTGGCTCGGCTGGCTGAGAGGGCCTGGTTCTTTGCCTCACCTGTTTGACTTGCTCTGTTAGTCAGCCGTGTAGTATTTCATTGTCTCTCGACTGACGGCAGACATCTGATGTTTCACAATCCTTCAATGAAACATTCGGACATTTCTTTTTTTCTTTTTTTAAAGACAGATTTTTTTTATTTTTTTTTTACTTTTTCATTGACTAAATAAAATAAAGCATTTTTCTTTTAGAAGAAGTTCATTTCGCACAAAAGGGATGTGTTGCTGGCGTGCTACACTTTGGATCAGGCAGCGAGAGGAGCTCCTGCTCCAGATTCTTTTTTTTTAAAGGTTGTTTGAGCCCGTGCAGCTGTCCCCTGTTTGTTCAGGCAGCCGGTGGACAGCTTGCCTTGTTGCTCACCTGCCCGACCGACCAACGCGCTTCCAGTTCGGCTTCATCTCCTGGAGTCTGACTCTTTTCTCTTTTCACCCCCAGTGGTTTAATAGATAGAAGTAACCAGGAGTCACCATGCTGAGAGACGCTGCTTCCATCTATTCAAAGTTCCAAAACAATTTGGACTCATGGGTTGGTAAGTGTCTTTTTTTTTTTGTTTCTGATACAGATTTGCTCTCTGCTGTATATGAACATCTTCTGATCTAAAGAATTATTGATCCCAAGCCGTGCTGATAGTTTGAGAGGTGTATAAAGTGAGTTTAGTGACGACAGATCTTTGTGTCGTGAGCCGACCATAATGAGAAATCGTGTGTTTTCAGATGTCCGAGTCAAGGACTACCCGCTGATGCAGGGCCCTTTAAAGATGACCGTGCTCCTAATAGCGTACGTCGTCTTCTCCAAGTACATCGGACCTCGCCTTATGGCCAACCGTAAGCCCTTCCATCTCAACAAGGCCATGATCGTCTACAACCTCAGCATGGTTCTACTGAACGCCTACGTGGTGTACGAGGTAAACCACATCGATGACAAATAAGGTTATTTACCGGGTACAATCCCACGTTCTTCACATAGCTGATGTGTTTTTTTCTGGGGTTTTTTTTTACGTCTACAGTTCCTGGTGTCTGGATGGGGCACCACTTACACGTGGAGATGTGACCTTGTGGACACGTCGACCAGCCCAGAGACTTTTCGGGTAAGCCAGTAAATTGTTCTTCGCATTCCTGGGCGCGCTCGCTAACTGGAGTGTCCTGAGGACAAACCATATGCTGACCTCTGGCCTGACCTGCTTCTTTTTAAAAAGTACTTTTTCTTCTTTTCTCTCCCCGCAGATGATTCGAGTGTGTTGGTTGTTTTATTTTTCAAAATTTATCGAACTCCTCGACACAGTAAGAAACCTTCTTTTCTCTCTTTATTTGCCTGACATCGTTACATATATTTTCATGGACGCTGACCTGAGCTTGTTCCACTTTTTATTTGAGGTGTTCTTTGTGCTGAGGAAAAAGCAAAGCCAGATCACATTCCTCCACGTGTTCCATCACTCCTTCATGCCCTGGACGTGGTGGTGGGGCCTCACACTGACTCCTGGTGAGGTTTACGTAACCGCAATGTAAAATGCACGGCTTAAAAAAGTTATGGATTAACATTACTTTGTGTCCAGCATAAGGCCTAAAAGATAGACGCCTGGACACTTGTGTGATTTCTTTTATTTGTCCCTGTTTAAAGCTGCAGGAATGGGCTCCCTTCATGCCTTGGTGAATGCAGCCGTCCACGTCGTCATGTACTTCTATTACTTACTCTCTGCTGCTGGGCCTCGCTTTCAGAAATACCTGTGGTGGAAAAAATACATGACCGCCATTCAGCTTGTAGGTCCTTTTTACATTTTTTTTAAATGTATTCATGACGCTACGTGTGTTTTTTTTATTTTTATTAATAGATCTATTTGAGGATGAGTTTTAAAAATGACTTTTTTTTTTCTTCTTTTCTCTGCTGCTTCACAGACCCAGTTCATTGTGGTCTCCGTCCACATCAGCCAGTACTACTTCATGGAAAAGTGCGACTACCAGATTCCGATGTGGATCCATCTGATTTGGATGTACGGCATCTTCTTCTTCCTCCTCTTCTCCAACTTTTGGATCCAGGCCTACATAAAAGGAAAGCGGCTTCCCGTCGTGGAGCACAAACCCAGACAGAACGGCTCAAACGGTGAAGCTGTCTCTGTGGTGGCCAATGGGAAACACCTGCAGAACGGGAACGGGCACCACCACACCAACGGCAAAATCATCCTGGGCAAAGCAAAGGAAATCTGACTCTGTAGAGCTGCCTTGGAAAAGTTATTCGTATCTAGCAGCATAATGAAACGGCACTGATTTCGCGGTGTCACTTCCAAACTAGATAACCTCTATATAAATACTTCTTTTTCTTATGCACACTTGTTGGGATATGTGTTTTGGTGGTGATCTCCACTGGCCGAATTGTGTTTGATAGCCGTTGTGAAAACTGTTAACTGTGATGAACACTATGGAAAATGGTGCTCATTTTGTCACGTATAGTATTCCTCGACTCAGGCTTGACCCCCACGAGCTCAATACACACTTTGTCTGGCATGACCCTTGTTGCACCGTTTCCACTGAAGACCAGCACATATAAACCACTTCTACAGACTTTGTCCAAACAAAGCTTTCATTGTAAATGTCAAATATTTAGTTTAGTTTTTTTATTTATCTTTTGAAATAAAACTTTTTTTTTTTTTTTTAGATAAAGGTCTGTCATTTTGAAAGTAGTTATGTGCACTTTCTAACACCTCAACGTTAAGACTTGTGGCAAACATGTTATACTGTATATTACAGTATTTTTTTTTTGTTAAATTAGGTAGTGACATTGAATTCTGCAACATGGTCAAATCACAGCTCACTGGGCATGAAGTGAATAGCAAGTCCTGTTTTGAATTCAAATTGAATGAGTGTACAGTGTCTGAATACCACTGCGGTTCATTACACATGTGCACTGATGACTGTTGAAGATCTAGTTTTGAAGGACTGCTTTTAAAACTTGTATTGCCACAATGGAATAGGAGTGGATGTGTAACCAGGAGTGGTTTTATACATTACAATTAAATGTTTAGATTGTTCGGTTTCTGACTTGCGCAGAATTAAAATCTAAATGTTTTGTGACTTCTTTTTTCTAAAATGTGAAGTCATATTGGTCAAATATTTGATAATTCAATGGAAATGAAAAGATTTAGTCCTGGCACTTTGAAACAGCTTCAACTGGACACAAATTTGATTAATATGGCTTTAAGCCACGTAAGCACACGCTGATGGGTATGACACCAATTGGCTGAATTTCTAAAGCGGTCAAAGAGCAACTCAAGCTAACAAACAGTTGGACTAAATTGATCATAACTTTAACTTGCTTGATGAAACTAAAGGTGTGGCTCATTTGTCACTCAACCCTGCATGCATTGAGCTGGTTTTAGTTATTAGCATGTCAGTCACATGCAGGTTTATATTAAATCAGGCAACAACCATTTAGATGGCTGTGTCTTCTGTAGGCATCAGGTAGTTTTTAAATGGCAGCTTCTCAGGGAACAAAGTTGACTAGTGACCTGAAGCAAAAGTCCACATTAGATTTGGGGGGGGAAAAGAAAAAAAGGATTTAATTTATAATTCAGATTGGCGAGTGGTAGAGTTGATGTGAAATCGTTATCAAAGGCGTACAGGTCCCAACATGGCCAATTATTGACAGAAGCACAGTACGTAATAAAACCATTTATTGATAACCCAGTCCACTGTATACAATGCATCCCAATTATAACAAAAAGCCAAGCGAAGGTCATAAATACATTTGCTAAAAAACCCAACACTTAACTTTTGTACTTCAATACATTGGTAACCCGGTTTACAATTGAGACAAATAAAAAATTACAGCGCCTAGAAGAGCAGTAAATTTCCAGTCACAGCTAAAGAACTGGGTAGACTTCTTTATTGTAGATTAAATAAAACATTTGCACATGAGCATAGACTAAAAGAATTAAAAAAGGAAAAAAAAAAAAAAAACCTTAGAAAGCACAACGACGCTGGTTATCTGATTGACTGATGAATGACGCCACTGGTGGATTTGACCAGCCTCTCTTTGGCCTTCTTCACAGGATCCATCTCAAAGCTCTTCCACAGACGGATAGTCTCGTCCCCGGCAACGGTTGCAACAGTAGAGCAGTCGGGGCTCAGAATCAAACTGAGAACTCGGTCCTCATGGCCTAGAGCAGACATTACAGTTTAGACCGGCAGCTTCCAATTTAGAAGTTTCCTTTTAAAAGAAAATATTAGAAAGTAGAGCATGAACAAGTAAATAAAAACGTACCATTGAGCTCTGCAACCCTGGAGAGCGCCGGATACTTCCAGATAACCACGTTGTTATGGGCATATCCATGGGCAGAGACCAGCTCCTTATAGTTCGGCGCAAACACGAGGGACGAGATCTGGAAAGAAAGCATGTACGATTTGAGAAAATATGGCTCCCTCTATAGATTCAAAACGTTTAAACTAAACCTTTAGAAACCAAGGATCCACCAGCGCCAGGGTACCTGGGATTGAGTGTCAAGTGAACTGATGCAGGAGCCACTGTTCACATTCCAGATGCGGATGTGGCGGTCACTGGTGCCACCTCCAGATGCCAGGATGTTTGGCTGCCATGGACACCAGGCCAAAGCCTAGATCGACAAGCGCATCAATCAGTAATTACAGTAAATAGTAGCGTGCAACAATCGGTAAAAAGAAACTCATGCCTGCCGCTTACCTTAACAGCTCCTTGGTGTTCACTCCAGGAGCGGACCGACTGGCTGGCGGTGCCCTCCTGCACGCGGGGCCACACATACACCATGTTGTCGTTGCCCCCGCTGGCCAGGTATCGCCCATCAGGGGACCACTGCAGCCCACACACTTCTTGCGAGTGACCGGTGAGCGTGAAGATGTGGTGGTCCGCCACCCGAACGTCGTGATGGTGAATGTGTCCCGATCTTGAGCCGCTGGAAAGGGGAGAAACGTTTCAATTGGAGTCAAAGACAGAAGAAAACGCTACAGGAAAAATGTTGTCTGACCATCAGAAAGGAAACTTTACCTGGAGAGAACGTGGTCATTCCAGCTGAGGCTTACAACCCTCGACGTATGACTGGACATGCTGCGGAGACGCTTCTGGTTGTAAACATCCCACAACTAGGGATACAAAAATGTGCCATTTAGAGAAAAGAAACAAAGCAGATCTTTGCCACGTGTCGTTTAGAACTGAAAAAAGGTGGAATGTCCAGCGGTTAACGCGGACCTGAATTTTGCAGTCGCTGGTGCCGATGGCTAGGTACGTTCCCTCTTTGGTCCAGGACAGCGAGCAGACGTAATCCTCCTCGCGCTCCAACGACATGAGAAAAGTGACGTCTCCTTGTGTGGCATCCAACAGGTAAACACTGTTATGAAGTGCAACAGCGAGAACGTTTCGACTGCTCCAGTCAAGCAGATTCAAATCTGAGGGGGGGGGAAATGGAATGATTTTGGGCCCAAATGAATGCTTCCCATCTGTAAAGAGTTCAGTTTATCATAAAGAGCAAATATGTACAAATTGACATTTAGTATAGAGACTGATTTAATGATCCATTGCTGTGAATCCATATTGTTAAAGGTTAAGCCCCCCCCCATTTAAGACTCACAGAAATCGTTTCGAAGTTCAGGGGCGTCCAAAATCCTGTCCGGGGAGGACGATATGTATCTTGTCTTTTTGACAGAGGCCGGAGTCGCGCCTTGACTGTAGAGCACTTTCAAGTTGTTTTGATAACCTGTAAATCAAGGAAATTAAAAAAACTCTTCCTCCTGAATGTTGTGTCACGACACACACACACACACACTCACACAAACGTCCTTACCTTCTGGAGCATTAAGCGGTTTCCCTCCAAGGTGCAGGATCTTTGCGTCTTCAAGGTTGTATCCATTTAGCGACATGGACCAGGCTTTCTGGCTTTCCTGTAAACAGACACACGCAACACGGATCAACAAAAAGCGTCCACAAAGCGATGGAGGGAACCGGTTGAAACGGCATCTCACCGCCGTGCTGGTTGAATTGTTTGCATCCACAGGCTCGTTCTCCTTTGACAGCAGGAAACTCGCCACATCCATTTGTTTGCTGTTTCTGGTGGGGATGAAGCGGTCGCCCCCCATCTTAGACGGCGTTACTTTTTTGTTTTTTCCTGTGGGCACAAAAGTAAAGCCAGGTAGGCTCATCTGCGCGGGGGGGGGGGGGGACGAATGAGGGCAGGAACACAGCGGGCCACGCTTACCTGGGGTTTTGCTGGGAGTTTTCGATGAGCCGAGCGACGCGTTGGCAGACTTGCCGGGCGACAAGCCGCTCAGGGCCGCCGCGTTGGACGAGCTGGCCTTCCGCTGCCACCTCGCCATGGGAGCGTTGGTGATGGGCATGTCCAGCTTCAGGATGCTGTGGATGTCGTTCTCAAATCCGAACTGCGCCATTTTAGCCAGATTCTTCACACTACCAGTAGCAGATCGGGGGGAAATGAATGAATAAAGCGGTCATTCGACGGGCGAACTGTGTGGTTTCATAGGCAACGCATGCCAAGCTAACGCTAGCTAGGGAGAGCTAACGTTAAGCGTAATGCTAACGTCTCTTTAGCGACTGGCACGACGAAGGAAAACGACATGTCAGTTGAATGGAAATTATATTATAAGCAGTCGTCGTTCAACACCAGGTGACGTTAAACGTTAAATAAACGGAATGGGAGCTATTACCTGAACTTAACTAGCTATTAAAAAAAAAGTCAGCATTCATTAATTTCGTCAAAAGTTAATGTGAAGTCTAAAGTGGGACTTTCACACAACCTCGTAATAAACCCAATCATCTCACCTCTTTGGGAAAACGTGGAAAACTCTCGTTCGACACGGGTCGTTCGCTGGTGTCTCTTTCCAACTTTTGAATTTCGTGACGATGACGCTACACGGTTTAAATCCCAGAAAGCGCTGCTGCTATTGGCTCATTCGAGGAGCGGCCGTTGTCGTCAGGCATTGCCATGGTAACGCTAAGCGATGCCTTTCTGTGATTGGTGGAGGAAACCTCTTGTCAGAAATAAAACCTCCCTTGAAAAAATATATCGCCATCTATTGGCCAAAACATGATATTGGAGTTGTTATTTAATTGTGTGATATCAGGAATCAGGATCAGTAAACATTTATTTACCAAAATATGCCAAACATACAAGGAATTTGTCTTGGCGGTTAGTGCGCGACAGTAGACAGAGAAGACAGCAGTGCACAAGTAATAAAATAAAGTAAAATGCAATGCTAATGCAATGGGTTAGTAGAATAAGGCTATGGGTTAGTATAAAACAAGGGAATAAAGTTAAACATTTTAAATATTAAAAAAGTTTAAAAGAAAAATGTTAAGCATAAAGTGCACTAACGAACAAGTACAAACAAGTAACAAAGTGACGAGTGACGACAAAGTGATGAATTACAGTTAAAGTGGCATGTGCAGTGTGAAGGGGGGTGACCAGTGGGATGTTATAGTCAGTCAGTGGGGGACCGGCTCTGTTGATGAGCCCGACTGCCGACGGGAAGAAACTGTTGGTGTGGATATGAAAACAATACAATTTCTTTTTATCGTGTTTGACTGTGTTTTTCGGGAGTTTTTCTGGAATAAAAAAATATATATATGGAAATTATTACCAAATGTTGATCATTAAACCATGACACTGACTTGTTAGTCATTTAGTCAAAGTCTGATCCTCGATGAGGTGTAAAGTAAATATTCTACTCTAAAATTCAAAAGGGCCACTTGTGAATTCACATATCCATTTTCTTGTCCAATGTTCATGTTTTCGTCACAACATATACATAACATGGTTACACTTGTCCAAAGGTGTGTGTATGTAGGTGATGGATATTTAAATGGTGAATCATGCAAGCATATTTTTGTTTTTGACAGTTGATGACTGCCTAATGCAAAGAAACTGAACGGCCACCCCACCATGTCCAAAGGCAGGTCTATGAGGCAGAAAATAGTAACCTAAGTAAGTAATAGCTTCATTTTGGACATTACTTGAAAATAATTGTGTGAGGATGAGGCCCAAACTATTCCATAATCATTTGCAAATAAAAGTGGGAAATAGTTCACTCTGGATTAAATCAGCATCAGGTTTACGTGACAGTCAAAAGCTGTATCTGACAATATAAATCAAGCAACAATAAAAGGATCTTTAATCATGCATTTTATTAAAACTACACATAAGATAAGGTAAAACATCTGGACAGTATGAAATAGATATACAAGAGCCACAATGGCATCTCAAAACAAAACAACAAAACAGTGCAGTGCAACTCTTTGAATATCTAGACACACGGAGCGGCCCGTTCAGTGTTCAGCAGAGTTTAGAGTGATTAAAAAACCCACATATTTTCAGCATGGCTTTATCTAGAAACTGTAAGACAATGTGTGACATTTTTCATCTCAATGTGCATAGATACTGAACACTCTTAATAAAACATTCTTATAACGCTTTTACAATGCTGCAAGCAGTGAACATTATATTTATTGGTCAGAATTACTTATTAGTTAAAAGTATATGCAAGGTGATACATGCATTAAAGTGCATGAAATAATGCAATCTGGAATCCAGACCCAACGTGGTACATACGTGGCTGTTGGTGCTGCAGCGAAAATTTACATGGAGGTACACTGCCAATAGGACGTGCACGTTTTAATCAGTAAGTTGACATTCAACAGGAGAAAAGAAGTGGAAAGCTCAAACGGGACCATGTTCATTAGCTTTGAACTCCAAGCTCCTGTAACCGTTGATTTCTGCAGCTGTTTCAGTCATGTCTTTGGGGTAGTGTATAATAGATCCAATAACACCTGCAAGGAAATCAGAGGGCACAAATTAGACTGACATTCACAACCAATAAAATAAAGAAATAAAAAGCTACCGAAACATAATGAGCCAGGCACTCTTCATCCGCGTGTCACCAGCTGGCCTGACAATTGCAGCAATAATCAGTCCCCATAGGTGAGTCATACTGTACAGTCACCACAAAAGTATCAAAATGATCAAAACAAAATGAGACAAACACTGACAGGAACAGGGTTTGCCGTTAATTTAATATCAAACCATGTCAATTTTTCCCCAAATATGTTAAATGAGACTTGTACAGTAACTAAATGAGAAAAAACAGGGATTGTTGGTTTCTTACCTCCAGGCTGTGTCGAACCTATGCAGAGTGAGGAAAGAACAACAAAGCACATGACAAGGCTTTATTTGTCCAAGTGAGCATGAGACCATACCAAAAAACATGTGACAGGAGTCACAATGTAGCAGTGTATTTGAGGGTATTCATGGGGTAAATTGGATTTTCAATTCAACCAGAACCGCCACAGCTGGTATCTGTTAATATTTAACAGGCTCCATTCTACTGAATTGTGCTGTACCATAAATGCTGCTTTTGAGGCTGCAGCCGTGTTAAAATCCATGCAACTTGTTTTATTATTATTATCCAAATGGAGACTTAAACACACACGCACCTTTCTTTTTGGTGAGGATGAGGCTGATTATGAGCAGTCCTGTAAATGCCAAGAGCGCCAAGACGGGCATCAGAAACTGCGGCAAAGAAATCCCTGGAACTAGAAAAACAAATGCAATTGTAACATTGTAACATGACTGCATGTCAGCGAACTGGCCTCTGGATATTGTGACTGTAAATAGGGATGGACTTTGTTTTCTTTTTAATCACATGGACGAACAGTGTTTCCCTTTTGTATAACCCTTTCAGCACGTAATGGGCCTCTGGCAGTAATTCCTCTTATTTTTGTTAGTAACTATTGGTTTCTAAAATGCAACGTTTCTTTTGCTCTTTCCTTAGTGTAAGTTAGAACGTTTTACAAGTGGCCGAGTGCACTTTTTTTGTCTTTACAGTACAGAAATTGTTTGTCCAACACATTTTAGAATTTGAGGAACATTAAATAAAAAACACGAATATCATGCGATCAAATGTAGGTTATCTCATATTTAAGAGATATTAGAATGATTACAGACTTCCACTTGATCTCCATTAAGTCCAGCCCAAAACGTGACATTCAATCCATTATTACAGCGAATGAATGAATGATGTAGAATGGGTCCCTTCTGACAAAATGACGCTACTTTTGCCCTTGATGAAAATGTTTTTCTATGAGAGGGAATCAAATAAGGGTCAAAATTCCATTAAGGGGAAATACTGTAGAATATTGTTAATGATACGATCCATTATCTTCCTCCAATACACAATCATAATTATTGTCAAGTTAAAATGTGTCGCACAGCACAACTCTACAGAATCAACTATGAAGTATTTAAAAATATATATATATATATATTGTGGGTTACATGTATTTTGATAAATATTAATGTTTGATGACAGCTGTGATAGCTAAAAAAAAAGTGCCCCTTTTAAAAGCAAGAAAGAAAACAAACCCGACTGCTCCTGCGAAAGCATCAGCTCTCTCATCAGCTTGATGCAGCCCTCGTGAAGGTGGCTCGTCTCCCTCTTTGTGCGCTGCTCCTGCTGCTCCCACACCACCTTGAAAGCCAGCGCTTCTGGTACGCGGGGGGTCCACCCGCCGCCGTGGTCCAGAGTCAGATAGACCTCCCCGTCATAGAACACGCGGTCGGCCCAGTGCAGCAGAGACCCCTCCACTATGCATTCACGGGAACGGAGGACGGTGTGGTCTCCTAGAGAGAAAGAAAAAAAGTCAGAAAAAAACTGACGATGACATTAGATCTGAGGTGATGTTTTGAACAAGTCGATTTTTACAGTCATTACACCCATTGCCAGTTCATGAGGATTTTCTTACTCATGACGGAAGTCTGGTTGAAACGGAGAAGAGTTGGAAGGAGTGGATCAGCTGAAATGGTTTGGATTATGCGGTCAACTTCTGGGCTTTTGCCAGTAAGGGAGACCCCATTGAAAAGGACCTGCTCCACCACCTGCCGAGCACCCACCACTCCCCGCTGCTGCACCTGCACTAGGATGGTATCTAATGGGGGGGGGCAACCAAAATGCACACATTAACAGCAGAACAGCAAAGAAAGAACGTAGATTCCAAATCTCACAGCAGGGGTTAACTCATTAAAACCTAAATGGTTTTATGTAACGAAACCGGAGATGCATTGAAATGTGGGTTGAAATGTAACTGTGTTGCAAATGAGTACCTGTAGTAATGTAAATTTACTGACTGGTCAAAAAACAAAGTCACCACCTGGATTTAACTAAGCAAATAGGTGTGAGCCTCCTATTGGATAATTCCTGCTTGGGCAGCAACAGTATGTGCTCAAAGAATGAGGTCAGCGGACTACCTGAATATCCTGAATGATCAGGTTATTCCATCAATGGAGTTTTTCTTCCCTGATGGCACGGGCATACCACAGAGTCTAGACCTCACCCCATTGAGAAGGTTTGGGATGTGCTGGAGAAGGCTTTTTGCTACCATCAGCAATACAAGATCTTGGTGAGAAAATTAAAGCAACACTGGATGGAAATAAATCTTGTAACATGCAGAAGCTTATCGAAACAACGCCACAGCGAGTGCGTGCCGTAATAAAAGCTAAAGGTGGTCCAACGAAATATTAAGAGTGTGTGACTTTTTTTTTTTTGGTGGTGACTTTTTTTTGGGCCAGGCGATGTAGATTCCAACAATCCACCAAATAAATCCGGAATGCTTTCACATAAGTGTAATCTCATATTTTAACGTTGCTCCAAGTGGCACAAGGTCTATGTGTGCAATGTTCTTGAACTGTGAAGGCGTTTCCAATAACATGTATATAACATGTATATAAATAAACCTTAAACATAGCTCCTAACTCTCAGAAATCACCACAGAGGGAAACGAGCGCTCCTTTCACAGTGGCAACCGAAAGCCAAACATCTCATAGTTTACTCCAGTGGCTGTTGACCGGTGCAGCTGTCATTACGTCCTCTGAGAAGCAAACGTAAAAGCATTAAAAGAATGAATGTGAATCTGCTGCAAATTACGTTAGTCTGCACGTGACCCGCTTGCAATGGCTGTAAAATAACGGCACATTCGGTACAAATTCCGTGAAACACCCGAGGGATTTTTCCAGGTTTGAGTGGCATGAGGATTTCCTGGTGTGATCTAGTACACCGAGAAGTAACGTAAAGTAAACTATACGGTTATCTAATGCAAAGACACGAGCCTCTTACCTACTGGAACAGGGAACCCCAGTGATGACCCGCATAACATGAGCACCAAAATGCCAAGTAGATGCATTTTCAAGCGTTGACGTAACTCGTCGACGACTCAAAACCAGCTCGTCCAACCGTCGGGGGAGCGGACACGAGTCTCCGCGGGTATAAATAGAACGTTTTAAGCCATTTAAGTGTTACCAGCGCACTATTAACGCATCCTAGATAGGAGACCAAACGCTCGCGAAGGACTCGTGGACTCTCCGCCCTCCTGTCTCCCGATGCGCGCGGCCGCTTCCGTTTGTTTAAATGCTCCCTGGTCTCGCTCCTAATTGGATAATGTGGCTGACACGTGGGCTGGAGGGTTCTCTCTGCCCGTCAGATCCACTTCAACGAAGCGCCGCACCCTAGGGTGAGTAGGGCACGCGAGGTCAGAGGTCACCATCCGAGATGGCAAACTCATCCGATATCTTGCCGGGTGTCTCCAGGTGTTTAAAGTTTCAATGTTGAGCCGCTCCGAGTGTTGGTAACCATGGCAACACGGAGACATTCACCATGGCAACAGTAGCGCCTGAAATTCATGGGGAGTCTGTGTTTACACTCAAAAAATATATAAAAATGTATAAAATACCCCTATAGTAAATGCATTAAAATAAAATACAATACATTTTTATATAGGAAATACTTTTTTCTAGATATTCCATTTTCTCACGATTGTAGTATTCTTTACATACACCTGTGATTTGTCCAATACTACATTTTAGACTAGTGTATCTTCAAAATAATATTTTGTATGATTTTCTCTGTTTTTTTTTACACTAATTGTATCTGACTGTACGGAAATTAAAATAAGCTTCAGCTCATCGTCAGCTGCAACATTAGGCCTAACCTACTTATGCTTCACTGGTAAAGATATACTGCTTCATAAAGTAAGACTGTCAAGAGCAATTCTGCTCCATTAGGAACACTTTCACTTCAGATACTTTCTTCATTTTATTCAAACTTTAAACAGTCATTTGAAGGACTTTACTTCCGCATTGCAGTATTCCTTTTATAAATCATCTAAACACTCAAAACCATATAAAAAATCAGGAAGGAAAGAATCAGAATACAAAACGTAAAAGTGGAATTGGATTTAAAGCTTCATCTGCTCTGCTGGTCTCATGGCAATTTTCCTCCAGTACATTCTATACGTGGAATACTGGCCTTTCAGGATTATTTTGTAAATGGTGTTGCTTTTAGTTCATTTTTTATATGCAGCCTGTAGTGTAGCATGAAATAAATGTTGCTAAACATGTTTCTAAAGTCGTTTTTCAAATGTCTGCCGGGATTTTCTGTGTCGACCAGTCTAACAACTCAGTCTGTATCTAGTGTATCTCTCTAGTCACGCACTAAATCTTCTTAAGGAGACACATAACTTAAAAAAAATTAAAATCGGACACTCAGCAGCTTATGTTTGTATTGTACGTTCATCATAAATGACCGAGTGGCAAAGTCTTCTCAGTTCCATTCGCTCTGTAACAGAACAACTTCTGAAAGATTGCACAGTATTATCTATCCGTGGTACTCAGATATTAGCTAGTTTACTTTAATTATTTATCTATTGCTGTATTTCCTCTAAATCATCTGAAGAACTTGTCAGAGGTCACCAACAGCTTTATTCCCATATCATGTATGGTATCTATTTTTAAAATGTAATTTTATATATCATACAGACCAAAAAAACATTCTGGTTTTTGTTTGTCTGTTGCTCTGCTGCTCCCAAAAGCCAATGTCCTACTTTAAACACTTTAAACTTGTCCTATCCTGGAAGAAACAACTGTTGTTTTTATTTGTATGATAATGAGGCACACTCATCACTGTTTATCTCAGTCTCCCAGTTTCTGCTTTTGCTTTGTTGTCATGTCATATGCTTCACATGAAAAGGTCAGAGAAAAATGACGCAGGAGCTCAATCTAATGATTAGATAAGTTGTTCCAGTACCCACAGTATCTTTTTGTCTTGTCTACGTGTGTGTGTGCTCATGTTGTGTTATGTAAAGTTATCTGATATTATCTTAATGCTATTCATGTGCGGTCGCCAGACCTTTAAATCCCCTGTATAATTTGCATGCCGATCATCAGCACTGCTGATTGTATTGTTTTGGTACGTTCGCAGTTAAACGTGTAGGTCACGTGTTGCCAGTGAACGCGTGGCGCCATCTAGCGCGTGACCGCGGCACGAGCCTCCACCGGATTGGCTGAGCAGTCGTCAGGACTGTTTACAGGAAACATGGCTTCCAGGTCTGTGGGAGAGCTTCAAGAGATGGAAGGTCAGTAAACATGTTCAGAACCAGCCGTCCCATGATCATATTAGCTGAGTGAGCCGGCGAGGATTTTAACAAATGCGTCTGTTTTTGAATGAGCACATCCGGCGATTTTTTTTCTTCCCTATTTACCAACCACACCTTCATCACAGCCTTGCTAATTTAGCTAGCAGGCAAACAACAACCCCTCGTTAGCTGACGTCACACAGTTCACGTCAACTTACAACTGTCCTGCTTGGCATCTCATTTCGGTTCCCATGGCAGTTATGTTGATTCTAATGCTCTGAAGGTATACGTTATATTTGACGTGGAACGTAGCGTGTCTGCTCAGTCAACACGTATCCACGTTCAACCGTTACATCTGCACTCTAAACCTGGCCCGAACCAGCTAGCGTTAGCTGACGCGTTAGCACTGCGTCTCGATTGTGAACGCCGCCTTGTCTTTGTCCGCTGGGTGTAGTGGACCGGCGGGGTGAGTCCGAGGAGTCCGGCGATGATGAGACCAAGAGGAGGAGTATCAATGGCAACGTGGACCGCGACCAGCCCGCCACCACAAGTAAATCATGACACCACAGCTCCATCTGAACACTGCTGTGTCACACTATGATTCACCTGTAAATAGCATCACTGCTGCCCGACGTGTGTCCAGACTTGGTTTGGCTGTAGGACTGCATTAAATAACACGACTTTATGCAAATGTCTGTGTTAACTGGTCAATTTTTGCTCTTGTTAAAGGTAAAGAAGAGTCTCCTGTTGACATGGACACCATAACGTTGGACCCAGAAGAAGAGGTTAGAGGATGGACTAACGCTTAGCAATTATCCCATCATGCTTTTACCTCTCAAACTGTATCTGGTGTATCTCAGTCCATCTGTGGGCCGGGCACTCAAATCACTGCTAGTTCTTACATTATTTCATCCTAAGCTGTCTGGTCTTTTCTTCTAGGACGTTGATCTTGTTCATTGTCGTATTGGAAAGATTGAAGGGTTGGAGGTGCTAAAGAAAGTTAAAGTAAGTAATAAAGTAGATAAATTGTCAATCGTTTCTACACATTTAGGATAGCATAGAAGGATTTTAGGGTAAATGGTAAAATATAGTTTATCTTTGCTTAATTGTTTTTTATTTTTCCCTATCCGTCTCTTTTTGTACAGACCCTCTCCCTAAGACAGAATCTCATCAAAAAGATTGAAAACCTTGAAAGTTTGAGCTCGCTGCGGGAACTAGATCTCTATGACAATCAGATTCGCAAACTGGAGAACCTGCAGAACCTCACGGAGATCGAGTAAGTGAGGAAAACAAAAGGCCTTATCTCTGTATTATAAAGATCCCATCCAGATAAGGAAAAAGTCGAGATCTGATTTTCACACACAAGTGTTTAGTGATGGTTGGAGTGTGAGAATTCTAATATTATATTTCTCATGTAAATGACTGAAAACAAAGAACAGGCATCCCAAACTAAATCACTTGTGGTGACACGCTTGTTGTCTGATCCATAGGCAGCTTGACATGTCCTTCAATATGCTGAGGAAGGTGGAGGGTCTGGAGCAAATGACTAAGCTGAAGAAACTTTTTCTACTTCACAACAAAATCGGCAGCATTGCCAACCTGGAACACCTCACAGGCCTGGACATGCTGGAACTGGGCTCCAATCGCATCCGGGTACGACATAAAGAGGCTCCCGGCCAGTGAGACATGAGAAATGAATGCTACACGTAAAAAACACGCATACTCAAATGGTGTATCGAAGGAAGTTGTTTATTTGTGTCTCTCTTTAAATGAACTGTGTTTACAGATCATAGAGAACCTGGATACTCTTTCATCTTTGCAAAGTTTGTTTCTTGGCACCAACAAAATAGCCACGCTTCAGAATCTGGAGGGTTTGCACAACTTGACCGTTTTAAGTATTCAGGTATTCACAAATTCTGTGATCTTTTTTTCTTTTTCTTTTTCGTGGGTAAGAGTATACACATGAAATGTTCAAATGAAAACAAAGGGGAATCCTTTTGTGTGCTTGTATTTGCAGAGCAACCGGATCACTAAAATTGAAGGTCTACAGAATCTTGTCAACCTAAGAGAGCTCTATCTGAGCCACAACGGCATCGAGGTCATCGAGGGCTTGGAAAACAATGTGAGTTATATATATATTCTAAAAGGAATGATTGCCAAACCGCCTGCTTTGTGTAGTCTGCTAACTGTACAAACATGTACGGTAAGGTTTTTTCCCCCACATTCAAACACTGTTCGTTTTCCCTCACAGAAGAAGCTTACGACCCTGGACATCGCAGCCAATCGAGTAAAGAAAATCGAGAACATCAGCCATCTGACCGACCTGCAGGAGTTTTGGGTACGGATAGTTGGCAACGTTAGACTAGAGTGTCAATTTGATGGTCTTTTTACTTTGCAACCATACTGTAGAACCCCTCCAAACTTACCAGCACACCCTTTCACAGCACATGTGTTGAATTGACATCACAGGAAATAGAATTGAATATATTAAAATAATAAACCAGCTAAATTCAAAACTAGTAAAATAACAATGTTCCATTAAGAGCTCTAGAGCGAGCAGGCTCTGGCAAAGGGAGTGCAGCCAACATTACTTTATCATATACTGTATCTGTGCTCGTCCTTCCATGTGCAATACTACTGATTAAAAAAAAATAGTCTTAAATAAAATATGTAAAAAAATATATTTATAATTTGAAATTGCTCAATGCATGGCTAAAATAAATCAATTGATATATTTATTATATTCCATTTTGAATCAATGTAGTAGCTCACTGTTAGTTAGACAGGTGTATTTGTCCTCACAGGGTTTCAAAGGGAAATATGAAAACTTAAGTTTGTGTTTGATCTGTCAAAACACTTGTCTGTCCTTTTTAACTGGTCATATTGTCCTTGGAATCCTCCCCAGATGAACGATAATCAGATAGACAACTGGTCCGACCTCGACGAGCTGAAGAACGCCAAGTCTCTGGAGACGGTCTACCTCGAAAGAAACCCTGTACAGAAGGACCCACAGTACCGGCGAAAGATCATGCTGGCGCTGCCCAGTGTGCGGCAGATCGACGCCACCTTCATCCGCTTCTAAACCGCAGTAAAAAATAAATAAAAAATTGAGCGGACAGCTCCGCAGCGTAGTCCCTCGCCGCCCTGCGTGCCCTACCTCCGAAAGAAACTTCATTTTGAAACAAAACACACTCCTCACTGAATCATATAGTCGCTCTGTGCACAAATACGCATTCCGGCGTTCACTCTCACCCACGGCTTACTCAACACGTACGTGTTTGCATGTGTGCGCTCATTCACACCGTGATCAATGCTGGGGGGGTTGACGCATTTTTTTAATTTCTTAAGGAGGATATGAACTGGAAGAAGGATTTCAAAATGTACCATTTCCTGATTTTTCTGCACTGATTTTCGTTTTATTGTTTTGCATGCACGATGGTGTGGGAGACATATTTCATCAATTGCCCATCAGGAAAATAAGATATCAGTGGTTTGTTACATTTCATAAGATTGCCCTGCTATCATGTGAGAGGAAAGTTCTTACTATGAGAGTTTATTCCATTTGGTTTGATCGTGTAAAGCTTTTGACACAAGTAACACACTGAGTTATCGAACAATTAAACAGACGTACATCTAAAAAAGGGAAGTCCCTCAGAAAATGGGTAACATATTGTAATCTTTAGAATCAAAGGATCACAGAAATAGTTCTAAAATGCGACTTAACGCGTCACAGTGACACCGTGTAGGTCCAGGCCAGTTCAGCCCCGGCTTAGAGCTGTCATTTGAAGGAAAACACCAAGAAATGATATATCATTTTTAATAAACTGGTATTGTTAATGATGAAAGGAAAATCTGGATTTCTAGGCCGTGTCCGCATATTTTACTCCTCACTGATTACAGCTTCTCTTTTGGACTTTGGGGAAATTGTTCATATCTGTTCTGATAACTCTAAAATGTAGATTGTATTGTAAGTGAATTTATAATATATATAATCGCAGGACTGGCTTCACTTATGTGTTGATAACCGATGTAGGATCATTTACATATTCCTGTTTTCAAGTGTTCAGATATATGCAAAGAGGCTATAATTCATATTCTGTAATAGTCTTTCTTCAATACTGCCTACAAGCAGATCGTGGTTCATGTTTATGTTGCCGTGGCATTTCTTAGATCACGGAGTGACCTATTGTGATGGTCCCACATGTTGCATTAATAGACTTAATATACTCCCAGGTTACAATGAGCAGGTTATATATGTGAATAATCTCCCACCTCAGATTACAATGCATCGTTGGGTATAGATGAAGAATGCCCGACTAAGTGTTTTCTGTGCAACACAAGACTATTTCATACCTTTCATCTGGGTCTGAAGTGTCTTCAATGAGAACTCTCCCTTTGGCAGGAACATAACAGCACAGTATGCTGGTTTGTATTGTAGGTGACTTGGCCGGCTTTCAAAGGATTCAAAATTATGATAAAAAATATTATTCTTGAATTTGAATATAACTTAACTGTAGAAGATGTATGAGCATCACATTGACATCAATAACTACATGTCAATGTGAAGCCATTTTATATTTAGCTTCAAATAGAATTACAATTGGCCAGTAGGGTCGGAGGGGTCACAAGGTGTATTAAGTATAATTTGGACACCTTACGTTGTAGAAAGTCACTTCCATCATCACCTTCCCTTTTTTAAGTGAAATTCTTCTTTCTTTTCAACAGGCAGCTCAGCAGCTTTATTTGAGAACAGTGATGAAGATAACTTAACCTTGATTGGTTACTGAATAAGCAATTATTGGATTTTCTACCAGCTGATCGTTGTTGAAAACTGAGTTTTCAGTTTTTGGACTTGGTTCATGCTGTTTTCAAACTGAATGTATTATGCAAACAATAAAATGACACGACTTAAAGACAAAGTTTATGTGGAAGTATGATTTTCGTCATGACAGATGCATTCCAATTTTGAAATTGAATGGTCAATATAGTAAATTGATTCAAGATTATTGAAAGTCCTTTTTTTCCGTTGCATTGCTAATTAAGTCGCCAGTCCGTTAATGTCGTTGAATGAGAAATATACGTACATGATCACGTACATGATCAACAACTGAAATATAGGAATTCACTTTATCACGAGAAACAACATCAGCTCAAATCAATGTGCTATAACACGTAATCTTACCGATTAAACACAGATTTTAGGAGAAAAATAAAATAATTTTCTTTTTCATATTTTAACTGTATAGTCAAAACAACAACATCCTGGATTTTTTCATCTGAAATAAAAGTAGTTGCACTGTGAACTAGAGGAAAAAACAAGGGCAGAATCTACAGGGTCGGATCTAAAATATACATATTACCCCAAATCTTTTTACTTTTAAAAAATAATAGCAGAAAAAACTACTGGACTACATTACCCACAAAGCGGAACGACCCTTCAGTGACGTAGGGGCCTCGCGCCGCGCCAGGCAGGCCTCAAGGACGGCACAGCGCATGCGCGACATTTATGTTGTTGTTTGTGGCGGTAAGATGGCGGCGCTCGGAGACACCTCAGCTCCGGAGGTGAATGGGTTAATACAACAATTCACAGCAATAACAGGTAAAAATAACATTTTGTTTAACGCTAGATTTATCAAGTAGGTTTTTGTTATGCAACTGGAATAGCTCCAATGTCCAACAAACCACACAATGAGTGCGTGGATAGGAAAACGGACGTTGAGTCTTGCCCTGGCCCCTACGCTGTCAATGCTTTGCAGAGGAGGGAAAAGCACAGCCAGTTATCTGCTAAACTCAAATTAAATACTCCGTAAAGGACCATAAAACCACCCGCTTTGAATATGACCTGTCACAAACACTTTAAAATGCCCCTTTTTCTCGGCGCTGCTCATAACAGACACTATCTCGCTCTCCCTGAGCTGATTTTCTGCTGCCTTTTCCGCTGCATGTTGTTTGATAATGTGGAATGGACGTCGGCTGTTCAACGTTCCCCTTCTTCATCACCAGCCGGGCTTTACGTGGTTACTCTTCCCTCCGTCAGGGACGCCAACACCACTCGCACAAGCGCCCTGCTGGTCTCCGACTAGTGTTTCAGACGGACCTCAGCAGTTTGTGCGCGCTTTTAAACCATCGGCGGTGTTTTATTTGTACGGTATTTTTTAAAAGAGTTCGGGGGCTGCTGCTGCTGCTCGAGCTGGAAAGTGAAGCGCGCATGCGCAGTGGACCGAGCGGTGCTGTTCGCTGTTCCACTAACAAAAATAACAAAGTCAACCCCTTTCTCACCTGCAGACTGTTTCCCATAGCTTTATTCATTACGTTGATTCGAGATCTTGGGCGGTTTCGACCCACGTGTTGGTTTGTAGCCTGCCGATAGCGTAACGTAAAGTTAGCACATGCTTGAGCTAACGTTACGGTACTAGTTCACAAAGCACGCCGTAGCTTTTGTTAATACCGGATGTATTTCTTACGACGGAACCTTTTTCAGGGCAGTTGTTTCGCTTCCATTCATTTCAGTACAGTTGTTTAAAGTCTCCTTGCGAAGACCTGCTGGTTTTCCATCAGGACGTAACTCTGACAAAAACAATATTAAACAGGTGGTGGACATCATGCATGTCGTTTTTGGCGGCACTGTTTTAATTGTGTGACATTTGACAAGGGAGTCAAATGAATGAATGAAAGAAAGATGAAGGCCCTCCGAGAGGCAATCAAAGTAAAAACGTTTAAGCAGTATGCATATGTCATGTGTAGAACAATTTAAGGTAGGCGAAAATATAAAACGTACATTAGCGTGGTACTTTGAGAGGATTAGTTTGATTATACACGAGAAGATGTGTAGTCCTGATGCTTTGTACGTCATCAGCTGCTCATTTAGATTTGAATATGTACATTGAATTGACAGAGCCATATAGATGTGTGCAGGTGAATAATAATAAGTATTGCTCAATTCACGTGCATACTGCCTTTGCTGCCATTTAGAAGCGGTGTCCCTGTTGCACAGTTGATCAGCCAGTCTGGAGCTCTGACGAGTTCGTCGTGCAGACCGTAACCCGCGTCCGCCTACGTTTCAGGGGCCACAGAGAGCGTCGGACAACACATGTTGGAAGCATGCAACAACAACCTGGAAATGGCCGTGACCATGTTCCTGGACGGAGGCGCGATCGCAGAGGAGCCCAGCACCAGCTCCAGTTCAGCAGCTTCAAGCAGCAGAGCTCCCCCTTCAGAGTAGGCTCATATTTATCCTCACGAACTTGTGTCAGACACCACTAGAGAAGTTTTTTTGCCAGTATTTCATTTGTTAAAGATTTAATCTTTGTTTGTGCTCCATATTTACCTCAGCTGTGTTTTGCTGACAATGAGCAGAGAGGGTTCAGAGCACTGCTGTGATTTGTGTCGAACAATATAAGAGTGCATCTTTATAACTTGATGGGCACCAGATGCAGATCTAGATTGGCTTAAGACTAATACTGTATGTGTTCTGTCTCAGTGACGTACGCGCACCCATTCCCCAGAAGCAAGACATATTGGTGGAACCCGAACCGTTGTTTGGAGGTGTTGTACTTTTCTTATTCAACTTCATTCAAACACATTAAACGTTAAACTCCTTGATTGTTTCTGACTGATGTTCCAGTTGTGTGCTGAACCTGACTTTTGATATGTCTGTTATACATGCAGTGCCAAAGCGAAGAAGACCCGCTCGATCTATATTTGATGGTTTCCGGGACTTCCAAACAGAAACAAGTGAGTCAATTCAGTATTTCCTAGTTTAAAGGATGTGATCGGAAGTGAATGTCGTATAGTTTAATGCTACATAGTTCCGACCAATAAGACAAACTTTCACTTTACTGTCAGTCTCAGCCTTTTGTGTCTTAACTTCCTGTAATGACTAGGAATGTTTTTCTTTTACTAGTCCGCCAGGAACAGGAGCTGCGTAACGGTGGAACAGTGGATAAGAAACTGAGCACCCTGGCAGACCTTTTCCGTCCTCCCATTGAGCTCATGCACAAAGGCAGCTTTGAGACGGTGAGGAGTCACTCACCGGACACTTTGAACCACACGTCTTTATTCGGTTTGTGTGAACTTTCGGTGAAATTTTAGATGGTGAGAGTCAAGATCACAGTTGGGAAACCAGGTGGTCCTTCTATGGAGGGGCAGGAGTATGCAGCTGGGAGTTTAATGCATGGAGTTCCCCTCCGGCTCGATCCACACTCGCAATATGTGTGAAATAAACTGGTATAATGCGAGTAAGCCCCAAAGCTGTTAACCCATCATAACAACCACGGGTTGTTATTGCTGAAACTCATGTGTTCTTCATCAAGCTGTAGCCTAAACTTCGGGTCCCCATCTATACTTACCGATTGCCAATTACATCGCTCTCTAATCCTCAAAATTCTGCTTGATTTTTTTTTTTTTGTGTGTGTGGTTTGTGCTGACAGGCGAAAGACTGTGGACAATTGGAGAACAAGTGGCTGATGATCAACATTCAAAATGTTCAGGACTTTGCCTGCCAGTGCCTAAACAGAGATGTTTGGAGTAACGATGCAGTGAAGACCATCATCAGAGAACATTTCATATTCTGGCAGGTTTGTAGTTTCAATGCTCTGTGATCCCAAAAACGTTGTTTCGAGGCCTTTGCCAGGGGCCCATTTGTCCAATCTCATTTGATAACGGTCAAGTTAAAATCCATTAATGATATGTGAAGGGAATTTATTAACTGATTCAGAAATGGAGTGACGTCAACAGTAGGCTACACATATAGAACGCACAGTAGTGCTTTAACGGTGCAAATATTCATATTCCAAATATTCACATATACGTAATTCAATTAAAGTACATCTGGGGAGAGGTTCATCTGTGTGTGTTTATTTCATTACAGGTTTACCATGATAGTGAAGAGGGACAAAGATACATCCAGTTCTATAAACTGAACAAGTTTCCCTATATTTCCATCCTCGATCCTCGCACAGGTGAGTTACTAAGTCACAGCATATTCCACAGTCCTGATGCTCCATCTTCAATGAAACTTATAGAATAACATTTAGTTAAAACACCACTCAGCGACTAAGAAAACACAATTACAAACAACACTAGTCATGGAAAAGCTTTTCAATTTGTACAATAATCTTTATTGACCAGTTAATTCTTTTAAAATCAAATCTAAAGGCTGGCGCATGCGTCTGCGTCTTTATGCACCATCGTGTCGACGCAATCGTTTCACTTCATGGTTGTAAAGTCTTGCGTGTGTTGCAGAGCGATTCACCTCCAGAACAACAGGTGGAGTAACGTGTTTTGTTGAAGACGACCTGGAGAGTCACGTCTTTGTGTGTGGAAGTCGTTGGTTGCTTTATTTATTTATCATAGACTTTATTGCCCCGTGCATCCACACTGCTGCTTTTCATCACGAAATATTTGTCCCGTATTTTCCTCCACAACTTTGTTCCCCTCGTTTGTTGAGATCTCCCTCCATGAATCAGAGGCCATCCGGCGTCCTTCTAGTCCGCCAATGACGGCTTGTAGAAGCGGTCATATTTACGCATTTCTTTCCACAAAAGCTCTTCAATCTGATCCGTTCTCTTGTAAACATTCTTCGTTTTAATAATGGCGGTATCGGGCTATGAAAACGGAAATGCGAGACGTAGTTAGCGGACCAATCGCAGCCTAGAAAAATGGGTCGACGCACGCAAGGAGGTGTGAAAAGACACGCAAGGAACGCGCAAGGGGGGGCTTGCGTCTGCGTGTCCTTGCGTCTCTCTGAAAACACAGAAGCATAAACTAGGCTTAAAGGAGTCTGCACGGCACCTTCTGGAACCTGTCTGTGCTTTTAGCAGGAAGGGTAAAACAACCACTGAATAAACATACCAATTATTCCACAAGTACATATAACCATAAATGATATCCCATTGATGCTCCTATACCAAGTGTTTAAGTTCAATTTACTTCTTAATTGTCATTGATGAGGACACCAGAGTCAAAGTATATATTTCTTCCTTTTTTTCAGCATTAGAAAAAACAATTTTAATAGCAGCACTATATAACACCCTTTAACAGTGTTGCGTGATTGAGCAGGAGGTCCTTGTGTGACTACGTGATGGAATAAATCACAACCAACAATAGGCTTTTACGATGAATGTCGCCATAGAAATAGAACAATAGAGCACGGTGTGTAGAGCTCTCCGCTAACACCTTCAAAGTACGATCGATGCAGGTGAGAACGTCTGCTTTTGCTGCTTGAATGCTCTGTAATTGATTTGGTTATTGACTGTTTAAAATATCTTCTCTTCAGGTCAAAAAATGGTGGAGTGGAATCAGCTGGACGTGGCGTCGTTCCTGGAGCAGACGACTGGCTTCCTGGCCGAGCACGGGCAGCTAGACGGGCCGTCCTGTCACGCACCTCCTGCCAAACGAGCTCGCTCTGTGGGTCTCTACTCATTTGTCTCCTCTGATTCTCTCTTCTGCTTTAATAGGAGCTCTCTCTCTCTCTCTCTCTCTCTCTCTCCACGTGGTCGTCAGTCTCTTTGTTGCTTGTGCCATATTTTGGTATTGTTTTACTCGGCTCCTTGATTTGTTTTTTTTACAGCTGCACGCTCTGTTTTCTGTTCTAGGAGAGCCTTATTGATGCCAGCGAAGACAGTCAGCTGGAGGCAGCGATCCGAGCCTCCCTACAGGAGACGCACTACGAGTCCTCAAATGCCCCCGAAGAGCCCGATTCCCCCCCGTCCGAAGACGAAGAATCCGATGCAGAGCCTTTCTCTGACAGCGAGGGTCCCATCTCTGTCGACGGCTCGGACAGCGAAATGCCAGCACCTCACGATGAGAAAAGTTTTCCCAGCAAACACGCCTCGCTCCCGGCGGCCAATGCGGCTCAGCAGCGTCTCCATCCCGATAGTTCCACTTCTTCCCACAGAAAGTCTCCATACAAAGAAAACAACCACAGTCACAAGAAGGAGGAGAGCAAAAAGAACCACCTGGAGCCCTCAGCTGGCGGCCCTCGTCATCCTCAGCCCGACGCCGAATCCGGAGGAAACCACTGTCCCTCGGTCGCAGAGAGCGCTGGACCATCCAAGACCAGCGCCACCAAAACCTGTGACGTGGACTGTCCGGACGACAACGGTACGTCAGCTAAACCTCAAGCCGGTGTGGCGACGACGGCGAAGGGAGAAAATGTAACCACCATCTTTGTTTGTGTTTTTTTTTTTCCAACATAGGGCCCAAAGCCAGATTGATGCTCCGCTACCCAGACGGACAGAGAGAACAAATTTCCTTGTCTTCTAAAGCAAAACTTTTGGTGAGAACACAACACGATAACTGCACTTCTTTGCTTTGTTGCAGAGAGTCCGATGAGAAGAGCGACATGACTCTCATTTCTGTCCAATATGTATGGACCTGAAGCCAAGAGGAAGTGCGCTTAGCTTAGCGTGAGGACCGCAAGCAAACCGCTTAGCTGCTTCTGTCCAAAGCACCTCTACAGCTCATTAATGAACACATCGCTGCTGCGTTTGTTTAATCCATTTGAAACAACTAAAGCAACACAGCAACTTTTGTACAGTTTAAACAAGATATAAGTTGTTGGGCTTCAGCTGTAAGGTAATAGTTTTACTTTGGTTGTGCTAAACTAACCAGCTGTCATAAATACTGTCAGGCCGTAAGAGTGGTATCAGTATTGTCCTCTAACTGAAGCCAACAGGCAAAATGCCAAACTCTTTATTTGGATAAAATGATGAGTCACTTTTGCCCAGTGATCAATCCTGTCACTTTAAATGTCTAACTTCTGGTATGTTACTCCTTCTCCTCAAGGCCCTGGTAAGACACGTCCAGTTCAAAGGTTACCCTAATGAACGCTTCGAACTCGTCACCAACTTTCCCCGAAGGAAGCTTGCCCACTTGGACTATGACATCACGCTGCAGGAGGCGGGGCTTTGTCCACAGGAGACTGTATTTGTTCAGGAGAGGAACTAGCCGCGTCAGACGCAGTCACTTTTGCCTGTCTGTACCTCTCTGCGACCGACCTCACCCTTTCACCGATGAGCTGGGACGATGTCACCGGCCGTGACCCCGGTACCTTCTCCTGGAACTAGGCCCCGGTTTTGCCAAGACCGATCTCAGTGGATGGACTACTTTCCCCGCCGCTCCACTAATCTGAACACTGACAGCCGAATACCTTTGTACTGCTCTTCAATTGGCCAGTAAGGTGTACGGATGCTGGCACGTCTTCATTTTTTGAATTCAGTTTTATTCTTTTCTGATGCAGGCTTCATTTTTGTTCTGAACTCTTGAGACACATCAGGAAACAATAAATATATATATATATAGCTAGCTCATATTCAAATAAAAAAAACAATAATACTGGATTGCTGATTGATGATGAGGCACCAAGGAATTGTACAAAAACATTTTTAACTCCAAGAAAGGATGTTTGATGTCAGAGTTTATTTTCTGTACCTTGGGACAAGTAAAGGGAGGTGCGTTATTGTTTATTCGGCCCAAATTTGGTCTCTCACATGGTCCTTGTTTCAACAATTGTAATTATTAAGGCAGGGGCACCAAGAGAAAAGTTCCGTATTCTACAGGTCGGACATCTGTTACACAAATCTGTGTAAATCTGACAGGATTTGGCTGCATCTGCACATTTTTACTCCAAGTCAAGTTTCTATCGGTTAATTCATTTTGGTGGGATTTCAACTTTTGATACAGAAGGGAATGAATGAAGGTTGGTGCATCTCATCAGTCGGACCTACACTGTACAAAGATGGCCAGAGAGAATGATATTTAGCTGTAGTCACTGTTTCCTTTTTTTATATGCTGCCAAGAAAACATGTTGAAATATAACCACCAAAACCAAGGGAGGTTCTGCTTGGTCTTTTGTCTCAATTTCAACCAACGTCAAAGGCTGAACGCGCTGAGGGGAATGTCATAGGATACAACGCAGACCAATATCAAAACAAAGAGGGAAAAGCAGCTACTGGATCAACTGAGCAACAAACATGCATTACTCTGTGTTCTGTAATGAGGAATGGTTTCAGTATTCACCGATCCACACCTGCCCCCCGGCTTGTTTTTCTTAATCAAATGATGGTTTTCTTGAGAGATGGTGGATGAACTATGCCGTGTGGGCTTTATGAAGCTTAAAGCTGGGCCATAGGTGGCAGTAATGGGCCTTAAATGGCAGCAGTTGCTCAATAAACTAGGCCAGCATCAGGAAGAACATGCCAATAACTTAAAAAATATTAGAATGAACCGTACAAATGTTTTATGAACTAGGTGATGAACACTGTTTTGTTTTTTTTCCAACCGTAGGAACGTCTTTTGGGGCTAACAAACGGTGCCTCTAAACAATAATAATTATTGTTTTTAAGCATTTGCAGTTAGTTGTGGGGGACAGCTGTTTTTCTCTTTATTAAAATGATACACAACACTCCAATCCTTGAAAAAAGGAGATTTGTGCAGCCAAGTCAATTTAATAATATCAAAACATATAATTGTGTGGACCGATGTAAGCTTGAATCACACGCCAGTTCATGGGTCAATGACAGGATTCCTTATGATGCACACACACGGGGCTACTATCACATATTAGCAGCGACGATACAAACCACGTTAGTGGATGGATGCGGTGGATCTAGAAAGAAGCAGGATGGGACCCGAGCTACACTATTTTCCAAATAACAGTTCCCTTCTTCTTTAGTCACAGTGACCCTGTGATGCATAGTGTGGATCAAATTTGGTGTCAAGTCTGAAAAAGAAAATAAACACATTATCGGTTAGTATCTTCAAATGACATTTTTTTTTTTTTCATATTCCCCTTTGAGCGAGGGCTCCCAGCTGATGGTGGTAACTGTGTCTGTGCGGGACACGGACAGAGGTGAAGGAAAGGGGCTTGCAGCTGTACAAACACATGAGGACACACTACAGTATGCAAAGGAAGGCACAGTATGCAAAGGCCATCCCTTCCCCTCAGGCTTATGTAGTACAAATACGTTGCCAAAGGGCAGCGCTGAATTAAGTACTAAAGCCTTTTCCACTCAGCTGCCATACAGTACAGAAAAAGATACCCTGAGGTTTTCTTTGCACGATGACCAGTTGGATTTATCGCAGGTCAAAGGGTCATCTTCAAATTAGTGGGGTTTACATGGAACTCTTGTGTTGATGTTTTGCTGTTTTTGGAGCTCTTGGGTTGTAAAAACATCTCCAAACCCAGCTGGAAAAACACCAACAAGCTAAAAAAGCAAAGCCGATCGAGGTCACTGCTGAAGATGAATGTTGACAAAGTTAAATACTTTCACCCAACAGCCGAAACCTGAATTTATCCATGGGTGCTTATTGAGGTAACTAGGACGGGGTCCCTTGAAACGTACTGAGGTTGAGGTTTGGTCCGTTGCATAAGGAGGATGTTGACCCCAGTCATCTGTGGACATGTCAGTTCGTTCTCAGAAAGAAGTCAATTGAAGTTAATGTGTAACCTGTAACGTTTGTGGGTGGCAGATTTGAATCACTCCACTTTCCCAATGACATCTGTTTGCAGTCCTTCCCATCCTGGATGAAAAGCAGCTGGATGTACCTACAAATAAAATGGGATCATTGAAATCTATCGCAATGGGATCAAACTAAATAGATTTCACCCTCCGCTCACGCTTCAAGCTAACTAGAGCGGCACACTGCACTTGAGTGCAACATTGAAGTACTTGATTAATTCCTTTTCATCCTATTTAATTCTCCACTTCTGACTGAAAAACACATTTTATAAGCCTGTAGAATACAGTGCATTACTAAAGAAGAAACCGGTGATTGGCCTTTTTATCTTGAGATCCTTTACAAATTAAGCCGTGTGTCTGAATAATTCCACTAAAGAAAGGTCCATAAACTTGATCACATCCAACGAGGTAAGCGACCCATCAGAAAAGAGTCACACATTGGGGTGTTGCAACATTTACTCTCCATTATTCAGCTGATAACCCTTTACATTTATCTTGTGACTGTTCTGAGGGGGGATGACCTTCTGATTAGGAACCACTGGACTAACCTACTAAACCTACTAAACTAGCTCCAACCGCAGCAGCTACAAAGGTAATACGCTAGTTGTGTGCAAATGCATTGATTACATATTGTGATTTATCATTATTTATTACATTTTTCTGCAGAACCAGTTATTGTTTTCTTTCCATTTTAAGTGAAATTGGCTGATAGTAATCTGTGATTTTACTTAAAGAGTATTTTGCACGAGTATTTTGCACTGTTTGTTGGTGTTTTTGCTGTGGTAAAAGGACCTTTTTCATGGCACACACGTTGTAGCAGGACACCGTGTGTGTTCACTCGCATTCACGACGGGTGCATCCTACTTACACAGTATTTTCAGTCCATCCGAAGGGGCGGTCGCTCATGGGATGCACCAGAGCCCAAAGCGTAAAAAGAAGTCTCACCCAGAACCCGGGGCGAGTAATGTCCAACCTGGCTTATTAAACCCCCCCTGTTCTGCATGGAGAACAATCATGGAGCACAGTCTGGCCCGCGGGGCTGCAATCACTGACAGACACAAGAGACCCAGAGTTACTTCAGGCACACCAGGGGCCTGTTTCAATAAGAAGGTTCAACCAACTCTGAGTTAAAACTTGAACTCTGAGTTGACTTACCCTGAGATGGGAAACTCTGAGTTTTCGGTTACAGAACAGCTGAAATGAGTTAGTTCAATCAACTCTGAGTTGACCTACTCTGAGTTAAGCGCGTGCACCACAACTATAAAAAGCCATTATCAATGGAGCGCAGATATTACGAGTCACCATGGCAACAGCGCCAGACAAAAAGAGGTCTTCATATTTTTCACCAGCAGAACTGGATGTGCTTATGCAAGCATATAGAGAGTACGAACATATATTTTAAAAAAAAAGCAACACGGCTGCAGCGGCGAAGGACAGAGAGTTACCTTGGGAGAAAATAGCTGCTCGAGTCAATGCGTAAGTTTACATTTGAATTACTGTTATACAGTGTTGTGTGTAATTAATTTCTATGTAATCTAAAAACTGTAATTTAATTCCGTAATTTAAAGTAAAATCTGATGTAATTGCATTAAATGCTGCATAAACTATAAAGCAATTCTGTATAAAACAATAGTGGATTTAACATCAAATTTTAAAAGATATATTTTTTCAAGAATAATTCATGCAATTGTATAATGTTTATTTGAAAGCATTAAAAGTGCAGTTTCTTGTCTCTCCTTGTATTGTTCAAGTGGTTGAGGTTGATATGGGATTTAGAAAGTAATTAGTAATAAGTAGACCAATACTTTCTAGAGATAGTCATTATTACATTAATCTAATTACACTGTTGAAGAAGCCAGTTGTAGTTAGTAATATAAGTGACTTGCCCAACTGTTATAATATCAGAAGTGAAACTGGAAGAACAGTGTGTTATTCAACCTAATTTTAATTTTCATGTAGGTGCAATCCTGCAGGCATTAAAAGAACATGGCAGCAGCTGAAAATGAAATATAAAAACATAATTCAATCAGGTAAGGCTTGAACATATCATGGTTGTAGTCTACCTGACTTTACAAACATTTGACATATAAATAACTAAATAGCATCCAGTGTCGATTTGATGCGCTCTGCGTGACTGAAATGTGCGCAATGAATGAATACCGAAAGAATGAATGAGGTGATTAAATACCACTTCCTCTTTAAAAAAGGGGAGGAGACGAAATAAACTCTGGGTTTCCCGAAGAAAACCTGCTCCCGACCAGGTTAGGTTCACAGAGTAAGTTGCCATGGTAACTGACTCTGAGTATAAGTTACCTCTCTTTCTGAAAGAGGCTTGACTTACTCTGCTTTCTCAGGTTTAACATACCTCCCATTCTGAAACAGAAAACTCAGAGTTTCCCTCATTTCAGGGTTAACATACTCAGAGTTTTCACTTAACCTCCTTTCTGAAACAGGCCCCAGTTAGAAAAAATCTGTATACATTGGAAGTTGTTGCTCAATAGTCCTAAATGTGCATGTGGTTTTCTACGACTTGTGTCCTTATATAATCAGTTACCTCCAGCAGAAAATCTGCTCACTTGAACAGAAACAGTACAAGTGGAACAAAATCTATCCAAGCAGGAGTTTGGTGTCGACTTGTGCTCTGCAGCGCAGTAACGATGCCGTTGCGAGCCGGCTGCGTTATCAGGAGGTGTCGTCACAGCGAGCCGGCTGAGCACACAATGACAAAGGCCCGGTCTTCTGTGTGGGGGGGGGGGGGGGGGGTTCAAGAAATTGTCTCAGGGACAAAGACTGAAAGCCGGATTATCACAAGTCAGATAATGAGTCTTAAATCTATCAGAGTGCGTCGAGGCGACACCGACGATCCGGCAAAGAGTATATTCCAGGTCTGATATTTCATTGAAAACAGGTGTCAAGGGGGAAGGACAGTCACATGATGAGCTTCAGGGGGGGAGACACACCAAGGACAACTGGTGGACGGGTGGCGAATGACCGGAGAAGTCAGAAACTCGTCGTCGGAAACACACTTTTATCCCGTTTCATTTTACGTTCCCTTTCAGCCTCAAACATGAAATGTTCAGACACTGGACCTCAACATCAAAGATCCACTAGATTATTACTTCTATTGCTTATTTTAAGTAAAGAACAAATAAACAAAAGGAATTTTGTGTTGAAAAATCGCTGTTTACCTGATCAACAGTCATTTTTTTGCAAAAATAAAATGGTATCATTTCTGATTACCTTTTGAAATAAATTGTAATGCGCTTTTCCACTCCAGCAGTTAAAGAACGCCTTTCATCACATGAACTTAATCTATGCTCCTGTATAGCATCTGTAGCTTCACCAAAACCTGATTAAAATGCTTCAAGTTTGGTTGAATGATGCTACAATTTTAATATCAAAATGAATGTATTTTAAAAGACTCCAGATGATCTGTGGTTTCACTTTATTTGGCTTTAAAAGGAACACAAAACGTTTTTTACATCCTCTTAAAAATAAAGTCGCTTGTTCTCCGGTTGCTTGAAAAAATGTTCCACGTGCTGACAGGTAAGTTTTACTTCAGCAGTATTTAACCTCATACCTTTCATTCAGCTTTAATCTTCATCCAAAGCGATTTACAATCGGTGCATTCAACCCTGAGGGTACAAACCCAGAACAACAAGTGATAAAAGCAAAGAATAGGAAAGAAAGGTGCATAGAATTCATCCGTTACCACGTGACGTATTTCCTATTCACTGATCTTCATTTCTATTTATTCTGCCACAGATGAATCTCATTGACACTTTTGTCTTGGACTGATTTTTAATCCCATCGAATTAAAAAAGTGTTGCAATAAGACACTGTTAGTTTACGTATTAGTTAGTCTCAAATATAAAGTACAAAGAGAGGGAGCGACTAGTATGGGCTGAACATTCTCTTAAAAAAGAAACTTTGGAAACATCTTCTATTAGTTTCGCCCCTCATGGACGTTCATCCCTAAACGCAGGATTACCAGGCGGGACTCCGGTCGATCAATCAACTATTTTGCTTTCAATCTCAGGCTAAGTTAACGTATTTATTAGGTCCCTTAACTCCAGAAATGTCACATTGTTTTTTTGACACCGGACACACAGAAGTGTCTCCTTAGAGAGAAGGAATAACAGGCCTCACCCTGTCATACGATCGTTAAAATACAACGTGGTCACAGTAAAAAAAGATCCTCCAGTATCACATCTTGGATCTTCCAAAGTTGCGCCACCGAAGGATTTTCCTGAAACACTCAATCTATTGTGAAAGATATCTTTGTTATTTAAATATTTGATTGGCAGGAAGAAAGAATAAGGTTTCTTTTAAAAAAGAAAAAAATAACCTTTGCTCGTATTGGGTAACGTTGACTCTGTAAACACGGCTCTATGTGGGTCACTGTGCTTTTCAGAGTAAAACACTTGAACATTTATCTCTGAGATGGTAATTAACACGACATTCGGGTCTAAAGTGGCTGAATAACTATTGACAAATATACTATGCAACTATATATTGCTATTTTTACTCCATTATGTTTATTTGGCAGCTCTATTTGGCAGTTACTGATTTTTTTTATGAACAACATTTCACACACAGAACATGGTTAATCTTCAAAATATGATGCAACTATTATGTAAAGTTTTATGGAATATTTCAATAAAAGCTCGGTAGAAGAGAATGATTTGTCTGATAAAACAGAGTCTTGATGAATGATCAAAGTTGCAAAAAGTCCATGTATTGCTTGCAAGCAGGAGGTCAAACACACAGGCACGTATCACGGTGCTCGGTGAAATGACGTCTCCGAGCACTAAAGACGCTGAGTTTTTATACACATGTGGAGGACATTCTCCGTGCCAGTTACGAGAAGCTACAAAGCAGGTTGAGATAAGAACCCAGGTGAAGCTGAGGGTAGCACACACACACACACACACACACACAAGATCCTCCGCAGTGGCCGGTGCAAATCATAATTAATTGACATGAAAGTAAAACGTGGATCCGGAACTTTCGTACCGAATAAGATATGAACCGAGGCCATGAAGAGGAGTCCTTTGTTTTGAAGCTTCAATGAGATCGAGTCAACCGTCCTCCCTTCTCAGGACACAGCTGCAAACTAACATTTTGTATCATGCTGCTCTTTGCACATCAGGACACTTGAGACACGGCTTTAGCACAAAACAATGTTATAATATATTTTTACCATTACAAAAGCAATCAATCATATATAAAGATTATCTCCACATTCCAGAATGCTGCTCACACGTGACGTAATATAATGCATAACAATACAACGCTCTCAGAAACCAGTTGGACAGGTTATATTCAACAGAAATTCTGAATACTACTTTTACTAAAGTAACTGAACCAAGTCTCAGAAAAACACAAAGCCCATTAACACACAATTCAAAAGCAAACAAAAATGGGATGAAGTTAGAAACAATAAAAGGAAAAACTTCAGAATCTGGATTTCTTTCTTCTTTGAATATATAAACGTTCTGTCTTAAATGAGCTCTTTCTCTGCAGCACGTTAGACCATTTTTTCTTTTTTCTTTCTGGATTTCAGTCTTTAACGATGGTTGATGTGGTTTCAAAGGGAAGTCTGTGTCCATTATTACCATTGTGTGGACACTTTGGACATCCAGCCTAATCTCTCTGTGTCATGCACCGGCGCACTAAAGTACACTCGCGCGCACACAATTAGGAAACCTGATTTCCCCCCCCCCTCCCCTCCCCTCCTCTCCCCCTCCCTCCCCACCACTCCAGCTCAGCCCCTGGTTTGCTATAAAAGCCACAGCTGCCTCCCTGACAGCCACCCTTCTGACCCGGAGACCCCAACGAACAACATGCAGACTCTCATCCTCGCGGCGCTGCTCGGATGCCTCGGTAACAACATCTTTCCCCCGCGGGACATTTTCCAGCACGGATTTAGATTAAGAGTCTTTGCTTTGCTAAACTCAACTCTCAATGAACCTGAATTCGTATCTTTTGTACCCATCTGTATTTGCAGCCAGCGTGTTTGCGGCCCCCACCGACAAGGTGAAGTGGTGCGTCACGTCGGACAGAGAACATGAGAAGTGTAGGGCGCTCGTAGTCAAAGCTCCGGCCTTCTCCTGCGTGAAGAGGGAGAACGTCCTCAGCTGCATCATTGCGATCAAGGTGAGCAGAGGAACATCGTCCAGAGCATTAAGCCCTGGGGGGAATGGGCTTATCCCCAAATACTTCTTCACAGCTCTGTCTTCGGCTGACGCTTAAATCATTTACTTATATTAAAGAATGGACACCAAAATGTGAATCACAAATACAAGTTTTAATCAAAATTGTAATGAGTAAGGGTACTGACGTGTTAATGGCATGATATAAAAATAAGTCAGTTGTGTTATAGCCTTTTGTTGTATTTTGAGCTACTTTATGACTTCTTCTACAATGCATCATATTTATGTTTGACATGCCAGATCTCAACATATAATATATTATATCTGTTTAAAAAAGAGTAGTAAAGTAAAAGTGCAACATTTCCCTCTGAAAACCTATTGTGGATAAAAATGGTCATTTGTACACATACCTATGAAGTGAAATGAACACAAATAAATGTTGGTTTCTACCACTTTGAAACTGAGAAAAAATAATTCAAATTCAAACTGAGTGCAAAGTGCATTATGTGTTATTATCAGTTAAACAGTTAAGTAGCCATTGTCCAATATTTAATGAGGTTATACTTGTTCTTGGGTGCATTTATACGTAAGATGCATGCCAATGCATTAGCTGGTTGAGGTGGAGGCAACTGAGTCATTTGGTTATAAAACCTTCAAAGATGCATTTCATTTTAGAAATTGATCCTATGTTTTCATTGTAAAATGTCGTAGATTTAAAGAAATAGCTGTTTACAGCAGCCATCAAGCAAAAAACAAACAATATTTTGTCGCTTAAATGTAGTGGAATAAGTATAAAGTACCAATTCATTTATTTTGTTGTTGTAAAACATCATGTTGCTGGTGGCTGACAGTTTGTGTCCCTCCCCAGGCCGGTGAGGCAGATGCCATCACTCTGGATGGAGGGGACATCTACACAGCTGGACAGATCAATTATAACCTGCACCCCATTATTGCTGAGGACTACGGCACCAGTACGTCCAATAATCAGCTGTCTTTACCGACCAAATGTGCACGAGAGAGAGGATTTCTCATGCAATTTGTATTATATATATCTTTACTTTTTACTCAGCTGCGGACACCTGTTACTACGCTGTTGCCGTGGTGAAGAAGGGCACTGCCTTTGGCATCAGAGATCTTCAGGGGAAGAAATCCTGCCACACTGGCTTGGGGAAATCTGCGGGCTGGAACATCCCCATAGGAACTCTTGTGTCAATGGGTTTGATTCAGTGGGGAGGCATTGAAGACAAACCCCTCGAAGAGGGTAAGTTACACCAAACAAAAGGTTCCCACCTGTGTATGTCGCCATTGATTTGTTACAGTGTGAAATGTGGGCAATGGCTGCGTCGAAGGATCTACAGTGGGAAATAAAAATGTCTGTTTGGTCAGAACTGCAGCTGTCGATGAGGACGCTCTCCTCTTCTCTTTTAGGATTTTTTTCATTTGGGCTCAGGCACCTGTCATTTATGTCATGGGATACGTGTCAGCTAAATGTTACTTTAGTTTAGCATTAGGGCTGGACATGGAACATCTGGCCACAATTGACCCAACACCACCATCAAAGCTCACTAATTTACACGTTGTTTGTTTAATTTGTACAAAAAGTTTAAAAAAGTTCAATCTGCAGGAAGTAACCCAAAACGATGAGCATCCGTAGCCAAGGAGCAGTGTGGCACATTCAGCCCCATATTGTGATTTGTTTTTAAACATGGCTTTAGCCGCATATTGCATCATAGAATCGGTATCTATGGATTCTGGTCAAGCTGTCTTTAATGGTGCAGGTGGTGAACCCGCTTTACAAGGACGGGGACCAACCTTGAGCTGCTGTTTCTAACATCTTGGTCACATCCCTGCAATTTTTGTTTTTGTTGCAGCGGTGAGCACTTACTTCTCCTCCAGCTGTGTCCCCGGGGCGACCAGGAAAAGTCTGTGCCAGCTGTGCAGCGGCGACTGCTCCAAGACCCACAACGAGCGCTACTACGACTACGCCGGAGCCTTCCAGTCAGTATTAGTCCTTCTCAGTTCCGGCGTGGTTTTTACCGTCCCCCATCAATGCACATGTACCAACCTGTGAATTACAACCAGTGGAAATACACGATGCCGTTGGCAACCAACGAAGCGCTGGTGTTGATGTACCTGTCGACTGGTCTTCTTAATAGGTGCCTGAAGGATGGTGCTGGAGACGTGGCCTTTGTGAAGCACCTCACTGTCCCAGGTCAGTGTCACACTGCCTCAAATCTGCAGTGTTAGACCATTATTTAGGATTGTCCGAGCTCTTGTCTTATTGTTGTGGCAAACTTTCAGAGTCGGAGAAGGACAACTATGAGCTGCTGTGTAAAGATAACACCAGGGCGCCGATAGACAGCTACAAGAGCTGCTACCTGGGCAGAGCTCCGGCTCACGCTGTTGTCAGCCGCAATGACCCACAGCTGGCTGAATTGATCTGGAATAGCCTCGATTCAGTGCAGGTACGACGCTAAATATCTGTTACTAAGGAACAAAATGTTTATTTTTTATTTCGGTGATTAAATGAAACTATTATTTCTCGCACGGACAAGTTATTCATAACTCTTTGAATCCTAGAAACACCCCGAGAACTTCAACCTCTTCTCCTCCGAAGCCTTTGCACCTGCCAAAAACCTGATGTTCAAAGACTCAACAGAAAAGCTGGTGAAGCTTCCCGCAAACATGGATACCTTCTTGTATTTGGGTGCCGGCTACATGAGTAGCATCCGTTCCCTTACGAAAGGTGCTTTTTGACAGAAGCAGATAAAAACACGCATCTTAACCTCTGCGCTTAGACTCATCCATTGGGCCGCAGGCCGCAGTTTCACCGTTGCACTTCCCTCTCCAGAGACGACAGCCGCCGCGTCCTCCGCCATTAAATGGTGTGCCGTGGGCCACGCCGAGACGAGCAAGTGTGACTCGTGGAGCATCAACATTCTCAACGTTGCCACCATCATATGCCAGAACGCCCCTACGGTTGAAGAGTGCCTGACCAAGATCATGGTAAAAAAAAAAGAAAAAAAAAGTGTTTTTTCGCTGTGTTTCTCTTTGTGTAATATCTCTGCGGCGTTTGTCTCCTGATGACGCTTCTGTGCACTCGGTAGCGTAAAGAGGCTGACGCGATGGCAGTCGATGGAGGACAGGTGTACACCGCCGGCAAGTGTGGTCTGGTTCCTGCCATGGTGGAGCAGTACAGCGAAGGTGGGCGCCTTAGAGAGACGCCATGCGACTTAGTCACCCTCCTCCTCCGACTTCTATTCTTCAATGTTTTAATCCTTTTCTCTCTCCACAGAGAAGTGCGCCACCGCAGGAGGTAAGACAGACTAAATCCAAAGATATATCATACATTAAAACAAAACAAATACATTTACTGAGATTTGGCTATGAAACATTATAAGACTATAATACATTTGATATATGCGCGTGTGTGTGTGTGTGTGTGTGTGTGTGTGTGTGTGTGTGTGTGTAGGAGGTTTTCTGGCAAATAGCTTTGTGATTGACATCCTTTGGTACTCTTGCAGCCCAAGCCTCCTCTTACTATGCTGTTGCCGTGGTGAAGAAGGGCTCCGGGCTGACCTGGGACAAGCTGATGGGCACGAGGTCCTGCCACACCGGCGTCGGCAGAACTGCTGGCTGGAACATTCCCATGGGTCAAATACACAAACAGACGGGTGACTGCGACTTCAGTAAGTGTGGAAAATAGCAAATAATTTAAGTTTTTCATCTATAAACACGAGGAAAGGTATTAATGAGTGTACATTATGTAAAGCTTTTCATCGGTTGCAGTATGCTAGGGCCTAAAGTAATACCCCCCAAAAATGGTATTCTTTAGCGTAGCATTATATTTTAAGGAGACATGGTTTCCTTTTCCCCTCCTCTCCTCAGCCAAGTTCTTCAGCAGTGGCTGTGCCCCCGGAGCAGAGCCCAGCTCTCCCTTCTGCACTCAGTGTATCGGCAGCGGGGAAGCTGTGGGAGATGAATCCAAGTGCAAAGCCAGTTCTGAGGAGCGCTACTACGGCTACGCTGGAGCTTTGAAGTAAGACGCAACACTGCAATTGTGATTTTACGTGTGCGTATGTCCAAGGAATGGTTTGACATTTTGGGAAAAAGGCGCGTTCGCTTCCTCTTTGAGGATCAGAAGAGATTGACACTTCTCTCGTGTCGGGGGAGCTGAGCTAAGGAGCTTTAACCAACTGTCTTAGCGTAGCACTAAAACAACTACCAAGACTCTCTGCAAAGTTCTACCAGCGTTTTTTAATAATGACTAACTATCGATTTCTGATTAGTTTGACGAACATGTAGAAATGTCGTTTTGTGGACCAAAACCCCTTGAATCATCAAAAATATATATTTTTTACAGCTATATTTTTCTTTAACAAGACATATTATTCAATTATTTCGGGCATTTTTCTGACTTTTGAAGAACGCCTGTTTAGTTCTGTCTTTCTTTATGCTAAGCTAAGCTAAGCTAACTGCGTTACAATTCCAGCTCTGTACTCAGACATGATGGTGGTATCAATACTCTCATCCGACAAAAAAAATGAATATATTTCCATTAAGATGGCAAACTATTCCTTCAATTACTCTTATAGTTCACCCTGGAAACTCCATCTTCACGTTGCCTAAGTTACGGTTTTCATATCATTGTAGATGTCTGGCTGATGATGCCGGCGATGTTGCTTTCATCAAACACACAACCATTCTAGAATTTGGTAAGAGAACGACACTGACCCGTCCACATCCAAGCTGCAGATTTGCCGTTTGGCAGAAAACCATAAAGTTCCTGCTACTCTTCTCGTTAAAGAGCACAAAAATGAATACGAGCTGATCTGCCCTGGGAAGGGTCCGATGGCGGTGGAGGATTATGCTTCTTGTCACCTGGCCATCGTGCCAGCCCACGCCGTGGTCACTCGTCCGGAGATCCGCAACGATGTTGTTCGCATTCTCCTGGCAGAGCAGGTCGGTGTTGTGATGATTTTCTTTTAGGTCATCAGGCTTAAAAACACAGCAAAAGGGAGGGGGGTTGCACACTTTGTTTTGAGGTGTTTTCCTCCCTTTCAACTACGTATTTTATCCCAAATCCCTGTTTTTCTGCCTTTGATACTGATGTTTAAATGACTCGACAAAGGAAATAATTCCAATCTTCCCTTCATGTCTCTTCACAGACCAGATTAGGTTCCAGCAACACCGATGGCCCCTTTAACATGTTCAAATCAGATTCAGGAAAGAACCTCCTCTTCAAGGACGCCACCAAGTGTCTCCAGGAAGTCGAAGTTGGAACAAGCTATGAGACGTTTTTGGGAGCAGAGTACATGGATGCCATGAATTCACTCAGACAGTGCACTGCCAACACGCCGGGTTTGTACCACTGCTGGTTGAATCAAGTAGCATTGAAACAGCGTGAATGTTAACTTCCCAATTGTATGTCTGTATCCACCACACATCACAATACCTGTTATGTCTTTTTCTGTTCCCAACAGATCTGGAGAAATCTTGCACTTTCCATTCCTGCCAGGAAAATAACTAGTGCCGACCCCCGGAGCACGTGGCGCCTCACTCAGCCCTCAGTGATTCGGGCACTTCAAACACACTGGCAACACTCTACACAAAAATTGTCATATGTATTTTCTTTTTGATCTTGTTGTAGTTGTATTTTTAGCAAAACAATAGTGAAACTGATACATTGCACTACCATTACTTACAAATCAACTATCCTGTAATCAATCATGTCCACATGAAGCTATTTCCATGCTATTGCTATACATGCGATACGTGACATTTCATTATCTGTGCTATGGGATCAATGTTTTGTGAGCACCTGCCTGAATTTGGTCAAATAAAGCTTTTTAATACTCTATTGTGGTGACAGTATGGTTTGTTATTGTAATGGTGTAATGGAATTCATCCCATATCACTTGAAAGTGCGCTGTTGTATTGCAATGGACAGAGTATATATATTGGACAATCTTAAAAAACAGTCAAGAACCAATGTCATGTTAAAACTCTCCTGGTGCGTAAAAAGATTGAGGCAGAAGTACATTGTCTTGATAAACAATATAACTGGTAGTGTAGGAGATGTAAAACAAATTCAGCAAATAACCTCTAAAATAAAAAAACGTAGCCATTGCACCTGTAAGGGGAAGACGTTCTTCCATCCCAGCAGCCGTCTCCTTCCGTCTGCGTCTCCAGCTGTATTTCCTCAGACTTCAGAAAAGAATAAATGGACAAATATCTTTTTGGATGAAGACGTGACATTTGTAATAATAATAATAGAGCTCTACCCAATCACAAATGGGTAGATATTGGGTCATTAACAGAAATGCTCAGAAATCACTGGGAGGGTTTTCACAGTGGGGCTTCTGTCAAAGCTTACGCAATAGACAAACACACTTGTTTACTGATGATGGCCAAACAAGCCTGATATGAGGCCCCTGACCCAAAATGAACGTTGGACCATCATTGCCCTCCTATCTGTGGTCATTAAATCCAAATTTAACCTCGATAACATGTTTTTGATCCAGCTTCTCAGAGAATATGCAACTGTGGGCTTTGAGAAATTCAATCTTAGCAATTTTCTTATACTAGAAAAATAACTTAAGGAACTTAATAAGGAAAAGATTAGTCGATAATAAAATTAATTGTAATGCCATTATTATATTATATATAAGTCCTTCAGATAAACGTATAGAAGACACATCTGTACTGTATGAAACATTTTATTGCTACATTACACTATAATTAATGTTGAAAGGGACATTATTCTTCATATTGGATCAGCCGTGAAATGCCTCGTTCCAGTATATTAATGTTACAATATGAGTATGTTTGTTTCAGCTAATATTGTACTATAAAAATCCGATTACGAGGCAGGGGCTTGATTAAGCGAGGCCAGAACCTGCATCACGTGACCAAGGAAACGGCATCAAAATGTAATTCTCCCGGAAGTTGCCCATGCGACTTGGAGGCGAACCGGCTCCACACACCAGAAACATCGCATTATGGCCTCGCGCTGAGCCTACTGTTGCGACAGTTGTGTAAATACCTCACCGGCAATCCGTCACCATCGACGCCTTGATCATGGACCTCCGGTCCAGAGGCTTTTTTCGGGGCCATCGGAGTTGTCATTAGTACTCCCGAAGTACTATATTATTTGATTTTTAGCACTGTCACTTTTGCACGCCCGGGGATTTAAACCGAAGTGACAGCAGTAGCACTTACCCCATCTGCCGGTAAGCTAGCTAGCTCGCTAAGTCAATAGCCAAGAAGGGCATCACTTTTCTTCTGGAGTAAAGGACAAGGAAACTACAACACCACTACTTTCAGTAACAGAAGACTGATCAGAGGCCGATTTCCCAACATACTCAGTATTGATTCCTGGTAAGAATAAAACCAGCTGACGGTGGAAGTAATAGCCTAAAGTTTACCCAAGCTCTGCTTCATTATGGTCAAAGGCATACAGGCTAGCTAGCTAACGTTAGCTGGTTGAACAGGCCCCATCGGCTGTCAGTCACTAACGCTAGCTTGCTAACCTTGGGCGAAATGTAACAATATATTAAACCAAAAACATTGCAATGTTTGGACGTTAGTGAAAAGGTAGGTTCTTAAAAGTGCCGTATTTGTAGATGCGTGGTTAACGTAAGCTGAAATGACAGCCGGGGTCCGTCGCTCTCGTGGCTAATCTCCCGTTGGTTACCACCGACGGCTCGGTGTGTCAAAGCTAGGTAGCCTCTCCGCTTAATGTGCTGTCTTTTACAGACTGTCTGGACGTGGCTTGTCGATTTGAATGGTTTGACAGAAAACCTGATGTCATTTGTTTTGTGGTCTTGATATTTGCAAGTTTGATGTCAGGGTCGATGGTCTCGTCTTCTCGAGGATCTTGCTGGGCCTGTAATTAAACACACATCGGATGACAGGACGGGGCTGGGCGCTGCTAACGTTATCCGACATTAGCTTAACTGTAACCTTATCTGTTTCCACGTATTGCTAGCACCGGCTTATTTGCTTTTCTCGGGTTGTGATTAGTAAACATGTTATCCGTCGGCACAGTTAAACCATCAGACACAGCTCGATGTAACGTTACTTGTGAAGTTAAACGTGGACTCCGCGTTCAGCCACGTAGCGCAACCAAGTGAACTGTGATAGTGGGACACGCAACGTCAGTGTTAGCCGGCTGCTGGCTAACGGATTTAACCTGCTTCGGCCGGCAGTACCGCCTTGTTAGCGGGCCGGTAAAATGTCCTTTCGTCCTTTTATATCAACCGAGAACACGTGGGGACATTTTGCTAGACTAGCTGTCACGTTCACTGACTCCTCGTAAGACCGTGAGCCGCCTCTGCTGACGGAACCATATGGTAGTTTTTTACATTGATGCCCCGTCTAAAAAGAAGCATGGCGTAAGCTAGCGGCTAACGACAGTTCATGTGTCAGCAGGTGGATGACACGTCTGCTAGTGTTTTTTTTCATCGGGCTTTCTTAACGTTACTGCTAGTATGTCTTATTCCAGTGAATACATAAAACTGCATTTTTTATAAATTAGAAAACCGCATCTGTTTCCAAACGGATATCTATTTACCGTCATTTGAGTGGACTATGTTCACATGTAGCTAGCACAACCAGGGGGCATGGAAGCCACTGTTAACACAGTAAATGAACTTTGACCTGAGGTATCCATTTTCTTAAATTCACTCAATAGCCGGACCAGTCGAAATGATTTGGCGACAGGCACAGTTTTCCAGTCATGATCTTTAAATTAATGCTTTTTTTTTTCTTTCTTTCTGTGCAGTCAAAGTCCCCATTTTCCCGATTTAAAAATAGCTGTCATGAGGCCTTTTCTGCTCTAACCACAGTTCGGTTTGGGTGGATCTATGACACAGGAGTCCATTGCTATCTGATTGAGCGAGGAATATGCTGATCATGATTACAATAAAGGCTCATAAGACTGCACGTGAGCCATGCAAGTGACCAGCATTTTGGGAGGTGGTGGTGTTATCATAGGCAGAACCACAGACCGCACCCTCCCTGCGTGTAAAATGATGCCACACTTAAGCCCCACGTCTTAGTTTTGAGGAATATCTATAACTTGAAGATAATAACTGGGACAATTGTCCGCTCGACATCTTACTTTAATCCTTGATGAATGCCTAATTTTTTCTGTACTTGTTCCTCCCATCCTCAGACAGGCTGGCAACACAAAGCCACCCTAATGCAGAACCATAAAAGAACGTGAAATGAACAAACCACCACAGCCTATAACGGGACCTACGTCTGTCCCAAACCCTTCCCCATCCCCTGGATTGACACAGGTGAGCGTAGCTGACCTTGTGGAATTTAAGTTTTCAGTAGTTTTAAGGTTTGGTGACATGTTGTTTATCCCCCATTGTCTCCTTCTCAAGGCCGCCTATGGTCCTGGACAGCCCCCCTCTCTTGTTTTTGCCACCCCTCCACCTCCACAAATGAACTCTGCACCGCAGCCAAGACAGGTAAAGGTCACACCATGTGTTGTCCCCGCCCCCCCCTCTGTGGTATATCTTTTGCTTGTACTGGTGAACCATCCCTTTCCTACTCCTTCACAAAGACTTCTAACACGGCTTCTTCTCCTCGAGGCTTTGCCGTAATTTCTGTCTGTATGTTTTGGCACATTTGCTTTGTTTCTCTTTGAATGTCAATCTTGACATCTTCCCTCTCTTCTACTGTCCTCCCAGTTTGCTGCAGGCCCTCGTACTTTACACCAACAGGTACTAACACCCCTCACATCCCCACCGTCTCCTTAGTGCTTCCGTTCCACGATATGAAAAAGAAGGCTTTAGCGTTTATTAGATTTCTTTTCCTGAGCTCTAGTGACATGTAGTTCTATGCTTTGTATTTTTCGGCCAGAACTTGTGACAACCCCCCCCCCCCCTCCCCCTTTTTTTTCCAGTTGATGGCACAGAGTTTACCCAGGCCTTATTCTTTGTTTTCCCCTGTACATAACTGGTTATTATTAAACTAAATTAATTTAAGTACCTTCCCCTGCAGCATGCTAACATAGTTAAAGTCCTCACTAGTGATTGCGGCCCTTTGAAGTAATTCTTAAACCACTCAAAACCTTCTGTCCTTGTGAGAGCTCTAACCTTAAGACCAGTATGGATTTGCATGTGGATGTTTGAGCTTCATGGCTGAGATATTTTTGCAGCTGCCTCGTACTTTTCCTTCTTAAACCTTGCGACCGTCAGCTTCCACATTGTCTCTTGCTTTCATTTTCACGTTAATCTCACTCCCTCTCTTGCTCTCTGCTCATGTGTTGCGCGGCTGAAGGGTGGATACAGAGCATTACAGGTAACGGCTCTTCTCTTTGTTGTCACCCCCCCCCCACCAATCTCCCCCGCCCCCCTTAACTTGGCCCGACCTCAGTGTTGCAGGGACACATGACAGTTGGTACAATTTAGATTTCGGTGTAACCGAAGAACTGAACACGCTGCTTCCAGCTCAGGTTAAAGCGTGTGTCTTGACGGGAGGCGCACACACACACACACAAGTAAAACACATAAGGTAGACAATGAATGCACACACAGAGCGACCGGTCGTCTTGTGATAAAATATTCATCCTTCTTCCTCCCTCATCTGTTCTCTAGAGCTACTATCAGAACCGACCAGCCATGGCCACTAGTGCTCCAAGGGTACAGACAAGTAGTGGCCCACGAGCTGTCGGCCCGACGCACGTCTACCCGCCCAGCTCCCAGATGATGATGATATCCCAGCAGCAGCTGTCTTTTCCTGGCTCCCCTCAGGGTTACTTTATCTCCCCTGGACAGGTTGGTTCACATCAGTAACCATCCATTGTTAACAACACACGTACTACTGTTATTTTGCCCAAAACGGCCGACATGATACTGATTGTTTGCTCATCATATTGACGTAGTGACCAAAATATAACAGGAATTTTGTTGTTGTTGTTGTATTAACAAGTCTGAGATCTTTTTGTTTTTGTCTCCACAGTACCGGACCCCATATATGCCTCCTACTCAGCAGTATCCTGTGACCAGCGGTACAGCGGGCTTCTATCCGGGAACCAGCCCTGCTGAATACCCCGCGTATGGTAAGAGTTTTTGACCAGCGGCAGCCAAGAGTAACACAGACAAAGACGCTGGTCAGTTAAAAGGGGAGAATTTGACAGAGATGCCGGGTTGAAGCATGTCTGTTAAGCCCTTGTCCATTTTTACGCCCCATAAGGCATCGCCGGGTGTGTTGTGGATTTGCTTTGCTGGTTGGTGTTTGGTGTTTAATGTCTCTCTGGGTCAAAACGCTGCTGTGCGTGGTGAACTGCGAGTTGCATGTGGTCTGGCTTGATTCTGCTTCGGTCTGTGTTCTTTCTATCTGCAGTCTCACCGGACGCTGCCTCACGGGTTCCATGACATGAATTTGCGATGAGAGTTTTGTTCTGGATGCTGGATGCATGTCCATACCAACTTTAGGGTGGGATTTGATATTTGGAGGGATCAAATTAGAAATTTTATTGAGCAGTATCCGGGACAAAGACTCCATAAACTGGAAGGCCAGTGCACGCCTGCGAACATACTTCTGACTTGTGTTTCTGCTGCAAGTGATCAAACAAAAGTTCTTTAAGATTCTTCTGCCATGCGAGGCATCGAGTGGGTGAAAATTAAAAATAAACAAATCACTTAAAGGCCTGCAGAAGACACAAGAACACGATGCAGCCAGGAACACACGTCGAACACGCTGTTCATTTCATGGGACCTTTTTAACACCCTGCTTCCTCTGGATCCTCTCATTAACTCATTCTGCATCTGTCTCTTCCTGCCCTCTGTCCTTCTTTCCTCCCTCTCCCGTCCCTCACTCCCTCCCTCTCGTTTGCTGCGTTGGTTCAGAGCCCTCTCTTGCTGCGAGGGAGAGGCGGGGTGGTGGGGGGAGAGGGGGCGGGCGAGAGAACGGCCGTCTCTCTCTCCACGGTGCTCCTCTCACCTCCCAGCGCTACCCTGGTGAGTAGTGTGTGTGTGTGTGTGTGTGTGCGCTTGTGTGTTGGTCAGCCGGCTGTAGTGGCAGAAATCACTGTGGCACTTCCTGTCTCTGATAGCACTGTGAATATGCTTTTCTCTTTTTTTGGTACATCTTTACTTTAAATGAGATACAAAGTGAAAGTTGCTTGCATTTACATTACAGTATCCCACCCTGGCTTTTAGGGGTGGGGGAAAAAATAGATTTTTCAATTTCTCTCTAGAACGATTCGGTCTTGATTCAGAAAAGTTAATAATCGGAATTAAAAAAAAATTAAAAAGTCTGTCTCGCGCGGGATTTGTGCTCGCTCGCGGAGCGTGAGCTTCCTTCCTTCCTCGCTCGCTCGCGTTCGAAGGTGTTTTCTACGCGCTCCCTGTTTTTCTTTTTGACAGTGAGGGGGCGGAGCCAGTCACCATGGTCTCTACACCTGATGGTTACAAACCGCGTCTGTGGATTGGCTGGAGTGATGCGTTCACACAACTATAGAAGCCCATTTCTGCACTAAAGAAAGGGGATGGAAAGTCGAAATTTTGAGATAAAACGTTGTCAAAAAACAAACGCCCCCCTTCGATAACCGTAGTGGACCGTAGATGACAACCAGCTACAACCATCATTTACCATCATTACCGGCACATTAAGAGCAATGCTTCCAGCTCGCAGACCGGTCCGTCAGTCTGAATCTGAATATCTTGCCAACTTTACCGAACTATGGAGGAGCCTGTGCACATCTTACCTCATTATTTCCATTTTCCAAAAAGTCGATCCGTATTGAAAGTTGGCAAGATATTCACAGATTTGGACTTTTTTCCGGTATTTTACAAATACGGACCGGTCTGAGACTAAGAGCAGTTTTTTCTTCATTTAAAAGAAAAATGAATCTGTTTAATATTTTTTTTACATAGCCTACTTCCATATTGTGTTGACATGCAAGCTTCGTTGGTTCTTTCATTGTTGATAGAAAATCATATTTGTGACAAAGATTTTTTTTTTCTCTTATAAAAAATTAGAGAAGGTAATTCATCTGTTGATTTTCTTTAATTATCAAATAAAGTAGGAAGTGATCTAGTAGGACCTCTGAGTAGCAAACTCAGATTTGAGAAAATTGAGATGCATCGATAATTGTTTTATCGGTTTAGAATCGAATCGTTGACCTCGGAATCGAATCGTGAGGTGCCAAGACATTCCCACCCCTACTGACTTTACAGACGTGAATGAAGGGCTGATAGTGAGCTGAAAAGTCTGTCGACAGTGTGCCGCTGCCGGCCCGCAGAGTCGCAAGATGAGCCGGAATGTCCACCTAAGCAATTTCATATTTTTCTGGTTTTATTTTAACGGATTACTGTGAAATAATTCATGTATTGCACGTATGTGTGCTATTTCATTCTATACACAGCACTTAAACGGTCTGGATGGGAAGGTTATTACTTGTTTGTGTCATCAGCGGTTCCATAGTGTGTTTGAGAGCGAATAACTGGAACGTACACACTGACTTCCGTCGCCTTTTTTTTTGTCATTTGTTCAGTGTAGGTTGGTGGCACAACACATAAATCAGCTCCCAGATAAACCTCTATGAATAGTATACATTACAATCTTTATCCACAAACCACTTTAAAGTGCGTAGATGAGTCGAGGCAAAATGGAACGTGGTTTTGTTTTGCTGTAGGACTCAATGCGGTTACCAAGATGTGTTTTCTTTTGTTTTATTTGTGTGTTGAGGTAAACAAAGTGGCACAAACCCACAAATGGTTTCAGGAAAAACACGGTGAATCCTTTTGGTCACAGCTACAGGATACAGCTGCTGCGACTCCCGGATGGACTGTTGTCTTGGTGCGAAGCTGCGGCTTAAGTATTTTCTTTTCATGAATGTTTCCTTTTTTATTTTCCCGTTTCAGCAGGAGCATACTATCCGGCTCAGCCGCCGTACTCCGCATCTGTCCAGCCGGCGCCAGTCATGATCAACCCCGCGCAGCAACAGCAACAGCAACAAGCGCTGCCTCCCCAGCAGCCGCCGGCGCAGCCGCCAGGGCCACCAAAGAGGGAACGCAAACCGGTAGTGTGTTGCAACAAAAGGGCAGCGCGCCTCTTGTCTGAGGTCAAAAAAAATATTTGAATGGACAGAAAAAGTATTGTTTTCAGTGTGGAACTTTCCCTTTTACCTGCAAATAACAATAGAATTTATCATGATGGGCGGCAGCTATAGATCCGAAATGACCGCATCCTCGCATACTGCCTGTACTCTGATGTCGGATGCATGTTTGGCGGAAACCTAACCGATATTTACCTCGTCGTCGTATAGATAAGGATACGAGACCCCAACCAGGGTGGCCGTGATATCACAGAGGAGATCATGTCCGGTGGAAGGTCCACCACCACACCGACTCCCCCACAGGTAGGAAGCCTTGCGCACAGGGAACATGCTTGTGGCCAAAGTTAAAGGCAGAGTTGACGGTCCGTCTTGAAAACAAATTACTGTTTGTGTTATTCTGACATGGAGGGGTGTTAATACTAATGGTCTACATTGGCAGTTTGCTTCAATGAATGGCCAGTATATTTTCCAAAAGTGGAACCAAATTATTCCCAGTTTTATTCCCATCGTATTGTTTGAATTCACATAAGAGATTTTTTTTTTTTTTTTTTTTTTTAAAGCTTTCAGTAAAAATGTTGAAGCTCCTAAATAAATCTAGCAAAGAACAAACTGTTTTTGCAAACATGCACTGGTTATTTGCACTGTGGTTACATTTTCAGATTATTTTCAATCCTCTTAAGTAGTCTATTGACTTGCATGCTGGGTTGTTTAAAAACTTTGGAAACACTCTGAAGCAAAATGCAGCTCAAGTAGAAATGACCATAGTAGCTCATTGAGACGGCTCTTGGATGAAGTGAATTATTTAATGGATACATTAAACCTGTGGAATTAATTAAATGTGCATCTTTGTATCAGACCTAAAAGAACCACCCAATACTGTTTTTTTTTTTTTTTTTTTTTTTTTTTTTTTTTTTTTTTTGGGACTAGACCTGCGCATCAGATGCAAGTCCTCCACAGACTAATGGCGAAGTTACGCAGGCGGCCACTACAGTGACGAGAAAAGGTGAGTTGAGTGTCTGTTTTGGTTTACGTCGTAAATGAGAGATTCCTGTACTATAAATTTCCCTTATTGTGAATATTTCCATCGTTTTCATTCACCAGATGAAAACACCGAGCCCCCTGCTAGCGCTGAAACCCCTCCACCTCCTGCAACAGCAAATCCAGAGCCTGAGGAGGACGACGAGGAGGACGACGACGAGGAGGAGGACGACGACAAACAGGAAACAGACAGCCAGATGACAACGCCGCCGCCACCGGCTGAGTTAGCCCCACAATTTGAAGCCCCAACAGTCGCCGCTGCTGATGAGGTGCCATCCCCTTTGACTACGGACCTGGAGTCTCCCTCTTCCCTCCCAGCAGCAGCAGAATCATCACCATCTTCTACTCCTCCTGCTGAGGCAGAAAATACAGTTGATACTAAAGTTGGTGACACGGTTGACGCTCCTGTCGGCCCTTCAGCATCATTAGCAGCACAGGAGGCGGCTGTCAAAATGGAAGAACCACAGGCTTCCCCGGCTCCAGCTGAGAAAGCACCAGAAAAGGAGGAAAAGCAGACGGAGAAAGTGAAGAAATTGGAAAAAGAGGAGCATGTAGCCAGCACTAAATTGGAGCCCACGGTTGAGGCTGCTACGATACTTCCCCCCCATAACGAGACAAAAGCAGTGAAGGCTACAAAGACAGAAACTGAAGCCTCTCCGCCCCCTGAGCAGGAACCTGCTGCTCCACAGACCCACAAAGTCGCCCCGAGCTCTGAACCTGAAGCCACGCCGGCTGAAGTGGCGGAGCCGCTTCTTCCCAACGGCCTTCCTCCGGACACAGAGGAACTGTCTGAGGAAGTGGTGTTTTTAGACTCTACGCCCCCGGACAAGCCCGACGCTTCTCCATCTCAGGAACCAACACCTGTGGCCAAAACGTCAACGCCCACCCAGGAAGTGGAAGAAAAAGAGGCAGAAAAGGAGGCAGAACGGGAGGAGGAAAAAGAGGATGAGAAAGATGAGGATGCCCCTCCTGCCTCTGTTAGCTGCCCATCAGAGGAATCTACTATGCAAGGTTGGTGGAACTTATTCTGTCTGCGTTTGTGATTGTCTTATGAATTGTGCTTGATTCTGATTTTGATTTTGTTTTAAGCTGCAACTTCTGTACCAAAGAAGCGGAAGAACATGAAGGAGTTGAACAAGAAGGAGGCCATCGGAGACCTTCTGGATGCCTTCACAGAGGTGTGTAACAGTCCGATAGAGCATGATTGAAATCAACGTAGTGTCTGGGAACTTTCAGCTGTATCAATATCATTTTTTGGTATCAAAACAAACACTACACTCTCTGCCGGGTAACTGGGTCATCATAATACTTCATCCCTGTTTCGGTTTGTTTTGTTTGTTGGCCGCAGGAGCAAGAAGCCAAGCCGGCCCCCGAGCCCTCGTCCACTGAGGCCGACCGCATCCCCGACGCTCCACCTGAGCCCCCCGCCGAGGTTCCCGACGAGACCTGGGAGGAGAAAGAGGACAAGCAGAACCCAGTACCTAAAGCCACACCTGAGCCCACTGACCTGAAATACCAGTACAAAGAAGGTATGTTGTGATTAGCGAAGGCCACCGTTGACGTGAATGCCGCTTCCTTCTTTCTCTCGAAAGGCAGCGCCTGCTGTTTTACTGTCGTTATTTAAAAACCCGTCTCCTGCATCTCTCAGAGCAATGGAAGCCGATCGACCCCGAAGACAAGAAGCGGTACGACCGGGAGTTCCTGCTGGGCTTCCAGTTCATCAGTGCCAGTATGAACAAACCCGATGGTCTGCCGAGCATCAGTGACGTGGTCCTGGAGAAGGTAGGACGAGCATGCGTGAGGTCATGAGCGCCATAATGGCCTTGATCTGGTACAATAATGAGCAAGAGGTGGATATTGAAATAGAAGCCGCATACCGGTTTTTTCTTTGTATTTCACTGAACTTCTGAACCGTGGTCATTATGAAAGTGGACGAGGAAACCCGACGACCATCTTGTCTCGTCAGTGTAATTTTGATGTTTGTATGGACAATTCTTTCTTCAACCTCAGGCAAACAAGACTCCAATGCGGCCTCCTGACCCAGCTCGCATGATGAATGTTGGTCCTGATTTTACCCCTTCGTATTTGGGGAACCTCGGCAGCAGATCGGTGGGAGGACCCCGAGGCCCGGTAAGGGACGCCTCGCAAAATCGCTCACCCATCGTGGCTCTCTTCCTGTTTTGTTGCATTTCAATCTGCAATCACATCCTTTTTTATTTCAATGTAATGGACTTAACACAAAATAGTTGAAATTGGTGAAGTGAAAAAGAAGTTGACGTCTGTACAGAATTGACTTTGCTATGAAGTATGTAAATAAGATCTCATACTGCTGATTGCCCTCAGATGTCAAATATATACATTTTTTTTAAAAATTCAAATAACTGGTTGTAATCCAATAAAATATGCGAGTCTGAAGTAAATCTCGGTTTGGATTTTCTGTCTAAGATTTATTTTCTAACCTTTTCCATGCTTTCTTTTAGCCACCTGGCCCACGTCGCTCACAGCAGGGTCAGAGGAAAGAGCCAAGGAAAATCATCCTCAGCAGCATGTCCCTCGGCGACGACGTGCAGCTCAACAAGGCCGAGAAGGCCTGGAAGCCCACGGCGAAGAAGTCCACACGAAGCCGCAACGCAGAGGAAGCCGAGGCCGAAGACGACGATCCCGAACAGGCCAAGACGAAGGAGCTGTTCAAGCGTCTGCGCAGCATCCTCAACAAGCTGACCCCTCAGAAGTTTCAGGAGCTGATGAAACAAGTGACGGACCTGACGATCGACACCGAGGAGAGGCTGAAGGGAACCATTGACCTCATCTTTGAGAAGGCCATCTCAGAGCCCAACTTCTCTGTGGCCTACGCCAACATGTGCCGCTGCCTTTTGGGGGTAAGTCATGTTCTTTTGTGCTCTGGCACACTTTCACTTCTTAAATGTATTTTTTAATCATAAGTATATGTTTAGGTTTTCAAGCCACATCATCATCCGCAAGATGAAAATGGGGATTCTGTCAAATTTGTGCTCCATGTTTTCCTCTTGCAGTTGAAAGTCCCGACCTCAGACAAGCCGGGAGTTTTTGTGAACTTCCGCAAACTGCTGCTCAATCGCTGCCAGAAAGAGTTCGAGAAGGACCAGGATGATGATGAAATCTTTGAGAGAAAGCAGAAGGAATTGGAGGCTGCCAAAGAAGTAAGAAATAAGATCTATTCCCGTCTCTGACCGCCACAGTGTTTGTGGGTTTTCTTTTAACCAAATTGGTCATAGTGCCGCCACTAAGCAAGAAGTCTGCCCTTAGGGAGAGGAGCGCGAGCGCTTGAGGGTGGAGCTACAGGACTCCAGAGACCAGGCTCGCCGCCGTTCACTGGGTAACATTAAGTTCATTGGGGAGCTCTTTAAGCTGAAGATGCTGACGGAGGCCATCATGCACGACTGTGTAGTGAAGCTACTGAAGAATCACGATGAAGAGTCTCTGGAGTGTCTCTGCAGGCTCCTCTCCACCATTGGCAAAGACCTGGACTTTGAGAAGGCCAAGGTAAGTAAAACGTGAACACGCATCCAACTCATTCAGACATTTTCTTGATGAATTTTTCCTTTTTTTTTTTTAAATACATGATTCATAAAAGCTGCTTTTATGTGTCTCTCCCTCTTTAGCCTCGTATGGATCAGTATTTCACCCAGATGGACAAGATAATCAAAGAGAAAAAGACCTCATCCAGAATCCGCTTCATGCTACAAGACGTCATAGACCTAAGAAGGGTAAATATTAAAGGGATACTGCAATAACAAGCCTATAACGGGCATTTATGGAGGCGATTGCGGCTGACTAATAGTCCTGAATCCACTGGGAATATAAATGGCATTGGGAAACATGAATGTTGACATTACCATTAATGTGATAACCATATTCCCTCTATGATCCACAGTGCAGCTGGGTGCCTCGCAGAGGAGACCAGGGTCCTAAAACCATCGACCAGATCCACAAGGAGGCAGAGATGGAGGAGCACAGGGAACACATCAAAGTGCAGCAGCAGCTTCTGAACAAGAAAGAGGGAGGCGGGGGAGGTGGTAGAATGGGCGGGAACATGGGGGGGCGTGGCTCTCACTCACAAGGAGGCGGCCGGAACAGCCAGCCTCAGGATGAGGGCTGGAACACGGTGCCCATCTCCAAGAACAGACCCATCGACACCACCCGCCTCAGCAAGATCACCAAGGTACCGTCTAACAAGGAAGCTTCATTCTGTTATCTATTGTATTGAAATCTATGCAAGTCACAGCTAAGCTGTCTTGGACATGATGACGTGGGACTTTATGCAACTTGTTAATCTGACGTTTGTGTTGCCCTTCAGCCTGGTTCTCTGGACTTCAACAATCAGCTGTTGGCTCCAGGGGGAAAAGGCATGTGGGGTAGCTGGGGCAAAGGCAGCAGTGGAGGAACTGGAGCAAAACCAGCAAGCGGAGAGCAAGGTAAACAATTCACTTTTTTAAAAAAGGAGCCACGGTTGAGGCTGCTACAATACTTCCCCCCCCCATAACGAGACAAAAGCAGTGAAGGCTACAAAGACAGAAACTGAAGCCTCTCCGCCCTCTGAGCAGGAACCTGCTGCTCCACAAACCCACAACGTCGCCCCGAGCTCTCAACCTGAAGCCACGCCGGCTGAAGTGGGGAGTTAATTTTTCCTGGTTGTTTGTTTTAGAGTCCGGTCGTCCAGCTACCAGCACCCTCAACCGCTTCTCAGCCCTTCAACAGTCCGGTTCGTTGTCAGCGACAACTGACTCGGATCGCAAAGCTCCTCAGAGGTATTTAGTTGCATATTGTCTCTTCTGCCAAGATGTCCTGTGCTGTGCCCATATTGTCTACTTCATCCCCATCACTATTTATACAGCAAATACCCTGTCAGGATTCTTTTTTTTAATGTGACCCTTTTTGTGTCCCGTGCCACCTCTCTTTTTTTAGGTCAAGCTCCAGCCGCGAGCGCGGTGGCGACAGAGAAAAGGGTGATCGTGAGGGCCGTGACGGCAGGAGCACCCCAAACCAAATCACCAAGAGGAGCTTCAGCAGAGAGTCTCAGGAGCGCGGCGGCAGGGCCGGCGACCTCCGGGCCGCCACTGAGCCTGTGCGACGCGTGGCCAGCATGACCGACGATAGGGACAGAGGGAGCAGGGATCGAGGGAGCAGGGATCGAGGGAGCAGGGATCGAGGGAGCAGGGATCGAGGGAGCAGGGATCGAGGGAGCAGGGACCGCGCTCCAAGTAAAGATCTGCCAGGTGAAAAACGCACTGACCAAAAGTGAATATGTGATCTAGACATGCTGGTGTAAAGATGGAGGACAGGCTGTTCACACGCTGGGATCGGGAGGCTCTTTAACTCTTACTGTGACGTTTTTCTCTGCAGTCAAGCGGGAGAGCGCTCCAACTCCGCCCCCTTCTCTTCCAAAACCTGCCTTAAGTGAAGAGGAGTTGGAGAAGAAGTCGAACGCCATCATTGAAGAATACCTTCACATTAATGACATGAAGGTACAAACACGGCGGCATGTGAACTGTCATTCAACACGGTGAATTGTATTTAAAAGCGTGGCCGTTATCAAGCTTAACCGGCAAATGCGCTGAACGTGAAACCGCCCTGACGGCCGACCATCTGTGCGTCCTCTTTTGCCGCTGCTGTAGGAGGCGTTGCAGTGTGTTACAGAACTCGACAGTGCCACGCTGCTCTTTGTGTTCGTGCGGAGCGTCGTGGAATCGACGCTGGAGCGCAGCACCATTGCTCGAGAGCGCGCCGGCCTGTTGCTGCACCACCTCGTCAAGGCGGAGGTGTTGCCCTCAGAGCAATACTACAAAGGGTGAGCGTTAAAACATCCCACCGGATGTCCACTGATGTTTCTAACCTTGGGTTCCCTGTGTTTAACGTGAGATTGAGTGCCGCTTTGTTGTTTTTGTGGTGTGCAGGCTTGAAGATACCCTGGAGGCTGCAGAAGACACAGCCATAGATATACCTCACATCTGGCTCTACCTGGCTGAACTGATCACCCCCATGCTCCATGAGGGAGGCATCCCAATGGGCCAGATCTTCAGGTGAGCTTGAAGTCAACCAAGTTTTCCGCTCAAAACCATCTGGTCATTTTCTCCCAAATACTACAGAGGTTCTGGTCTGAAATTCCCCTTTCTTCACTTTTCCTTTGACGACACTAAACTTGTTTTTTTTGGCATTGATGGCTTCAGTAATAATGGTAAAGAATAAAACTGTGAAAGCAATGAAAGCATGATTCTGTTTGTTTTCAGGGAGATCTCCAAGCCTCTCGTGCCTCTGGGGCAGGCTGGCGTGCTGCTGGTGCAGATCCTCAAGCTGCTCTGCAATGAAATGGTATAATGTTCATAAATCCACGTGTCCATTTTAAGTGCAAACGTTTCACACCTCTGTGTAACAATACTCCGTAATACTCATTGGATTTATTGTTGTTGTTTTTTACCACCTGTTAGACGCCGAAGAAGGTCGGGACAATGTGGGCCGAGGGAGGCCTGAATTGGAGTGATTTCTTACCCGAGGATGAAGACGTCAACAAGTTTGTCACCGAGCAGGTCAGTGAACCTTAAGGAGTCCAAGACAGTGAAACAACAACCAACTAAAAACTGGTGAATTATTTTTTTTTAAAGCGAGACTGCATAGAAAAGGCTATATAATACAAAAAAAAAAAAAAGATTACTTGCAGCAGAAGATCGACATAAATACCATCTAGCGGCTCCACAGACCCCTCAGGTTCTGTGTTATAACATAAAGAATTACAGGCTGGTGAATATATCACTCTCACAAGTCTATATATATATATTTTTTTCTTTGACGCTACTCAGAAAGTGGAGTTCACCACCGGAGAGGAGTTGGAGTCAAAGGAGGTGGATGAGAAGAAGGTCCTCACTGGCGAGGAGCTGAGCAAACAGCTGGACAGACTCATCCAGGACAAAGCCAACAACCAGCGCATCAGGGACTGGGCCGAGGTGTGTGAGACGGACTGTTTGTACTCTGTCAAGGTTACAGGAATCAAGTCTCGCCTGTTCAACTGTGTTGTTGCGTCGTCGTCTTTTTCTCAGGCTAACTTGGACGAGCAGCAAACCGTCTCCAACCAGTTTGTGCGAGCGTTGATGACATCAGTGTGTCAGTCCGCCATTATATGTAAGTGTGCGTGATGCGGCCATGTAACCTCTTTCCCAACGTTCGGAGTTCTTAAAGACGGAAATATTCCAGTGTTGTAGATGTTCCGTGATGATTGATTGTGTGTACACGCACGCAGGTTTGCATCCGTGCGCATACAAGAATGTTTGTTGCAGTCCCTGAGTTTGCCGCTCCTCGTTGCAGGTGACAGCCCGTATAAGGTGGACGCACAGCAGATCAAGCAGAGGGCCAGTCTGCTGCAGAGGTACCTGTCCGACGAGCAGAAAGAACTGCAGGCCCTCTACGCCCTGCAGGCTCTCATGGTGCACATGGAGCAGCCGGCGAGTGAGTATTGACCGCAGCGCTGTATAACCGATGCCTCGCCACGAAGTGGCCCTGTAAAGAATGCTACAGTTGGTGGATCTCGTACCTTTCAGGCTTCACCTGTTGGTGAAGTTAATTAAAGGGAAATCTGGGCATTTCTTCCGTAGTTTAAACATTTGAAATGGCCGTGTTCATCCATTCGCATGACTTTAAAATGAGAGGAATAGCCCTGATTTCAATGGAAGTAGCTTCATCTTGGACTGACAGCCGGTCCTGTCATTGTGTTTAGCCGCTTTTTGTAAGTTGCGATGATGTGACTTTACGAGGGAAGCATCTACATTTGTTGAACGAAAACGCCACAAACCACCAGTGGTCTAGTTTTATGAACGCCAGCAGACGGCACAAACTCAATGGCAGATATTTATTGTCCCTGCAGACCTGCTGCGGATGTTCTTCGACGCCTTGTACGACGAGGACGTCATTAAAGAGGAAGCCTTCTACAACTGGGAATCCAGCAAAGACCCTGCAGAGCAAACGGGCAAAGGTGTGGCCTTGAAGTCAGTCACCGCCTTCTTCACCTGGCTCCGCGAGCCCGAGGAGGATTCTGACAGAGAATAAAAGACTGGACTGAAAGCTGCTCCCCTCTTCCCCCCCCCCCCCCCACCCCCCCTCTCCCACAACCTCTTCTTTTGCAAGGCAGGGGGCTCTACAAAAGGCTGCAGAGAGTCACGGACAATATTGCCTGAGAGGCAGACTCGAATCAATCCTCAATGAGGATAAATCTTTATTTTTTGTTTTTGTTTTCTTTGAGGGATGGACTCAGAAAACAATCATTTCTCTCCACCCTCCCTCTCTTGCTTCCTCCTCATTTCCCCCCACCTGCTTGTCACAGCGAGTGTCCTCCTCAAATAGACTTGAAAACCGATGCAGCAGGATTGCTTGTTAAAGAGGTGTGAAGTATCCCACGTCACTACAAAACTTTTTCTCACAAAAATACAAACCAACGGGCTGCTTTTTTTTTGTTTCGGAAGGTTCTCGATCATTCTAATGCCTGACATCCTATCTGATCTGCGAGAATAAAGCCACAGGCGTGTGGTGTAGTGGGTTTTCTGATACGTGGGTATCGCCATGCCATAATGTGTGTCCAATCCAATCTCGGCTCTTACGTCTTTGTCCCTTACTGGAGTGTGCAGCATGACTGAAGTGTTTCTATTAATGATACAGTGGACGAAACGTCGAGAGAAAAAAATGTACATGAACTAATCTTAATTTGATGGATGGCGTTTTTAAAGCAAAGGTTGCCTATTTTCTCTTCCTGCTTCCCCATCATGAATTTACGGAGGGCAGAAACATGGAGGATTGGTTCTGACCTTGACTGCGTAGGGTTGGTCTTAATGCTTCCTCTAAGCCATCCTCAGTAGTGATTCACACTGACTGACTTCATCTTTACCTCTTCTATACTTAACCCTGAGCTGTCGTAGAGGACACTTAATGACCCCAATCACCGGTAAAACTTGAAATCGACAGAAAATTGACTTGACGAAAATATATAAAGTTACATAAAAACAAAAATAAAAAAAAAACAGAAATGATCCGAAAGCCTTTTCTACTCTAAGTGGAAACTTATTTCAGGAGCGTTCTGTAAATATCTAATTAAAAAAAACTTCTTTTTTTTTCAGTTTTATTTTTCAGAAACAAATTGCTGATGTAATTGCAGTGTATACTTTTCCAACAGAAACATCAGTTGTCCAGATGCAGAGAGGTGCTTTAGATAATCCATCGATTACTAATTGTGGAATTTTGTAAATATTTTTTTTGCTTTCTTTATTTAAGAAATTATTGCTTCTTTTGCATCGGGAACTGGAAAGGTGAGGTAATGGAGCATTGCAAATAAAGGACTTATTAAGTTGCTGAGCAGAGTTTTGCTTTGAACGCTGTTGGATTCCTGTGTGATTTCCGTGGTTGTTTAGCGCTTCCCATACAATCATATTAGGGAAGTGGCGTCCCCTCCCCACAAAGGTTTAATTGATTTCATTTGTAAAAAACATCCAGCCAGGGGAAACCCTAATGTGGCTTTTCAGAGAGGCTATGAAGTCGACTGACGTTTACGGGTTGGCAGCCATGATGTCCCTTTTATTCAGTGAAAACACACTTAAAGACTTCAGATGTCCAAAAGCAGTTGGTAAATATTCAGAATACACACCAGGTGAAACATCTTCACAGAAGGTGGCACCAAAATAAAGACATTTTTCAATCGGGTCCTAATTTCTGCATTAATGATTGGCCTGTTGCTCTAAACACAACTAAGGATACTGTTGCAAATATGTTGACCAAATGGAAACAAGTCTAAAATTCTATATAATGCCCCTTAAAGAGTAAAAATCTTCTCATTCAAATAACCTATTTAGCATTTATATAGACATTTTCAATAAATGGTTTTGTATACATGACAAAGTAGTTGCAAACATTCTTTGTATACAAATGAGGATCTAGTGAAACAATTTTAATCACAAAGTATGGTCGAAATTATTGAAATCCATTTAAAATGACGTTTTAACCATCGATGTGAATTTGGTGGCAGTCAACCTCTTTTTTTTTTTTTTTTTTTTTTAAATAAGTCTTTTAGCGGGACACATTCCGGGCGGATGAGGACAAATTGGTAGAGCTGCTTTTTTTTAATTTTTAAATTATCTTATATAAATCACAAAAAATATTTCTGGATCCTTCCAGCGTCTTTCTTGGAGTCCGAATGCGGTTCTTTTTTCCACACGCGCAACCCGCGTGCGTCCTCATTGGATCATCTCGCTTAATCCGCTAACGACACATGTTTAAAAAAAAAAAGTGGTAAATCATCCGCAGTGCTTCCCGGGTCCAAACGTGCAGGTCACCGTGCGTCGGTCTTGGCCGCGGTGGGGAGGGTGAAAGGGGGAGGAGGGGACGGGGGGGGATGTGACATATCCGCGCGTCGATGACGCTCGCCGCCGGGAGACATTTGGACAGCCGATGTAACCCACATACCGCGCGACAAATGCTGCGCCTGTGCCGGAGAGCTGTTGCGGGAGTTTCGGGAGACGTGTTGCCGCCGACTGAGTGGCATTAATGATCCGCCGCGGGGGGGACGACGCGCGCGCTATCATCTGTTGATCGGATTGGAGACCTTTAGGCGCATTATCATGAGCCGCCGCGGTCCGGTTTACAGGTAGGTACCGATGGAGGAGGGCGGGGATGGGGGGGGGGGGGGTCCTTTGGCTCGTGTAAGTACTACAGAACAGACCAGCGTCCCTTTGCGTCTCCGTGTTGTTGATCCGATGCGGGTGCGAAGCTATTGGTATGCAGGTGGAGGCTTCAGACGTTGCCAGGAAACTCGCTGCAGCATCCTGCGCCTCTCGTGCGTTATTCTCCCCCCCCCGTGATTGTTCGCTGCGGGCCTGCGCCGATCAAAGGCGGGGTGACGTGCTCAGTAGTCACGGTGTCGCTTGTGTCGAGAGGAGAAAAAAAAAAGAGACACCATCATCATCATCAGCTCTGCATCTCCTTCCATTCAGGCCAGATGCAGGAAACTGGCTCGATCCCACTTGTTGGGCAAACCCTCCCCAATGGCTGTTGGACACGTCTTAGTCCACGATGCTGCTGTAAAAGGGAACACGGAGAGCCTGCATCTGCGTCCGAGCGCCTCATGGAAACAGCATTTTTACTGATTACCATTGCAAACGCATGGCGCACACGCACACACACACATGTTGTCAAGAGGAATGTCAGTTAGCAGCTGGCAATCAGCGGGTTGAAGTGAGAAGCAGCATCACACAATTAAGTGCTCCACAGAGGCTAAATCATGAGCAGGTGTTGCATTTTTTTTTAAAGGGCAAATATCTAAATGGATAATGTCTGGGGGGGGGAACGTATAATCCAATACAATCCACACTTCTAACCGATCAAAGGGATTTAAGATGCGCTGGAGTTGTGCAATGAGAGCTGCACGTTACGTTGATCAGTGTTGAGCACGGAAGACGTCTGCAGCGCTCTCTGGTTTGTTCTGCAGCTTCAAGCTTCTGCGATCGAATGTTGAATGTTTGACTTGTAAGCATTTGACCACCATCAGGAGCCTCCTCTTCCTCAGCTGCTTTGGACAGTCAGGTTTCCTGCTGCACCTGCCCTAAAAACAAGCACCTCCAGCCGAGTGAGCTGACCCACTGGGGGAAGGCTGCATGGAAATAGAACCAGGATGTGTCTTAAATAGAGTCTTTAAGTCAGTTACAGACACCTGAACTTACCTGTTGAACAAAGCGGGCCCCTCAGTGACTAATGTAAGATTGACTTCACGGAACTGAAAAAAGGCAGCACAGCGACCTCGTGTATCCAACATCGCTGTTCAGATCCCAAGAATTCAAAATGATTTGGTAAAAAAAGTAATGGATAAATGTCTTAAAATAGTTTGCTAAAATGAACTAAACGTGATGGATCAACACTTCAAATAGGTGGCGAAAGGTTTGAACTAATACGTTGGAAGTCAAATAATTGGCAACCTGACTGACCTTCTAACAATTCGTTGCCATAGCAACAGCGCTCTTGTTGCAGGCTAAGCCGGGGGGAGAGGGGACTAACCTTTGACCCAGACCTACTGCCCGCCGTCATGTGGTATTGGAGGTGGAGTAATAGCGGTAGCAATATCACTTTTAATAGGGATCAGCAGCTGGACGGTGGCGCTGGTCACACGCCACAAGTTTGCCCGGTCACATTGGAGACCGTCCCCATTACACTCAACCACCTCAACCCCAACCATTGTAACCGGCTTACTCTGGCTTTAGCATCTGTGCAGTAAATGTAGGGCAATGCTGTTGGCCTGTCTGCTAAACCATAAAGCCAAGCTGTGTGACTGCGTTCTGTGGGTTTGCCGCACTGTAACGCTGTCTGCACGCCGCGATGAGGCTACGATCGAGCAGTAGAGCAGAGAGGGACAGACAGGAAAAGGTAGTAAAAGTATTTTTTAAATTATTATTTCAAAAGCGATACAGATCTCCGTTACGGATGAAGTTTGTTGAATATTTGAATTAGGTTTCTCACATGGTAAATGTGGGCAGAGGAAACATTAACGGTGTTGCGGAATACCAAAACATCTGACCAGTGCAGAATGTGACCCCCCCCAAAAAATGTATTTGCTGCTTCCGTGCGTTGGTACAAAACAAGTCGTTTTACTAAAATCTCTTGCAGGTGAAATTCGAGGAGAGTGAAATGATTCCAAAGTCAGGAAAATCTCCAGCAGACTCGAGGAAAAGTGTCGGCATCCATGAGTTCGCAGCACTTGCCAGATCCTCCTTAAATGGTATCATTTTTACTTCTTACACGTGTTCACTGCGATGAAATGTCCAGAGTTCAGGCCCTGAACTCTACCGCTCTGTGTGCAGGTATCTCTCAGGCCGTGAGGGACCATGTGACCAAGCCCACCTCCCTGGCTCAGGGCCGGGTCGCCCACCTCATTGAGTGGAAAGGTTGGCCCAAACCAGCCAACCCTCCGCCGGCCGCCGCCTTCAGCTCCTACTGCCACCTGACTGAGGGAGAGAAGGAGGCGCGCTTTGCTGCAGGTTTTCATTTCTGGGACCTTTAGCCAGCTTTCAGTTTGTGTGGGCAACGTGCATCCTTGGTGTAGCATCCCTCCCCTGGCAGGCCCCCGCCTCCTGTCGGGCTCCCGATCTCCTGGAAGTCCTCTATGTCAGGGGTCCGCTCCACCCGTGGTGCTGTCTCCCTGTGCGGGGGCTTATTGGACCTTCTCCCCGTTCAACAGGGCTGTGGTTCAGCTCTGACTCATCCTCCCGGCGTGGTTTGATCTAGCGAGAGGGAGGGAGGGGGGTCGGGGGGGTACATAGTGAAGGAAAACCATTTACATCAAAAAGTGTATTTATATGTTTTCTTCCCATTGTAATCAGTGTTTGTAGATGAATGAAACAGAGCTGATGTGAGCTGGTGGAAAGCTGCATGAAAATAGAACCAGCATGTGTCTTAAATAGAGTCTTTAAGTCAATTACAGACACTTAATCTTACCTGCTGAACAAAGCTGGCCTTTCAGTGACTAATGTAACATTGACTTGCTTGTTGCCCTTTTCATCAGGCGGGAAATACACTTCACAGAACTGTTTTTCAATGTCTAAATAAATCAATTCCTTTCAAATGTCCTTTTCTTTTCCCTTATGTTTTGACGGTTTTAATGTGAAACACCTTGAATTGCCTCGTTGTTGAAATGTCCTTGATTCCCATTTAAAGACAAATTAGAGGGTTTAAGGAAAGAGTAAAAAATTATTATTCTATTTTATTAGAAATATTTCCATCTGAATGTAAAGAAAACCACCCGTGGTCACACTCAACGGCTTCTTTATTTGAATGGTCACGCATATTTCTGCCTTTCCTGCCAGGAGTGGCCGAACAGTTTGCCATCGCTGAGGCCAAACTGCGTGCCTGGGCGTCCATAGATGACGAGGACGAGGAGGACTCCAACGATGAGGACTCCCCCACTGACGGACCGACTCAGACTGCATGCAGCCGGAGCTCAGGTATCCACCGACCCCACCTGTTCCTCTTCATCGCCGCGTCTTCCCTGACAAACCGCCACATCTCCCCGCGCCCTCTCCTGATCATCCACCCATCTCCAGGTGTTCTCACTTGTTGCCCATTCCCTCAGACGCCGTCCCGTCCAATCCTGTCAATGGAGCACGGTGCCAGCCCGATGTCGAAGGCCCGGAGGCGTCCCACCGCCCCTTGTGCTACAGCAGCAGCAGCAGCGGCATCAGCAGCAGCAGCAGCGGCACCAGCAGCAGTAGCAGCGGCATCAGCAGCGGCAGCAGCAGCAGCGGCATCAGCAGCAGCAGCAGCGGCACCAGCTGCATCAGCAGCGGCATCAGCAGCGGCAGCAGCAGCAGCGGCATCAGCAGCAGTGGCAGCGGCAGCAGCTGCAGCAGCAGCAGCGGCATTGGCGGCAGCAGCAGCGGCATCAGCAGCAGTGGCAGCGGCAGCAGCAGTGGCAGCGGCGGCGGCGCTCTGCCCAGTGGTAGGCCGGCGTCTCACAGTGACCCACATTCATCGCGGACCAATTCTCCAACATTACCCAGCGACTGCATGAGTCCCTTCTTAAAAGAGGAGGAGGAAGAGAAGCTGGACTGTCGCAGGGAGAAGCCGGCTCATCTGCGGGAGCGCCACGGTGACGTGTGCATCCACCACAAGCCGGAGTGGAGGCCTCGGCCCAGGAGCGGCAGGTTCGACTCCTGCTACTCCACCTCTCGCTCCGAGTCCCCCGGAGAGGAGGACGAGGAAGATGAGGACGAGGAGGGCAGCGTGTTTCACGAGTTTCGAGCGTGGCATTCCAGCCGGAGGAGCTTCTTCTCCGACCGGGCTTCCTCTGGAGTGGCGTCCTTTGATGAAGAGGAGAGGGATGAGGTAGAGGAGAAGAAGGATCATTCGGTGTGATGTGTTGTCCCATCTTTATGTCTCTTGGAGTCTGTGTTGATTTTGGATGAGACATAATCGGCGCAAACCTCTCTCCTCCTCTTCCTCTCCGCTTGTTCCGTCTCTCATCCGCCACGTTTATCACTGCTGTAATCAGTATAAAAGAGTATATTGGAGAGTTCAGCCAGAATGTAAAGCTGTTGTTCAAACTGAGTTTTGTACATTTTTGTGAAGAGTCACGTGGTGCATTGGTTTTCTATGGATATTTTGCTATTTCTTTTGTTTTTTTCTGGGTCTTTGTGTCATGTGGGTTGGGCAACGTTTGATACTGAATATGTGAATGTCCTGCTTGTCTATAAATATCATTTGTTTTTGAAAGAAGATATTGTCCCTATTTCCACACAAAATAAAGACGATGAAACACAACGTATCCTTTTAAAGCTGTTTTTCAAATTTAATCATTCACTCATGTACAAAAACAATTTCATGTTCTCTGAAAAATAACAATGGCTGTTGGATTTCAAATGCATAATTCTCCTATGTACACTAGCATGTACTTGGATCTGATGGCGTGTATTTTCATATGTACAAAGCATATACAGGCCAGTGCCATATAAAGGGAGATACTACAGACTTATTGCTTAACTATATACGCTGCAAATTAGCTTATACACTCTCTATATTTAACGCCTTATTTGTTATCTTATATGGCGAAAACTACTTCACTTTCTATGTGCAAACAAAAAGTCGAGGCGCTAATAAAACGTTGCTCAAATGGTTAAACAGACAAAAATGAGCCAGAGTGTGCTGCAACGATATCACATAAGAAGAAATATGGCTCAAAAATGCAACGGCATGAAGCTGAAATACTTCCAACACACTTTGCTGCACACAGTAGTTCCATCTCTCAACATTTAGTTCGGAGGCCAGTTAGGATTAAATGTACTTTTCATAAAGATACGTGGTAGATATCTACAGGCCGTATCCAAAGGGCTGTATAATTGTGTGTGTGTGTGTGTGTGTGTGTGCAGTCAATACAACACCCTGTATCTTACTTTCAATCTGAGACCAAGTGTCGTTGCTTTATCGTGCCAGAAAGGCATTAAACACGCATTAAAATTCACATAGCAGGAGATGGAGGGGCAGTTCAAGTGACCGAGGGTCTACATTTACCTTATTGATCAGCCCCTTTAACGCCGCGCAAGGCTGCATGTGCGTTGAATCATAGTCATGGTAATTACAATGTGCTTCACCATCATTCGGAGTCCTTCCATGAGCTCGGTGGATCTTTGGAAGCTGCCTCTGAACAGCTGATCCCAGTGCACAGGGATCAGTGGCTGAGATCAACACCAGAAATATAAATACTGGAGTCAGCTACTGCTGCTTTTAAACCACTTTTACTGCATTATTACCACAACTGTGTTGCATATCAGCAGGCACATAAATTAAATAAATAAATGAGTACTTCTCAATTTAGGCTCTCTGATGTATTAGTAATAGGTGGTGGTAGTAGTTTAAATTCATACCCTCGTGTGCTCATTAGAACAATTGTCTATTTTCTTCTGTGCTTTCTGTTATTGTTCCCCTGTCCATTCCTTCTGTGCGTCACTTTTATCCTTCAAATGTGATCAGTCGTGTTCACAGGCATGAATAGAGTCTGGACCACATGAGAGCATGGAAAGTGTAAAAAATAATCTCTTGCCCACACACACACACACACACACACACACACACACACACACACACACACACACACACGTACGCACACACAGAGTTGACAATATTCCACAGTTTTCTTATCGTCAACAAAATCACATAAAAATACCAAACTGTAGTTTGTAGTCAACAGTAGCTCCAAAAAAAAGTACCAAAACTGTGGCTGAAGAAATGCCTGAGTGATACAGCCGACAACGCCCGATTACTAACTTGATCTCACCTAAAGGTCCTCGTGAGTTCAAGCTTTTGATGAATGGAGACATTTTACAACATCTTTCACTAAGACGTAATAAAACATTCCCCCCAGAACCTGAACACAGACTTTGATGTATAATATCGCTTCGCTTCTGACAGACGAGAGGCTCGTTGTTTTTTTTATATCGATTTACACGGCACCCCATTTGCACCCCCCCCCCCCTTCAGCTGTCGTAAAGCGCCACCCCTCCCTGTGATTTTAATGGTCTGGCCCACTTTTGATCAAAGTGGCCTGAAATGAGTTTGACACCCCTGCTTTAAAGCATCTGGGGACCCATCCAGGTGTTTTCAGATAATGTGGCTAGTTTGACCTTTTCTCAGAACCACAAGTGCCTTGTTACACCTGTTGTTCAGGTCAGTTTTTGATCTTTTCATGGAACCTGTTGACAATAATTCGTGTCCGAATTCGAATGCTTTTGAATCGGGCATCATTCGCACAGTTGGAAACACAATGATGGATGTCACGTTTACTCCCGCTCGCTCGCTCGCTCAATCACGCCACAACAACTTTAGAAACACAGGTATCTACGCTGGACTCAGAGGTGAGAGTGACCTCTACAAATGTAAGAAACGTCAACATTCATGAGGCGGGTAAGGGACCCCCCACTGATCATTTTGAGTTATCCTCGGCGTGTGCAGGGACAGCCTCTCTCTCCGGTTCCGATTGGTCCTCGATCAGAGACGAAGTCCCCTGCTCTCGCTCGGTGCCGTCCTGCTCTGGATTGTGGGTGAGGGGGTCATAGTCCAAGGCCAGCTCCGATTCCTCAGTGTGGGAGGGGCTGCAGTCGAAAGTAAACTCTGATGGGTCCTCGGTGAAGGAAGGGCTCTCCTGGAGCACCAACTCCGACGACTGACTCGAGACGTCCCCGGGGCTGGTCTCGCACTGCAAGTTCGATTGGTCCGAGAAGTTGACGGGGATCTCTTTGTACGGGAGGTCGGCCTGGTCCTCCACGTCCGGGGGGTTGGGTTCCCGCGGCAACGACAGCCCTCTGTGGCGGATGCACAGCTTGTGCAGCTCGGTTACCTCGGAGACGTTCGCGTTGTTCCCATTGTCACGGAAACTGGCCAAAGGAGGGCGCACTTTCACTCCGGTCACCGTCACCGAGCCCTCGATGGCCTTACGCAGCTGGAGGCGCAGAGCCACAGGCGGCAGGAAGCAGAAAGAACGGAGGCGTGAGGGGTGTACACATCTTATCTTATTGTCAGAAGCTTTGACACTTAAGGAAATCGTATGCGCACCTCTTTCAGGGAGACCACCCCGACCAGACGTCCCATGCTGGTCACATAGGCGTGATCCAGACCCAGCAGAGAGAAGATGGTGTGGGTCTGTGTGGGAGGACGGATGGGTCATGAATACAGATTCGGAGAGGGGGAATTTATTATACCAGGGTATTTTTGCCCTTTGGAGACAGTCACTGATCAGATTAGTCACACAGCGTTGCGGTGAGGTGCGGCTTTGGACACCAACCAGTCACCTCTTGCCTGCAGCATCCACCCGTTTGACAAAAGGTAGAATTTAGAAAAGAAAGTAGTTTGAAGTCAGTCAGTGTTCACCAGCTGCAACAATGACGTGATGAACACATCACAGTACTTTAAGTATATTTTTATATGAATCCTTTTGTATTATATACTTTAGAATGCACAATATCTACACTTTGGTATTGCTACTTTTACTTGAATATTCAACCAATGCAGACATAATTTCCCCCCACGTCTGTCGGGTTGGGCCTTTATCACTCGGATCCATTAGTGTAGTGAAAGTACTACAGCAGTTAAGAATCGCATTATAATTAAGTGTCATTATGTCTGTTGGCAGTGTTCACTGTTCACCTTATTCCAATAACAGAGGATGTTAAAGCCAGAGGTTCAACTCACAACCAGACTGCATTTTGGAAGCATTCTCAGTTCTCAAATTAGACCACTTAGCACAGAAGGGAAATGACAACGGCAAATATGTCTTGAAGGGCATTAAATGGTGAAGTATTAAAATCATTCGTGGAAAACAAGCTGCCAGAAAATGCCATTCAATTGGACAGGATGTGGATACAGTACCTTATGCAAAGACGTTTGTTCTACCAGCTGAAAGGGAGCGGGATCAATCTTGCAGTTCTTAAAATCCACCGGCTCGTCAAGCTGCTGCTCTTCCCACTCCGCTACCTGCAACGAGAAAGATGACGGGACGATAACACACCGAAACGCCGAACACACTCACATTTATTTTTGGTGTATTTTCTGTGCGGGTCTCACGTCTGATGGGGTCATTCCATCTTCCCCGTCGGGAGAGTCCTATAAGACAAGTGACTGTTTATAGACACACAAAGATCTGCAGACAATCAATAAGATTGTGTGTGTGTGTGTGTGTGTGCAAAGCCACTGCAATGCTTTGACTGGTACACCTTAAATATGTTGGTCGCGCACGCACTACGCCTGTGTCGCAAGGCAACGGTTACTAAGCAACAGTCTCTGGGCGGCAGAAAATCTTACCGCCATGGAGATCCTCACGCGTTTGGGCCCGGGCTCCGGAGGAGTCGGCCCTGCCGGACTCTTCCAGCCGGGGAGACAACATTAACAGGGTATCACAAAAACCACACAGCTTTGCCATTTTCAATCGGATCCCAGTCCGACGCCCACTGGGAGGAGTCCCAGTGGCTACAGTGTTTCTAAAAGGGTGTAATTACGACACCCCAGATGAAGGTGAGGGCAATTATATTACGTAATGACTTTGAGGATCCCTCATCTTTTCATCCATCTTATATGGTCTAACCCTTTTGTTCGAATGCCTCTAAATAAATGACATTCAGCTGATTTTGTGTTTTGTGCTAATTAGCAAATATCAGCATGCTAACACCCTTTAATAAGACAGTGAACATTATACTTGCTAAACATGAGCGTGTTAAAAGAGCATGCAGATGTTAGCCTTTAGGTCAAAGGGCTGCTGCGTCCTCAGATGTCCGTCCCAAATGTCACCACTTCATCATTTTTATCCCATTAGACATAACAGCAAAACTACCACTCCTTGTTCATTGTGTTACCGTCAGATCAGAATGACCCGGTTGAAATTTGTGCCCAATTTGATTTGAAAGTTGCTGAATTCATGAAAAGTGAAGTCCCGGTGAGCTTAACCACCGTTATTTAAAACGTGTGCAAAAACGCCAACATGTCCAATGCTCCAAAACGTTTGCCGGCCACTGACAGTGATTCACAGAAGCGTTAATAGCAAAACTCTGCAGCATGAGATCACAAAGGGAAACCCTACTGCCTGTGGGTGGACGATGCCCGTCAGCAGGAGGTCGAGGGTGGACGGCATGTGTGTGGACTCACAGACAGCCCACACACACACACACACACACACTCACGTACATCTATACAGTGCACCCACACATCTCCTGCTCACCTCCAGCAGGTCCCCGTCTTGTTGGGCACAGGACAGGCTCTGAGAGGCTCAAAGGGAAAACAAACAAAAATCTGTTTTCTTTTCCTTTGGATTTGAAATATCATTATTTGCATCGTTTTGTTCTCGGTGTCCAGTTATCCAAACACCTTTAGTTGTACATGCATTCCGTTTTTGCAGAGATGTAGAGTGCATACTATTTGGCGTCTCCACGTCGCTGATGGCGGACACGGTTTTCAAGGCAGACTTCAGAGGAAGTTGCGCGTTGGAAACCACCGGGCTGAAGGAGGAGGACTCCTCTGTGGAGATCTGCATGGAGGAAATGTTAACAGAGGGAGCCAGACACCCCAGGGGGGGGAAAAAAGCGCAGAGAAGACCAATGCGAGCGCGTGCACACTGACAAACAGAACAGCACAGGTAAGAGGCACAGACGCCGCGAGTCCATCAAACTTACCAAAAACCCCTCTGTGCCTTTACCAGCTGCTACAGGCCTCACGCATGCTGTGCCTGATCCACCTTTACGCTACTTTTACAACCCCGCCCAGCCCCCGGCCGCCCCTGCACGCCTCACACCTGTTGGGCGCTCACCAGGAAGCGGACCGCTTGGCGAGCGTTGCTGGAGGAGTTGACGCGGGCGCAGGGCGAGCTGGGCGTGCTGTCGGTGGTCCGGCTGGCCGGGCGATCGCGGCCGCCGTTGTCCTGCGCCAGCTGCCGCAGGTACTCCAGCCTGCGCAGGCGGCTCAGCTGGAGGGAGAGCAGCGACTGCAGCTGCAGGCGCTCTATGGAGCCCAGGAGGATCATGGAGTCTGGCGAGGAGAGGTGGAGGAGATCAACGTGCCAATGCAGACCAGAACTCACAGAGGTAAAAGTGTAACGGGAAGTTTTTGTGGTGCTGTTGGAGATCAGTGGGGAGCGGCGGGATGAGGAAGATGAAATTCATTGGAGGAATGTACTGTACATTTAACGTTATATCAAAAGTTATCAGTTATTATTAAAACGGGTACAGTTCATATCCCCAAATCATAATTCATCCCATCAGATGTATATATAGAAACATGTTTGTGTTTGTGAAGGTACTGAAATGCATCTACTGCGTCAGCACTAACACCGTAACAGGAGCAGCTGACATCTGACTACGCTGCTGTGATTCCACTCACCACGAGACTCAACCAGGGCCAGTGTTTTGAGCTGAGCTGTCACCAGCATCTCCTGCAGGTCCCGGTAGCAAGAGGTAAGGGTGATGTAGCGTACATCCCTTACCATGATGTCCTCCACGCGGATATTATACTTCCTGAGACGAGATGAAGGGACGTGGGGCGAGCAGGGAGACGTGGGTGCAAGAGAGGGGAGGGAAAGAGGTGAGACAGGGCAAAGGTTGAGGAACGACTCCCTCCTGAGCGTTTGCTCGGGACAGACAGGTGGGCGGTGGACAAAGACTCACTCGTGATGTCCCATGCCCAGTTCGGGCAGATACGGGAGTTTCTTGATGCGGATGATGGAGTCGTACAGCGACGGCTGGAGCGACTGAGCCACGGCGTTGGCCAGGATCACGGCGATCATCACGGGCAGAATGTGGGAGATCTGACCGGTCAGCTCGAACACGATGACTGCTGTGGACACCGTGTGGGTGACGGCTCCAGACAACGCCGCAGCACCTGTGTAGGAGGGCATGACTTAAAACCACAGACGGGCAATAGGCCGGGATTTTGTGAGTGATCGGGCGCATTTTCGAAAAAAGTAAATAAAAACCAGGCTGTTTAATAAGCAATCAAATATCTGAGTGTTTCTTAATCAGCCAGGAAGGTCCTGAAGGACAGCAAATCCACACTCAAGATTTTCATTTTCAGCCTTTATAATTTATATCATTTAGCGCCACCCTGTCGCGCTCACCAGCGAGCCGCGACCGAGGAAACGATTTTCTATTTTACTTTGTTCCAAATTGCAGTGTTGAACTAAAAAGTGGAAATCAGATTCAAATCGGTCACATTTCATCAGCCTCAAATAGCGCAGACAAGTGAAAAGGACCCCGGGACAAATAAGGCACACGATGAACTCACCGACTACAGCGTAACCGCCGGGCACTATGGGATACACGCTGCCGTCGGCGTGTATGCCGTCAGGGAACATAGTGGCCATGATCTCTCCAACCAGCCTGCCGAATGCCGCGCCTGTCCGTCACACACACACACACACACACAGCGGGGCGTCATTAAAGGGCTTCCCCGCTCCTCGTTGCAGGAAAAAGGACGGTAAGTAAATCGTATTCACCGATGAGAAAAACGGGCATGAAGGCCCCGCACGGGACGGGCATGGTGGTGGCCACGGCGGACATCCAGAACTGGGGCAGAGAAACGAGTTTCACGGAACGTCGCCCAATCGGACTCGTTTTTTTCCCGGACGCACGTCGGGGGCCCCTACCTTCATGACGATGAAGAGGACGAGCGTGATGAAGACGTTGACCTGCGGGTGTTTCCAGGCGTGGTGGTGGTGGCTGACGTAGTCAAACTCCTCGGCCACGCCGTGGCGGCACCACGTGCGGTTGTCGAACAGCGCCACCAGAGACTCGTGCTGCGTCAGCTGGCGGGCGCACGCGAGAGAGGAGGGGTCACCAGGGCTTTAGCTGGCTGACCTGCGTGAAAGGCCTCAAAGCTCGGCAGCAACGGCCGCGCGGAGACGGACGTTTAAAGGAAAACCCCCGGAGCCCCCAAGAAAAGCTGCGTTTGATGCTGCTGGTTGACATTGTTTTATTGTACATTTTGTGTTCAATCACTTCAGTATTACGACGCCGAGCGAATTATCCTGATGAAATAGTGATTTTCTTTTCAATGGCTTTTGAGTCTCTGTACTGCAAAACACCTGAATTTCCCCCACGGGGGGGATTGGATCAATAAAGGAATATCAATACTGTAAGTTGCTAGATTGGACAGTTTTAGGTTGATAACATTCTATGTCACATCTGTTAATGCCAGTTTTGCAACTTGCTTTATTCTGTTTTGAGCCTGTTTTTAATAATGAATGAGCCCCACTGCCTGCACATCTTCACAGGACACATACAGGCTTTTCTCTGGTAGGTGTTTGTTTTTCTGGTTTTGTCTGAAAGGCCTCAAAATGATTTCTTAATCGCATGTTATAAAGGACTCAGGTTCACGGGTAACAGCCGCACAAAACGTGGCAGTACAATGTGTGTGCATCCGCGGGGCTTTTCCCTTAGTTGCTTTGTACAGATACTGCAGTGTCACCTCTTGCAAGTCATTGAGAAGCATGAGTAGAAAACACAAAACACAAACTGATGCTTAGACTTGAACAAAAGGTTTTCTATTGGTTGAGTGTTCAAAAGATGAAGACAAAAAAAGGTTCTGTCTGTATAGTGAATACGTGCAGCATAAAATAACACCCAACCAACCACTCCAACTCTCCCCGTGTTGGAAAGGATTTTCTCACCTGTCCGGCCATGAACTGGCCAAAGCCCGGCGGGAAGGTGAGAGTGGAGATCAGCAGGGTGACGAGTGCTGGGTACACCAGACGCCTGACAGGGAGAGACGGACTGCGGGGTCATTGATGGGTGTGCTTCTCACAGTGAATGTGCACGCTGTATCTCCGGGGGGGCGGAGGGACCATAAATGTCTCCCTGCGATGTGTGAAAGTGAAACGGACCCTTTCCAAACAAGGACTTTACCTACATCTCCCCACAGGATGTCCCCTTTGAGACACAAGACAAAAGCGTCTGTTTAACACATGTTTAGTGGCACATCAGCTGGGTTTGTACCTTTTGAGGTTCAGCTGGTTTAAATGTGACTTTTCAAAATGCCAAAGAAACATGAATACTTTCTTTCACAGGGTCGGATAAGAAGATTGATACCGCTGAGATATAGATTACTTAGGTCCAACATTTATAAAGTACCTCTAAAGCTCACTAATGATCACATTACATCTCGTTTGGTTGTAACAATGACAAAGTTAAGCCGGACCAACGGTATATTTCCAACTGGTCTATGCTAAGCTAAGCTACGCTAAGCTAGCCGTCTGCTGGCTGTACCTTCACTGCACAGACACCACAGAGTCTCCAGCCTCTCATCTGACTCACCATAAGTGCATTTTCCTAAAATGTCAAACCCCAGAAGTGTAAAATGTCACATGTGTCATCACGAAGAGATACTCACTTCCTCAGCAAGAACTTGTTAATAGTCTTCTGTTTCCTCATGCACTCTACAATCAGCCGGTTCAGGTAGACAAACAGAGCGCCGCCAAAACCACAGGCAATCCTGCAGACAGACAAATCACTGTATTGTGCCCGGTAAAGTCCCGTTCCTGGGGCTCCTTGATGGGAAGCCAATGTTCATGTCCTGCTTTTCTGCAGTTAAACATATTTCCATCAAACAAATCAAATGTGACACGCGACAATATGGAAACAGTCTCTCCTTTGAATCCGCAGAGCAAAAAGTTAATTTCATGCCTTGTTCGTTGAATGCAAATCAACCTTCAGGCTGGACTGTGAGTGTGACCGGCACGAGCTCCGGGATCAGTGTGATGTGGCGTCGGTCCGGGGAAACATGCTCACCCGAGGATGGCGAACGCCGGCAGCTCCTGAAGGTCAAACGGGAAGTCCAGGCGGAAACGGGTCTTAAAGAGAGCAGTGATGGTCTCTGGGGAGAAAGAGGACTGTTGTCTCTGTGTAGACGCCACAGCACACACATGCTGCACACACCTGGAGCGCCTCACCAAATGTCTGTGATGACATCCTGTATCGTTCTGTGATGCACAATGCAAAACACGAGGGGCTTTGGAAGTCAGGAATAACCTTTGACTAATAATAGGTAAGGATTCTAAAGGGTCTCAAACCTAATGACATCTTATTTACTCTTAATTGGAAAAAACAAAAAAACACCCAGGTGTACAAAGCAACATTTCTTATTAAAAATGTGGAATTTTGCCTCCCAAACCTTCCTCCTGGTTCCACACCGCCAGCACTCTGAAGATGAAGGCACTGAAGGTGGCGGCAAAGAAGCCCCTCCAGTAGTTCCTCACGGCGAAAAACGTGGAAGTGACCTCAATGCTGAACAGCACCCCTGCACACCGCGAACAAGAAACACACAAGAGATCTTGCTCGGGAAATGGTTGAAACAGTGATTATGATTCCCATAAATCCTCAGCTCCACATGCAGAGGAACATCTAAGGATGTCAGCCACAGGGAACCCTCAAACTGACATTTTCCACGTCACTTTGGCCAATTGTCGCTGAGATACGTCAGACAGACAGAAATTGGCAACCGCTCTCCTCCCACCGGGGTAAGTGCGTAATTAGCCCCTGTAATTATCTACCATAATGAGATATCATTCAATCACAGGCTGCAGCCGTGTTGTCTCACCTCCAATCGGGGCTGCGAAGCAGCAGCCAACGCCCACGGCACAGGCCGCCGACAGCATCTCTGTGTTCCTCAGCTCGTTCTGTCCAACACAGGTCAGATGTACACACAGGTAGACGGATACACACACATACATTCCAGCAAATACATGCACACACACACACACAGGTGAAAATGCCACAAACACGCAATACACAACAAATTCACAGTTTTGCTTCGAGGCTGCTGCGGTATATTTCTTTGCACATTCAATGACGTCGTATATATAGGAGTGTTGGGACGCGGGAGGCCATGATTGAAAAACCCCAGGCTTGAGTGATGAAATCATGGGAATGGCACGTGTGCGTGGAAGCGAAGGCGGCGCAGATCGATGCCTCGCGGCGACAAGTTCGCCGAACAGAATCAAACGGCGCAGACAAATGGAAAAGCATCAATCTCTCCCTGCTTCTCAAATGGCCAGCGTGGGTTATCGATGCTGATGGGATGGGCAATAAAGAAACGATCTGTCGCGTGCATTTCGTACCTTGCTTCCCTCAAAGGGCTCTTCCTTTAGGGGTGAAAGTCGGGGGGGGGGGGGGGCAGAGAGACAGAAATATGTGTGAGTGCAACACGTGCGTGTGTTTGAGATTACCTTTCATTTCTGCTCCTTGACGACAGCCAACTCATTATCCAAAGCACGCAAAATCTAAACCAGCAGCGAGTGAGCTTCAGCAAACACCGGCCTGACTCGGCAGTGAACTGAATTAACATTTTCCCAGAGCGATTATGTTTAACGGCTGCACAGTCGAGAGCCGGGACTATTCCAGTCGTTTCTAACTGTGCTGACATGAGGTTCTCCTCCTCCTCATCACTGAAGTCTATCTTCCTCCGTACTGATGGTGCCGATGGCGCCGCTGCCCACTGGCCACCGCAGAAATGGGCCGAAGCCGAGCGCGAGGTCTCACATAAGTGGAGGTGGGAGTGAGTCCTGAGGAACGGCAGAGAGTCAAGTAAAACACCCACACTGGGAAGAACAACCGTGATTGTGAGAGTGTGTGTGTGTGTGTGTGTGTGTGTGTGTTTTCTTGCAGCTTCACACTTTGGAGGACCAGAGGAGAAGACACAGGATCCTCCCATGTGGGGGGATGTGACCCATTCCCATACTTAGGCCTCTGCTTTACAATTTGTGGGAGGATTAAAGCTTAAAATCAACCGCGCAATACTTCAAATGAGTGAAAAAAATAAGTATAATGATGAGTGTAACTGGTTTAACACAAAGGGATTTCTCCTTTAGGCGAAAACATGAAAGTGAAGTTCTTGTCTCACTCGGATTGGTGAATTTGTTGTTGCCTGTGTGTCACTGACTTTGAACATGGTGAATATTTCTAAACATTTGAGTGCAGAGAGACCCTCCAACATATAAATGTCCTTTAAGGCTTCTCAACGATTCAATCTCCGAAAGATGACGCGATTCAAATGAGTGGCTATAAATGTTTCAGGTGGTGAGATGAACTGTGAAGGTCATTGAAGGGCCCAGAACTTCTTCTTCCTCACCATGTAAATCCCACCGAAAAGAGGAGCCATGAATTTGCTGAGGAGAGCCGCGCACAGGCTGGCCACGTGGACGAAGGGGCCCTGAGGGAGAGATGGAACTGAAAGCACGTTCTAGTCGCGTCGCCCACAATCAATTCAAAACAACTTCATAACCTCCCAAAAGGGCAAACGCCTGTTTTAATAGCAGCAAATAACATTTTTATTTTCCCGGGAGCAACGTGGATGACACTAAAATAAGCAAGACCATTAAGTCCTTAAGAAAAATGCCATGCAGTCCGTCAGTGGTAATTTTAAAAAGCCAGGAGACTTGTGATGGAGAGATGAAGGGAAAAAGAAACCCTCTACCTCCTTTCCCAGAGGCATCCCGCTGCCCAGAGCGCAGGTCAGACCGATGACTTTGGCCACGAACGTCTTAAACGTCAGGTACTCCTTCAGGACCACCCCTCTCAGTATGGTCTTCATCTCAGGAATGCCCGAACCTGGGAGATTAAAAATTAAAAAAAAGGAGGCGGGATGATGGAGAGGAGAGAAAAGATGAGTTGAAAGGAAGCAATTACAGAGAAAAGGGGATGAGGGGAAGAAGGGAAGAGCCGATTGATCGTCATACGGTTTTCTGTATGCACATTTCATCACGTCTATACTAAGTGGATTTGCTGCAGAAGTGACCACTAATACACGGACAGCCAATGGTATTATTCAAAGTGAAATATGACTACGAATTAGGGCCATGAAGACTTGAGCATGAATGGTTGAAATCTATGCGTAAGTGTGTGTGTGTGTGTGTGTGTGTCTTACCCACAGCCTGAGGCGCCAGTATCTGTGTGAATCCTGCTGAGAAAGTGATGAGCACCACGGGGTACGTGACCCAAGCGATGTACTGCAGAAGCATGTTACTGTCCAGTCCCCCATACATCCACTTCTGTGCTGCACACACACAGACGCACAGACACACAAAGAAGTTCATCTCAGTATAATGCGGCAGCATCTTGTCGGCCGTGTAATATTTCGTATCCGTACCTGGTTCCTCTGCTCCTCATTACTGCCCTTTTTGCCCTCCCTTCTCTCGCTTATTCATGCGTTATTCTGCACACAAAGCCGCTCTGCAGCCGCTTCGTCCTCATTGGGGATTTAGCTCTGATTCCATTTCATTTACCATTCCATGAAACTTGTAAAAGGAAGCAGTCCTAGCATCGCTTTCGCCCTCCATAATGACGGCATTCACCACAACTACTGTTACTAATGTAACAGAGGCTTTGGAAAACGCTGGACATATAAATTGAGGGATTTACACTCAGTAGTGAATGTCGAGCGTTGCACTACACGGTACTCGGAGGATTTTCTTTCGTTGTTATTATTGATGCATGAGTAAAAATTGTATTTCTTGATCCTTTAAATATTAATGAAAGACGGAAGCTCTACGGTGATATTGAATATTTACCCTCTACGGCTGTTTGCCATAAAGCAAAGCGCCTCACTACTTGTGAACGCAACCCCATCACCCAGCATCCTCCCTCCCTCCCCGCGCCTCACCTTCCTGACAGAAGGCGATGGCGTAGTCCATGACCCAGCTGACCAGAGCCATGAGCAGGCCCAGCAGAATGAGGAAGATCCAGTCCTCCCCCACCCGCGAGATGAGGAACTTCTGGCAGCGGGAGGCGCACACTGAGGGCACATAGATGCAGAGGAAAGGCAGAGATAAGATCTCTGGAATGAAGCTAGAAGGTGTGAAAAGAGAGGGAAATATGTCTGAGATTGAAAGGAACCAGCTGTGTCAGAAGGGAAGGAAAACGAAGGAGAAATGATTATGTGGTGAAGGAGGAGGAGAACGGGGTGAATGAAGAATTTAGACACTTTAATGAAAAACAAATGAATATGATACAGATTATAGGTATTTCAAAAGAAGTACACAAAAGTTAATGATACAAGTGCAAGGATGAATTAAGGAATGTAACAAATTCGATACTCTTTTCCTTAAAAATCTACAGTTATTCTAATGCTTCATGAAAATAAAGCAGAGCACGTTAGATTTTAAGTATATTTGCAATTGCCACGCATTTAATTCAGCAGATTAGACAAAAGTATGTGTGGTTAAGTTTATCCATGTTATGTTAATTTAGAACATGTGCTATATTAACTATATCAGGCTGTATTTCACACAAACCTGCATCCTTTGTACTCAAAGATTAAATCTATTTAGCCCCATTTTAATGAAATAATATACGTCTGTGGAAAAAGTAATTCCCAACAACCAGTATAAAAACAATAACGGATAATAATCCGTTAATTAATAATCTAATAATTTTCATGTCCATTACGAGATTAGCTCCTCTAGCCTGGAGGATAATTAATCAAACAAATAAAACATCCATATCAGTGAGTAAAGGACTCCATGTCCCATGACAAATGAATAATGCTGTATTATCAAATTAAATCGTGTACAGAGGTATTATATAGTGAATGTGTCAAGAATCACCGTTGATTTATCTTTATCGGACTCAAATGAAAAAAAGGAATACAGACAAAACAAAGCAGGTCAGGTTTTATAAATTCTGCCATTACAATAATCTATAACTCTGAGCTAGGTCAGCTAAAAGAGGCATCGCTGGACTCATTTCCTCCACTTTGTCTGCAGACACTGCCAACGCCTGGAATTCACTTCATCCAGAGCCTCCTCGGATGTGTCCGTCCCAAGAGATGTCAAATGTGCTATTAACACCATTTCACCAGATCCATATTTCATAGTCGAGATACATCCAGTTGTTTTTATTAGTTTACTCTCCCGTTTGAACTTGTATAGTGGCCATCGAGGAAAAGGGTCCCATCTTAGGAGAGACAAAAAAAGAAACAAGATAAAATAACCCACACACACTTACTAATAATAGTTCCAAACGCTGATCATTTCATGTTTCTATTTGTGCGCTTTGTAAGATTTGAGACATTGCTGCTTAATAAACACTAATCTAAACAAAAGAGAAATGCAGCGGTCATTCTGGTGCAGGATTCAGGTCACGCAGATGCTGCGTCTCCTGCAGGAGGTGAACCAGTCGAGCCACATGCCGGACGGTAAGTGGTCAAAACAGGACGCACACATACAAACGCAATCATGTGCAGACAAACTCATCACACAATGGAAGTGAAAAAACACAAAACTGTTGCTCAGCGGATCCATCATTTTTACCACGGTTCATTGGACAAAGCTGGGACAATTCCTCAGTCGAATCGAATATAATTTATTCCTGTGTCTCCATCACACACACACACACACACACACACACACACACACACACACACACACACACACACACACACACACACACACACACACACACACACACACACACACACACACACCTCTGGCACCTGCAAAGCCGCGTATTTCGTGCGCCTCTTGGCTCTCGCTCACATCCGCCCGCTGGAGATCACAGATGTGTCCTCCAGCACTGGAAGCCAGATATTTTTCTCCCTACCTCTGCTGCTCCTGCATTCCGTCACCTGAAGTCAACTGGCTGTAATCAGGGACAATTCTTTAAAAAAAATGCAGGAGATGCTCCACCTTTTAACAGTATGTTCAAAAAGGTGCAAGACCACTGAATGCATAAGGTGACGTAACACACAACGCCTGGAGTAGAGCGCCTGCTCTGAAATCCCTGAAATATTCCCTCTGTGAGTCAGAAAAAAAAAAAAAAAAAAAGGCAGCACATGTCTCCATCACGAACAGGACGCAGAGCCCTTGGCTGCGTGTGTAGGCCGCCTTGTTCAAAAGCTGCAGCTGCTGATCTGAACCGAGCCACACACGCTCTTAGTCCATCATGCACAGAGGACCTGTTCCCACACAAATACAAAAAAAACAGCAATACTCCCACTTCCAAATGGGACGGTTCTCTCCGTGCACATTACTTAACAAGGTAGGTACTCGTCCACCTAGAGGCAAGTCTAAAAATACAAAAACACAGCTTGATCTACGAGCGCACACACACACACACAGACACACAAGCACACGGAGACTGATTGTTTTTAAAGGGCTTCCATTACGGCGCCGGGAGCCATGCTGGGCTGCTGAAGTGTCGCTTTCACCTACGGCGCAACGCATGGAGCTTCCATCAGATCACTAGACACGAGGGCAAAGAGACGGAAAAACGGTTCCTGGAAAACAGCCACGCTGGCCGACTTGTGCAAGCGTGTGAGAACAGACCTTCAGACTTCTGCATGTTTACTGAGTGTCTGTGGTTTAAAATGAGTTTCTATAAATGTGTCTATTTCATATGACTTCTTCTAATCATTTGAACCCCTAAAACGCCAAACGCATTTTAGTTTGCTAAGAAATCCAGCACATTTCAAAACTAGCACCAGTATGATTTAGTAATATTGCTTTAATGACATTTCAGCTCTAACCACACACACACACACACACACACACACACACACACACACACACACACACACACTTTTTGTCCTCGTTACTGTGGTTAATATTTCTCATGTGAACCATTTCAACACCCCAAAGTAGTACTATGGTTTCAATTTGGGTGAACTGACCCTTAAAGACACCCACTGCTGCTCGCATGACTTGCAAGAAAAAAAAATAATCTGCTTTCAGCAATTTGCTGTGAAGGTTAAATGACGTACACGAGACACTCAGTCAGGATCCGTCACTCTTTTATTGTGAAACACAGCAGCCTGAAGAGGAGCTCTCTTCTGGTGCCACTCCCTTATCTGCAGTCATCTGGGAAGACCAGATATAAAATAATCTGACAGTTCAGATCAGAGCTTTGTTCACGCAAACAAAATGACACACGCGCACGCACGCACGCACACGCGCAGCCAGCAGAGGGGGCTGTCTTTGTCTGACGTCGTCGTTGGCTGGAGGTCATTGCTCAGAAGGGCCGTGTTTAATCATGTTCACATCCTCGCCTGCTCCCGTGTGTCAGGTAGCCGCTGTGATTTAACAAGTCCATGTTTTCACACAACTTTCACACGTGCTGCGTTGACACAATGCCCCCCCCCCCACACACACACACACACACACACACACTTTCTGTGCATTGAACACTGCATCTGACCTTCACAACACCAGCATTGCACAACCAAGCACACTTTGTCCCTGCAATCAAACTCTTGCGTGATCCCCACTTACGATGGCACTTTGCACAGGGGTCCTTCTCGTACTCCAGCAGATCTGCAGCACGACTGCGAACACTGGTGTTCCTCCGCAGTCCTGCGCCGTCCCGCACGCCGCCGTCCCGTAGGCGGGCCGCTTCCTCCTTGGCATACACACCCAGCTCCTGGGTGTACCGCCCATACATCTGTGTGCACGAAAAGGCAGAAAGAGAGGCATCTTTTTATACCAGTTGGTGCATGTGGGAGGCAGTGAAAGAAATACGGTGTCATCCTGTTTAAAAACACACAGTGGTTCAAATTCAGAGCTCAAAGCCTGAACCTCACCCCCCCCCAAAAGAATTCACTCAGTTTTGACTCTGGCAGTAGTTTAATGACTTCTTCTCCGACAATGAGCTCCGCCTGTCAGCTCCCACCCGATTAACTCTGCAGGGCTGCCACACAATTGATTCCTAACGATGGGAGGCGGAGCCGTCGGCGAGCAGCGCTCCATCAGTCAGGTATAAAGTCTGAGCCAGAGCCACAGGTGATGTTATGCAGCTTCGGTGCCGTGTATAGTCACTGATACCAAAATGGAGTTTTTCAAGTGCCTGTTTGCCGTTGTAGTAGTTGCCACTCTGGCCTGTGATGTTTCTGCTCAGCATTACTGGTCGCTGCCTCTGCCGAATCAGAAAGCTCCTCTTCTGCCTCAGCCCCAGCTGGAGGTGCCTCCACCTGAAGCTCCCTTTGACGAGTGCCAGGTGGCGCAGGAAGACAAGATCCAGTGTGGGCCTGCAGACGTCACCGCTGAGCACTGCGAGAACATCAACTGCTGCTTCGACGGTCACCAGTGCTTCTACGGGAAAGCAGGTAAGCTGCACGGTGCCTCTCAAGCGAAGGCTGCGCGGTCCAGTGGCTGAAAGTTGAGCCTCAACTGAAATCTGTATGTTCCCCTCATCCAGTGACTGTGCAGTGTACCAGGGATGGCCAGTTTGTGGTGGTTGTAGCTCGAGATGCGACCTTGCCCAGCATAGATGTGGAGTCCGTCAGCCTGCTGGAGACGGACGACCCTGCATGCGCACCTGTGGATGTCACTTCAGCTTTTGCCATCTTCCAGTTCTCTGCGACTTCATGTGGCACCACGTTCAAGGTGCAGCGCTTTCACTTGCCTTGTGATAAGTTAATGACGCCAACTGGGAAATCATCAGCGTGAAAATTTGTCCTGGGGCGAGATGTCTGAGATCCGGTCTACAACGTGATGTGTTTTAACAATTTGTTTGGTGCAGGAGGAAGAGGGTCATGTCGTGTACGAGAACCACATGTCTTCCTCGTATGAAGTGGGGGTCGGACCCAGAGGCTCGATCACCAGGGACAGCCATTTTGAGTGAGTCGGTAATGCACCGGTATAGTTCGCTTCGCCGGCTGTTCCTAAAACGTAAAAGTCTTGTTTTCTCCCAACAGGTTACTGTTTCAGTGTAGGTATTCTGACACCTCAGTGGAGGCTCTCGTCATGGAGGTCGACGTGGTTCCTCCACCAATGTCTGTCGCCGCTGCTGGAATCCTCCGAGTGGAGCTCAGGCTTGGAAGTGGACAGTGTCAAACTAAGGGATGTGTTGAGGGTGAGCAGCAAAACCGCCTAAAGACGATGCTGGATACTGCTAAGGCGTTTGACGGCCTAAAACGTGTCTTAATTTCAGAAAATGCGGCGTACAGCACCTTCTACAACCAAGCAGACTACCCAGTCACCAAAATCCTGAGGGAACCAGTCTACGTCGAGGTGTCCCTCCTGGAGCGCTCTGACCCAAACCTGGTCCTGAACCTGGAGCACTGCTGGGCGACCTCCAACCCCAATCCTCAGAGCATTCCACAGTGGGATCTTCTCATTGATGGGTAGATATATACATGACCATGTTCATCTGTGAAATGGTTGTCTAATTCAGTATTTAACAGGAGTTCATGTTAGGTGTCCCTACCATGATGACCGTTACCTGACCACCCTGGTGCCCATCGATGGCTCCTCTGGCCTCCTTTACCCGACGCACCACAAGCGCTTTATCATCAAAATGTTCACATTTGTGGATCAAAGTGACTTTTCGCCCCAGAAAGACACGGTACGGTTTATTGCCTGAAGCCAGCAGTCTCTTAAATTAAATCTAATTAGTTCCATTGGAAAGAAATTTAAACTTTGAACGTCTCCCAGGTGTTCATCCATTGTTCCACGGAGGTGTGTTATCCGAGCAGCACTCAATCCTGTGAACAGACATGCCATCGTCAACGTGAGTAACGTTCGGTCATAATTGTCCATGAACTTGTTACAGAAACTGATTCACTACTTTTGCAGGAAGAGCTGTGGCTCCAGCGAGAAGGATTTCTGCGAGTCGGAGGTCTCTAGTCTCCAGTGGGCAGGTGATCCTGACTGACCAGTGACTATCGGCTCTAAATGCAAAATGAAGACTTGATTCTACTGGCTGTGACTTAATAAAAGCTCATCCTTAAAATTTGGTCTTGGAGTTACTAATGAGTCTGTCTCAATACTGCCTTAATGCGGAGTTAGTTTTTGTGCAGCGGCGATGCAGACGAGCATGTAATGCAACCCCTCTGCTTTCTGCTGAGCATGCAAACGGTTGCATTAATGGAGAACTGGAAGTCTAAATATAACATGTGTAAAGAAATACTGAACTAAAAACGCAGGGTAAGTTCTGGTTGTTCACAGCATGATTCAAATTTCCAAGCAGAAGGCATGTTTGACCTGTAAACTGTTGCAGTGCTGAAGGTGAATACATGGAGTTTACTCAGGAGTAATCCTTTATGTATTGCGTGATACTAGACTTTCATTCTACAGCTGTTTGGGGTCTAGGTCGCGACTACAGTAAGATTTCCGGCTATAGCTGAGCGCTGGCTTTAAATTGTTGGTCCTAAAACCTTTGGTTACGCAACTCTTGCATGGGATTGTAGTACCCTGGCAATAGTTATAGATGTGTGGCTGCATACCTTTTACACTGGAAGCCTGTAAATTAACAGAGGCCCCAGAATTGACCTGTAGGAAACGCTCTGAAATTGGTCAAATTTAACATTTTTCTCAGCAATTCGGTTTCTAACCAGTTTAGTGTTGCCAGACTTCCACTCAGACCTTTGGTCTGTCCAGTATTCATGTTCGATGCAGCGCTGAGACCTAGTAACGCTAAAGGCTGCGTTTAACTTTAAAAAACTTATGCCAACTGTTATTTGATCTGCGCTTTTCAGTCAGTTTTGTCTCAAATGGTATGATGGGTCACAATTTTAAATGTCCGCAAGGCAATAAATTTCCAATTTCCATTTTTGTCCAGTGGTACGCCAAAGGAGAATGGAGTGACTTTCCTTAGCATTAGAGAATTACAACTTATGGCGCTCATTTCACTCTAAAACTTTTTGAAGACTAGTTCTGCTGCTATGAACACTCCCCGGCGACTTTTAGGTAAACCTTGCTAGTAAAAGGACAGCCTTCAGAACTGCCTCAATTCTTAATGGCATACTTTCAACAAGGTGTTCATATTGACGACATCACGTAGTTGCTGCAGATTTGTCGTTCCTCTGGTGCTCTATTGGATTGAGATGTTGGGACTGTGGAGGCCACTGGAGTTCAGTGAACTTGTATGTTCAGGTTTGACGTGAGCTTTGTGACACGGTGCATTTTCCTGCTGGAAGTAATGATCAGAAAATGGTACACTGTGGTCATAAAGTGAAGGACATGCTCAGCAACACTACTCTGGTAGGCTGCAGCATTTAAACCAGGCTCAACTGGTCCCAAGGGGCCCAAAGCGTGCTAAGAAAATATCCCCCACACCACCACCAGCCTGAACAGGTACAAGGCGGGATGGATCTACGCTTTCATGTTCACACCAAATTGTGACTCGACAATCAGTTCAGAGTTGAAATCGTTTTTCCAATCTTGTCCCCTTGTGGTTCGCCTGTGCGACCTGTAGTCTCCGTTTGCGGTTCTCAGCTGACCGGAGTAGCACCCGGTGTGGTCTTCTGCTGCTGCAGCCTTCAAGGTTCCACGTTCAGAGATTGTATTCTGCATTCCTTTTTTCGTAACGAGGGGTTATTTGAGTTACTGTGTCACTTGTGTGGAGGGTGCTGCTGCCTCTTGGCCAGGTCATCATTGTAAATGACAATTGGTTCTCAATTGATTCTACCTGGTCGAATAAAGGTCAAATAAAATGACTAGTGCCTTTCTATCATTGAACCAGTCTGCCCGTTCTCCTCTCACATCAACAAGGCATTTTCCGTCCACATAACTGCCGCTCACTAGATATTTTTTCTTTCGGACCATCCTCTAAACCCCAGACATGGTTGTGGGTGAAAATCCCAGTTGATCAGCAGTTTGTGACGTACTTGGACCAGCCCGTCTGCCACCAACAACCATCAAAGTCACTTAAATTCCTTTCCTCCCAATGCTCTCCCGGTTCGAGCCGCAAATTGTGACCACGTCTACGCGCCTAAATGCATTGAGTCGCAGCCATGTGATTGGCTGATTAGAAATTCTCATTAACAAACAATAGAACAGCTGCACATGATAAATTGGCTGCTGAGTGCATATGAACTGTGTATATATAGCAAGATATATTTATTTTTTTCTTGGTTTCTCTCTTGCATGTTTCTCTCCTCTGCACCTCCTTCCCTCTTTGTCCCACTCACACCCGCCCCCCTCCCCTCTCCTCATTGAGATGGGCATCACGACGCTCTCTTTCTGCTCGCTTGCACAGGCGATGCAGAAGGAAAGCAGAGATCGGCGGTACAGCTTCTGACTGACGAGCAGAGAAAGGCCGCGCTGTCAAACGTGCTCATCTACATCCACCTCCAACCTGCCGGGAAGAATTTAAGCAAAAACGTAGCTGCACATAATCATCCAATAGCAACGCCTCATTGTGTGAAAATCAAAGAGTAAACGGAATATTTGCCTGCTGACAAATACTCACTACTGCTGTGTGGACTTGATTGTCGGCAGCGTGAAATGTAAATGAGTTTTACCCAATGATGAGAATTGGTGTCAGTTAAAAGGAAACCGTCATGTTTGGATGTTAAATACCTGATGTTAGTCATGGAGAACTAATGGTAAGCAGGTAAAACTGCTCTTTGTAATTTGGCCTTGAGACTATATCAACCTCCACACCACGGTGGTTAGCATGACAATGAGGAATTCACATGTGCAATGATATTTCTTGGGATTAGATATTAATTATTTAGCTTCTGTCCTTTACTGGAGAGCAACAGCCGATATCCAGAAACCAAGCGAGAGACGGCATTGAACACCGCCCTTAAACCTAAAGAAAAGACTGTTCCACTTCGCCAGAACATGGCCGTATTTCCCGAACGAACTGCCCGAGTTCAAGCGACCTCTAAGGATGCTCAACAATGACGTATTGCACGGAAGAACATGTTCTCCTGGTTGTCCCCGCTATATTTAATCATCACTTCGCTGTGATATAAAAGATCTTGCTCACTGAATCTCGTGTGTTGGCAAACAAACGTCTCATGCACCCCCACATACAGCATAGAGGCACGCAAAACCCACCACCAACACTAGACAAACACCCACTGGGAGTATAAACTGGGCCTGTTAGTGATTCTTTCTTTGGCCTGTGTGAAAAAAAATCACTGGCCATCTGGAGCACGGCCCCCCGGGAGAGCAGCAGGTGGGACCACGTGGGTTAAATGGGCTGTTATCTGCAACCAGTTCACCTCCCACGTGGTCAACTTCTGTATCTGCATTAGTCAGTTTACCTCCCACATCACAACCCTCTACACCAGTTCAACCCTGGCCTCCCACAGGCTGCTATTGACTGGTCTGTCATAGACGTGAATGCCTGCAGAGAAAGAAACTCCAGTTTGGTGCAAAAATAATTTCACAAATAAACTGGTGTATAAATAGGAACGTTAATGCGACTCACATTCATCTAGCAAATTCAATTCGGTCGGATGGGGAATCCATGCATTTCTAAATGTTGACAAAAGAGGAGAGGACGTCTGAGCGGAGAAGCAGCTTTTGTGGTTGAGTGATTCAAAACAAATGAGAAAAAGCAGTGACTCTGAAAAAAATGGCCGCCTGAGAGGCTTTAACAGCCCCTTTGCTGCTAACAGGTGCAGCTTTTGCGCCATTGAGATATTTTGGGAACACAAGGCGATGATTCTCTACTGAGATAACACAAAAATATGCATCAATATTGTGAATTTGGTTGATGGCCCCTGCGTATGCCGTCAAATATCTCATAAAACTACAAGGTTTCATACCTCTGCCAACTCGTCAAATAGAAATCTGTCTGTCCAAAAAGCCGCCACCTCCTTATTTTATCCTTTGAGACATTCGTGTGAAATTGTTATAATGACCTGAAAAAAAAAGCACGTTTGACCCCCGACCACCAAATACTAATCACTTCACACTCGAGTCTGGCGGGACACTCATGCCCAACGTAACGTATTTACCTCCCGGCGCTCCCGAGGCGTCACGCAAAGACGCACTAACAAGGCCAGCAGCCTCATCAGTACCAGCTCTCCCCGAGAGCCCCGCAAGTCCTCCACCCGCCCGGCCCTTATTCAGCTTCTCCCGAGGCGCTGTAGAATAATGTATTCACCGCGTGGGGACAGCAAGGACAAATATTGGACACCGACAACGGAGAAGGGATGAACGTCTGAAACTCTCGTGCTTTTCACTCATGAATATTTATAAGACATCGATCTGTTCTTTTTTTGTGTGGTGAGAAGGTGAGGAGGCGCCTCTCGTTGTAAAGGTGAACATGTATGTAACAGACACTTATCCTCACACGGTAAGCGTGTGCTGTATTGATGAGATCCGGGGAGTAACAGGAAGACCTGAGACCTGAGACACAGCGCAAACCAAGGACAACGTCCAAAACTGCCAAAGTCCACGTTCACATTAATAAAGGTACGGCTGCTTCCAGAAGAGTTACCTGAGTCAGTGCTCTCTCACACACACACACACACACACACACACACACACACACACAGGGTCGGGAGGGTGTGATGTCAGCGGGACTGAAGGACCGAGCTGACATCTTGTGGGACCTGAATGGAGGGAGGTGGTGTTTTAGCCGACAGCAGCGATGAGCCTCACGGGATAAACACGCTGCTCCCTCCCATCAGGAGAAAAACTAAAACCATCACCTCTGTGATTAAAGGACACCCTGTTTCCTTTTTCCAGAACGGATCATTGACAGATGATCTGAACCAAGTAGACAATCAACAGAAAACAAATCTGTAACAATTTTCACCAATTGACCATTTGTCATTTGATAATTGTTTGGTTCAAGAAGCATTTAGCACTTTTATTTGTCTTGTATGAATAAATAGCTTCTGGTTTCAGCCATTTGAAGCTCTGGGTAGTTGTGATGAGCCTTTTTCAATACTAGCAGTTTGTTGCTGAATGAGATTTTTTAGTTTTTTTTCAGGAATAAACGAGTAGTTACTTACTAAGACTTAACATACAAAAGGCTGTATAATGGAATT